GAGGATTAGGCTCTGCATACCAGGGTTCATGTCATGAGAGACTGATAACAAACCATTACCATTTTAAAGTTCCCAAACATCATAAAAATAACTTGTCTCCCAAAAGCCCCCGCTGTTTTATCATTAGGCTGAATTTAAACACAGTAGCCCAACAGTACTGGCACGCCATCAGACATCTTGTTTTAAGCACAATACAAACAATCAAAAAATTGGCAAATTGCATCCAGATTTTTTAAATTATATTGAAAATATTTTTAAGCCGTTGAAGGTTTTGGGAGTAAAATTTCTGTTGGTTTATAATTTGTAAATTCAGTGCTAATACCTCCAAGACCACAAACTGTGAAAGGAAACAAACATAATATCAGAGAACTGTTAAGAATGAAACAGTACAGAGTCAAAAATAGCTGAACTGAAGTGTAAAATAGAATAGAACACACAACCAAATAAATGCTGCGTTCGAGTTACCTCAGAAGTCAGATGTCCGAGCTGGGGATGACGTCACACCTGAGTTACCAGCGTTTCAGTTACCAAGTCGGAAGAAAGCAAAATCAGAGGCGGAAACAGGATGGCTACATCTACGAAAGTTATTTTAGCACTTGCCTTGTCCGAATACAAGCAATTGCGAAAATAACTTTCGTAGATGTAGCTATCCTGTTTCTGCCTCCGATTTTGCTTTTTTCGGACTTGGCGCTGATATCTCAGGTGTGACGTCATTCCCAGCTCGGACATCTAACTTCTGAGGTAACTGGAACACAGCAAAAGTACAAACAAAGAAGGTAGGAAATTTTAGGATAGAATGAGACAAAATAGAATGGAGTGGAATAGAATAGAATATAATGAGACCAAACAGATGATAAACACAGAACAGAAAAAGACAACAGAAAGGGGCAGAACTGGAGAGAGCAGAGAGTAGAGACAAATGAACGAAACAGAACAGAGCTACGTAGAATAGAATAGAATAAAGTTGAATAGAGTCAAATACAATAGCACAAAATAAAATAGAATCAGTCCTTTAGGTCAAAGTTTAGGTAGAAATAACAAGTATAAGTGTGCACAGGAAAAACTAGTGTCAAATTTAGGACAAAGGCTGAATAAATCCCAAACAACACTAAATATTTTGGTTACTTCTACAGTGGCCACAGACGGTGCAGTAACTGTGTTTTCTGTCGTAGATGGAAGAAGAACTTATTGACCTCCAAAAGAAGATGAAGCAAACTGAGGATGAACTGGACAAATTTTCTGAGGGCCTGAAAGACGCTCAGGAGAAACTGGAACTGTCTGAGAAGAAAGCTGCAGATGTGAGTGACAGTCACACACCCACACAGCACATACTTCTATAGCACACAGGGGAGGGTTAGGTTTAGTCTCGCTTCATTTGACTCAAACCTGAATTGAAACTTACAGTCCTGTGCAATAATACTGAAGCAGCTCTGAGGCCATAGTAAGACTTTGAATATCAACAAGAGGCCCCTGCTACTGTCATTCACCATGCGGTCTTTTTGCACGATTGGAACTTCTGAGGCCACTTTTCCTCAGCTGGATGTTTACCAAGCCTGCACCAGCTGTGGGTTTACTTTGATCACCGGTGATGGTTTGGAGCGCTTCAGAGACCGTTACATTCTTGTGCAGCCACTCCTGAAAGATATACCGTACACATGAATAAACTGTAACCCCCTCTCTCAAACACACACACGAACACACAGAGTTCACTCATGTCCTCCACCAGAGCAGCAGAGGTCAACAGACAAGCTGGGCTGTTATTCTTTATCGCTGTTATTTACACCACTTAAACTTATTCTTACAGTTCTGACATGAACTCAACGCAGCTTTAAGGAATTACCACAGTGACTTTGACAACTGTAGCAGTTTTACACACACACAAACTTTAAAGGTATGGTATGATAAACCTGTTAAACTTATTTTATAGTGTTTTTATCGTAGCATGGAAAACTTCACATCTTTGATTGTACAAGCTCCCAGAACTGACGTATTGAAGTCCACATACTCCAATTCTGCACTTTAAGGTAACTGTATTGGCAGACTCCTCTCCATGTTGAGAACTTATCACTGTTTTGACAGGGTTATGACCAATCACAATCAAGTATTTAGTACAGCCAGGTAATAAGATAGGATTGTAATACAAGGTGAGATTTTTATAGACTGAACTTACCTAGAGTACGAGCAACAACAACAACAACAACAACAACAACAACAACAACAATGCGCTACTCAAACATGGACACTTCAGTTTCACATTCCAGTATATTTCTATTCAACAGATCTCTGTTGTATTTTCCCCACATAATATAAACACTCATACATCACATTTAGGGGAAACATAAAGACACGTCCTATTAAATACACACTGGAATATGATTAAAGTAAACAAGATCCCAAAGCAAAATACCGATAACAGATCCAGTTCAGAACAAAGACGTGATTAAAGACTAAATATTGAAACGACAGCTTAAAATCTGAAGGTCCAGCGTGCACTTGTCGATGATGACGCCACCTTCTTTAACTTTCTGCCGTCTCTGTTTACAACTTGTATCTTGACCAGACAATTTGATGCGTATAATACTTATATGAGTCTATGTTTGACAAAGTTGAATTCATTTTGAACAATTTATTCACAATTTGGTCCAGATAATCCTCTATTGCACTGAGTACCTTTGAAACTCCTGATTTTTTCTATTCATAACTGTTTTGTACTCCGACAGTTCTGACTTATGTGACATTACTTGAGGCAGACATTACACGATCCCTTCTAAAGCCACGAAGACTTAATGCAACTTTTAAAACATATTTTGGAATACATCCCAAGACCTATAAACAAATGTCAAAGTGTAAAATCTGTGCGGTTCCCTTTATAAACTTTTAAGGCTGACTTTCCCTGTCAGAGTATTTCTGCACTGACTGTAATACTGTTATTTTTACCTGAGTAAAGATTCTGCGCACTACTTCCCACATTACATTATTCTATGTAAAAACTCAAATGACTTACTTTGCTCTCATTGAAGGACCGAAACCAACTGTGTAATCCGTGAGAAAATGTGTGTTCATCTATAATTTATTTTAGTTAGCATAACATTTGAAAGGTCCGTTTTTACTGTGGTAATCAGCTGCAATCTGGAAGGAGAAAGGGTCACATTCAAGATTGTTGGCAACACCGCAAACCACAAGGCTGCATATCTGTCAGTTGTTGGTCCTCCAGCATTTTCGCACAGATGGGTATTATTGCACAAGTGCGTGTGTATTGCGTGTGCGTGTGTCTGCGCGTGATAGAGAGAGAGAGAGAGAGAAGTAAGAGCGGTGCTCAAAGGAACACAGAGTCTGTCTCAAGAGGCCAATTATGTCCAAGATAAGGCAAAATACTGATCATACCAGTTAAGCAGTGAAATGCCACTTAAGTAACCACATCTTAGAGCCCGCTAAGTCATTCCAATAAGATTACGGAGTAAACTGTGCAGGAAGAAGCGTCAGGAAACAAACAGAAAAAAAAAAAAAAACTCTCCCTGTTTCCACAGAGATGGGGTATTGTCTAAGCCTTGTGGAGGATATCCCAGGGAAACGTAGTGTTGTACAACACAGAGAGAGGGGAAGTGTCTGACATACAGATGCTGAGACATGCTGGATTACCCTCATGCTGTGACTAAATAAACTCTGGGAACTGTTCTGAGCAGCCTTGCATGTAAAGTGGGTCAAGACGGCCCCTGGAAATAGTGGTATTTCAGGTTGTGGTTTGAGCCTGGGAAGGTGCAGCTTCCACTCTCACATGGGTAGAGAAAACTTAAGAAATGAAAATTACATATTTTTTGTTTTGAGTTTACTTACAAATTAGCGTATAAAAGTTTCTTCTTATCCAGATGTTTTATTTACAGTGAAGTCTCACACTTACAGCGGCATTTCCAGCCTCTACAGCACTGCTCTACTCTACTTCCTTAAATTCCTCTCCACATGTCACTTATTAGAGGCAGCAGTCAAGTCATTACACATCTGAATTCACGCAGTGAGTAAGACCAGATTGGAGACCTGGAAAGGAGCTAAGAGAGAAAATCAGCGAGCCACAGGCCCTAAAGCAAAGCAGTAGTAATTCATAAGAAATCGTTTTTGCACAAGAGATTAGCAGTGCTGATATTTCTGTCATCGCAGCTCACTGTTGGTTAAGACAAAGGACTAAGAGTCTGACTTAGGATCGTTGCATCCTGAAGTCAGAATTAAGGATACAGGGGGCTAAAGTTGGCAGGGTCAAAGAGGGTGTCCCTGTATATGTTAACACCATTCACAGCAGTAACAGTTAACTGTTTTAAGGGTAAAGCTGGACAAGGGGGGGCAGAGAAAGCAGAGAGCAGGCAGGGGGGCTAAGGTATGTGAGGAATGCAGCTAAGGCAAACAGAAAGCCCCACACTCCTGTGTCTAATGAAATCAATGCCTCCAGCTTTTCCGGTGCAAGGGGGCAAATCAGACAGAAGGGCTCAATCAACAGATGAGTACGATTGTAAGAGATTTTCTCTTTCATAGACGGATATAGGGGGAGTGGATTTTGAGCCAAACTTGAACTGAAGCATGCAAGCCTTGCAGAGATTTGCTGCTCCTCTCGCTTGTTGAGAAAACATGTTTGTTCATAGGCTGATCATGTGAAAGGAAACAGAGAGGGTAAATACTGGGAGAGCTGACAGAGAAACATGCAGGATGAAGCATTAATGTGATTTACACCCACATAATAAACATCGTCTTCAAGCAGGCAGGTGGTGGACGATGTTTGCATACTCCTGGTAGATAAACTCTCAAAGAGTTCACATAAAATAAACATTTACGATGCATATTTAAGACACTTGTTAAAGGTTCACAAACAGATTTATGGAGAGGTAACAGATCTATAAATAGCAAAGTAATAGAACAATGGAAATCGTGAAGTTTGATGTTAATGCACTCTTGCACTGTGTTTGAAGGATGATTTTGTCATGTCTTTAATTTTATATGTACATTGATACATTTTTTCACGTTTTTCTAGGATAAGCAAAAATGAGACTTTGCTTTGATCCGTATAATGATGATTTAACAGTCAGTACGGCTTCAAATATTTTAAGCAGTTCCTTCTTTAAAATCATGCATAGTCAAGTACATCCTCCAGAAAACAGAAGTTTATTGAAATGTGAAATTTATTTTCATTTTACAAAGACTTCAGCAGTTTTTAAACTCGCAGGATGACTGAGAGATAAACTGGAAATATTATATCGTATTATAAAATAACTGTGAAACCTGGTTCTGCTTACATTCAGCACCAAAGTTCACACCTCAGATCTGGAAAAGTTCTATGAGAAACATGTACAGACTGTAAACAAAAATATCCCTGGAAGAGAAGAATACACTTATACAATAAACAATGTAGCAAACCAAACAAGAGGCTGGTTATTGTGACATGCTGCACATCCTACACATCCACATGCCCTTCTAACTCTGGCCACGCTGATGTACTAAGTTAAGCCCATTTCTGTGTTGTTCTTTCTGCAACTAAATGAATGCAACTTATGATCACCCCAAAGTCAAGAAAACAAATGAAATTAACTTAAGATTTATTTAGGGTCAAACACTCTGTAACACCGAGTTAGACACCCTGTTGAGAGATGAGTGTTGCCGACCGCTTGCTTCTCTAGTTATACCAACTTTAGCAACGACCGCACAATAGCAATACACAGCTGTCTGAGGAGCCAAACACGTACATATAGGGTCCCAGCCATAGTACTAGCCACCAAACGTCTTTTTAACTTTGCCTAATTTCTTCAGCAAAGAGACTAAACACAACTCACCTACTCTCTTCCAGCTGTCGCTTGTTTGTAGTAAGACCTCTGAGCAGTCTGTTATGGACTGCAGCGGGGTGACGCAGCTCAAGGAAGAACATTTATGATCATTTCTTCATGGAAATGCAATCAGACCGAGACACTAAGGCAGAAGAACTACTGCGTCTGCAGAACAAAATGATTAATATGATGATTATTACTTCAAGGAAATGATAAAGAAATGATCATAAATGTTCTTCCTTGAGCTGCGTCACCCCGCTGCAGCCAATAATGGACTAGTCCCAGGTCTCACTACAAACAAACCGTGTATCGTTATCCTGTGGTCCTTACTAAAGTTGGTATAACTAGAGAAGCAAGCAATCAGCAACATTCGTATCTCTAGGGGGTGTCTAACTCGGTGTTACCGTGTGTTCGACCCTAAATAATTTTACGCCGGAATATCCCTTTAAGCATTTTCTGTGTATATTCCAAAGCCTGTATTACTTTGACACCAATCCAACGCTGATTAAATCTTACACCTCATTTAAGAGTTTTTAGCTGAAGTCTGTGCCATAGCATGACTGGTGATGAATTTCTGCCTTTTAACAGAACAATAACACAACCCTGAAAGGACTTGGCTGTGATATTGAGGATTTGCTTAATTAGGTCACTACAAAGGGCCAGACACAGACAAACCTCAATAAAACGTGGGATTTGTTCCAATTTTCACTCATCAGATAGTGCATGATGTAAGATACAAAACTTTGAAATTGAATTTTAAACCTATAAGTAAGGTTTTCACTGCCAGAACGAGTCGAAGTTTGTGCGTGACACCCAAACTAAGAGCACGACGCCTGTACAATACCTGAGAGTAATTCATCCTGACTTTCCTTTTTCTTCTCCAAGTCTCATAGCAATGATCACATCGGTCACAGGGATCAGCTTTTACACATACACACACACGCGCACACACACTATACTTACACACACATTGTGGGACGTAGACCCCGCCCACTCTGACCTCATCATCCCGATCATCTCTCTCTCTCCTCCTCCGTCAGTCTGGCGCTCTCTGCTCTCTTCTGTCCGCGCAGCTTTTTTAATCCTCCTCCTGAATCTCTAAGTGTCCGGACCAAAACCCTGCAACATTCCTGAGGACTACTTTATCCACCGCTCATGAACTTACTATCAGCCCTGCATATCAGAAGAAACACTTGGACAACACCTGAGCACTCTTACTTCCTGGTTATATAAGTTTTGTGGCACTTGAACGCCTCTTTTACATTCCTAAAACGGAGATTATTTTCTTTAACAAACGGCGATAAAAGTCATTTTTTGTTTTATAGGCGACCTTTATCCCGAAGAGACCAAGCAGAGAGCAGAAGTCGACTTGTTTTGCACAACCTAGATAGTCTTAATCGTGATTTTTTTTCCTTTTTTTTACGTGTAGTCTTAAATTAAGTGACCAAAAACAGTGAACATGGCAGGTATGAACTCTCTGGATGCTGTGAAGAGGAAGATTCAGAGTTTGCAGCAGCAGGCCGACGACGCAGAGGACCGTGCTCAGGTCCTACAGAGAGAGCTGGACAGCGAACGGGAGCTTCGAGAGAAAGTGAGACAATCAAATCTTCTCCTCGAGTTATTTTCTCTTCGATAAAACTCTTTCTTTTCCCCGCCAGGTTCACTTTAATAGTAGTAACTAAGTAAAATCACTCATATTGGTGTCTCCGGGTGTTACAAAGTGTCGTTAGCTCGCTTCATTGATTCATTCGCGGCCGTGATGGAGGAGCCACAATGCAAGGCGTTGGTCTTCAATGAAAAAAGTTTGGATTCCTGCAGGTCTGTGCGCATGCGCAGTCTTGACCGATTTCTAGGCCGCTGGAAACTACAGTGAAAAATGTAGACCACGTAGACAGCACTGAATCCACTCTGAAAACTGAATATTATCGGTTAAACCAGCTCTATCTCTGCCTATTAGAACATATTGTATTACTTATCACTCTATATTACAGCATATTAGCGATTTAGCTGCTTTCAGTACCGCCAACATTTGGATTAAGAGGATAATGTTGTGGCTCTGGAGGGATATTTACTTTTTCACACTCTTAATGACTTGCTTAATGACACTTCAGCAGGGTGGATGTGTGCCAGAAACAGCAGTGTGGTTTCAGCGCTTTGGCACCTTACTATACCACCCTGCCTCTGAGGTTGATGGGAAAATAAGGACCTAAAAGTAGGATGTCTACTCTGTCATTATGGAGTCCTAAGGATAGTCTGGAAAATATGCCACCTTCAGCTAGACTCCAGGGATTAGTCATTCAACAGAAAATAAATAGGAAAATATGTTCATCATGAGTATGATTGCTTTTTAAAGGAAAATCTGCTCTAAGAGTTACTTTAGAAGAACCATTTTATGTTGTATTGTGTTATCCTAAGACAGGGGTCACCAAATATATTTGTCAGAGGGTCAGAATTTTACCGGACAGTCACCTTGGGGGCCGGACCCTCAAATAAAAATCAAATAAAAATCAGATTTTGGCGTAGCATTATTATTTGATGTTTATTGTTTATAAAACCGAAGGCATTTTTAGCCTTTATGAGTCAGGCTCCTATCACCTATAGCCCATTTCAGCATTGTGATTTGACTTTGATGTGTGAACATTATTTGTGACCTGTTTTGTTCTGGTATCAGGTTATTTATCATGCTATTTTAGGTTATGCCAGTTGGTTTTTCCTCCTCTTTTGTCATGAGAAGTCTACTAGTTTGAAGTGTGTTGTTGAGATTTTGGAATAAAAACTAAATGTTAAGTAAGGGCATGAGGGTACAGCTAGTCTGTCCTCATTTCAGAATGTATAGAGTCATAAATGGTGGGGTTGTTGCTGTTCTCAGTTGCTTTAATAGTGTGGACCACATGATATTTTCTCTTTGATCCTCATGATTATGGACTCCAGTCACGGGCCAGTTGATGATCACTGTCCTATGATATAGAGATTTTGCAGTGCTGAGGTGTGTGTTGGAAACTCTGATGGACTTACTGCCATTTTCTAACAGTCAATCATCAGAGGAGTCGACAGTTCTTGTTTGCAGCCCTGCTTTCATGACTTGTGCGTATTAATACTTCAGCTAACAGTAACAGCAGCAGTTGCACAACTTTAACTGTAATAATCACAAGTCATCGCTGAAGTTACACAAGTGAGTAGTTTCTCAAAGTTAGACTCATGGATGTGTTGAAATAGGCTCATCGTTGGGTATTCGCCCAGCTCTGTCACCTGCTTGTCTCTTGACTTGGCCCACATCACAGTGTTGTAGCTTCACACAGAAAAGGTAGAGATGGAAAAAAAAGGCTCAGCAGCACAGTTAGATAACAGTCTTGACTTGTTTTTCAAGCTGCTTTGTGATATATGGAGCCCTATCCTTTGCATAGGAGCAGGTTAATGACAGGAGAAGCCGACAGATTGAAGGGGAGTGGGAGGGGAGGGAGTGTCTGTAAAGATATGGAGCTGACATGATGAAAGGAGCAGAGATGCTGCAGGACTTACCCCTTTGTTACAGACTAATTATAAGATAACACTACATTTTCCAATTGACATAGCTTTTTGACAACAGTGACACAGGTTGTGTTTGCAGTATTGGCCATAATGAATTAACTTGACAAGTGTGAAGTCATGGTTTTCTGTTTGCTGCCAGAGCACAGTGACATGATGTGTTAAAATATTACAATTCATGTGGTGACCTGTTCCTTACACTCCTGCAGTGGCTTTCTGATGTCCAACCTCCACAAATGTACAATTTTGTACGATTTCTGACACGCACAAGAACAGCAACTGCTTCTTGTTGCAGCAAATGAAAATAATTTGAAGTCAAACCTTATTTTGGCTGGTGAAATATGTGTGAAATCCTCTGAAAAACATGGCACGCTGTAAAAAGTAATGGCATAAACTTAATTTCAGGATAAAGTGCACTGAACTTGAATAGATTAGTGTGCATAAATGCTCAATGGTACGATTGGTATTGTGGATTTGTTGTCACCTTTTAAACAGCTTCTCCAAGAGAACAGTTCCCTTTGACACACATTTACCCCTCCATGTGTATTCAGAGTCAAACAGAGCGGCGTGTTTGTGCTCTGGGCTTGGTGTGGTCCCATATGTGAATAATTAAGGCGACCTAGAGTTGTACCTAGGCACAAACACTCTTTCACTGGAGAACAGGGAGATGCCTGCTGAGTTTGTTTGAGTGACGAATTGTGCTGTGGAAATGTGGGGGCATCATCAGAAGAAACATTTGGCCACTTTTCTCACTTGAAAGTAAAATTAATTCCTTCATCATATTCCTGGTGTGGTTTTAACGCCTCTAGAGACGTTACTCAACCGCTCAATAATGCTTTAAGCCTATGTCAGATCACACAGACATGACACAGCTCTAAAATGTTCCTTTGAGCTGCTAAGATGTGTTTTATTGCAACCATTATTTGTAACAGGCTGCCTCTTCTTTAGATTGTTCAAACCATTTTCTTTTTTGGTGTCAAGTTGAAGAGTTGAGAGACTCTGGACAAGAAGATAATTTGGGCTATTACTGACCTCATGAGATGAGAGAGAAACACTCAAACTAGATTGCTGTGCTTTTAGTCTCCATTTCCTCTTTGAAAGTTGAAGTTTGCTTTAGATAACATACCGTTGACATGGTGATAATTGATGTTTACCGCAGAGTGTGCAGAAACAAAGAGTGTAGCATAGAAAACTACTATGCAAAACTAGATGAAAAGGGAAGTAGGACAACCTGCCACTGGGTTTCAGTGTTTGCAGGCAGAACCTCCCAGCTGCCCCTCCCAGGATATTGTCTGCCGGCTCTGGTCCGGCACTTCCTCTGCTTCTACTCCCAAAACTTCCTGTCCTGGAGCTCCAGCCCTGATCAACAGGAAGATTATTGTGTGTTGTAGACTCACAGTTTCAACCTATGTTTATGTGAATTCCAGTCAGGAGTGTCCCACATCGGTGAAAGTTTTACCAACTTTTATCCTGCATAATTATGGCATTTACATTGACATTGTTAGCCACACTGTTAGACAAGTGTTGAGTAAATGAAGGCCTCTTTTCTGTCGCATTTACACCTCATTTTGAAGGTAATCAAAGGAAATTATCGAGCAGAACTCCCCGCAGCTTGTCACTCTGCCAAAATGAGCTTGAGGTATCATCTGTTTGCGGCTCAGTGTGGTCAGTGGGTTTGAAGGATTTCTGCTGGGCCAGTGGAAAGACCTGCTTCCTGGTTTTGCTGTTTTCTCTGGACTCTCTCCCTGGGAATAGCTCAACTTTCCAAATATAACTGCCACATGTTTAACGGTTTTGGCGGTGTTACCGTTCTGGGGAAAACTCCCATGTTAGTGGCTTGAGGTCTGAGCTGATTATGTAGGCCAAGGTTGCAGGTTCCAGTTCAAGCAAGGAGTGCATTGTATTTGTGCAGTGTGGGCTGGAAATGGTAAATTTGCCTTTGAATGGCATTTCAAGAATGGACACAGTCTGATGAGAACATACTTTGAGGTTATATCTAACATTAAGGTATTTAGATCTCATAGATGCATGGAGGGGTTAAATGCATACCTCTCTCAATGTTTGTTTGTCGCAAAAGTTTTTTACTTGTTCTTCTAAAACTGCACAATGAAAATATTATCAATTTGACCTTTCCAAATTTCACTGTTAGAGTTATTAGCTGGAAGTTTGCCTTATGTTTAAGCCAACTGCTGGTTCAGACATCAGAGAAATTTAAGGCTTATGCTGCTGTCCAAAAATCCCATTATAAATTCTTTAAATAAACAAAACAGATGGAAACTTTTTTGCATGAGTTCGCATTTTGTGTCAAATGAAAGAGCCTGATGCCAGACTATAGCTCAAGACCAAGTTTAGAAGTCTGAGAACGTACATAATGTAGTAACAGCAAATTCGATCAAGCGAAGAAAGAGCTCATTGTGGTGCTTCTCTAGGCGTTTACATACGTCTTTTACATATCATATCTCATAACAAGTTGGCCTTAACTGTACTCCGATGTCTTTGCATGCCAGATCTTTGTAGAAAAAGATACCACAGACACACATTCACAGTGAAAATAGCATGCAGCAGTGTCAGGAATAACTTCCCCTGAACCCCAACAGCATTGTGCAGCTCATTAGCCCACTGCCCTAAAATCAGCCAGTAATTAGATTCCTCCTTTACTCGTCCTTGATCCTGTTATTACACGTTATATTCTCAGGTACTTAAGTTTCTCCCAGTAGAAGTGTGCTGTATCTTCATGTCACACTGCAGACTGTTTAATAAATAGAGTCTTAATAAGTTTGTTTCGTCAACCACTAATGGGGAATGGAAAAATGGAAGTGCACTAAGTCATCCTTTTTTTACAGCTTATTTTTGTGCAATTATTTATGCTGCTAAAAATGGAGCTGAGAGTCTCAACATCAATTTTTTAAGGAATAGAGCAAAACTTAGAGGAAGTGCACTTTTTGGTGTTTGGTAACAATGTAAGATGATAGACGGGTCTTTTCGTGTCTGTTTAAAGGTCGCTTATTAACTCTGAAGAACCTACAAAACTTACTGAATAAGTTGTTTTGTTGTTTTTATCACATTTGATCACAAAGTGTGAAAAAGTTCTGTTTTTATTGGTTGTGTTGTCACCGATCTGACAGCGAGAGAATCTGGGAGGTGGCTACGTCTCTTCAAGATTATTTTGTCACCTTTTTAATGAAGTCCACTTGTTTGAATTCAGATAATGTCCTGATCTAACCAGTAACACAATATAACAGGCATATTTCTGGGGTTTAGATCTGCTAGTAGTTGGGTTTTGCTAGTTTTCAAATAATGCTAGTTCCACTTGAGCTAAGCTAACAGTCTGATGACTGTAGCTTCTGTTATTATTAACTATACAGACAGAGCAGTGAGTGATATTAATCTTCTCTTAAAGCTTGCAAGTGAGGAAATAATCATAAAATCTCCAAAATGTGGATACTTGTGCCTTTTTCAACCATGACTGTCCTTCAGCAAGATTTGGTGGAGTACAACCCACCTCTCCTGCAGCACTAATGTTAAATATTAAGCCAGCTGGATAACCAACCAGCTACTTGTTGTCCAGTATTTTACTTACATGCACACAGTATAAGTACACGTGTCTGTGTATGTGTGTCTCGCTGCTTTAATCTTCCTGATACTTGACCACAAACATTCTCTGTAGTTTGTTTTACCATATAAGGCGGTGTGCGTCCCTGGCAGCCAAAGAATGCTCAGTGGGTGCTACAGAAAGCGGCATAGCCTCAGACAGCGAGAATACCAGCTCTGAAAGAAAGAACAATCAAAAAGGGGAGGAAACATAAGGAGGTCAGGGCAGCTGACTTCCTGCCAATCTTTCAAGATCCTCATTTGTAGAGTGACGTTGCCATCTCTTGTTATAGTAAAGACCGCGATCCCTCAATTTACAGTTCTTGTCACCTGTTACTTCTTCATCCTGCTCACTCGGGGGATGTTGCTCTCCTGTAAGCACTGATTGAAATGATTTTCCCTAAGCTGCAGAAGTATTTTCGACAGCACTTTCAGGATTTACAGGAAAAATTCTTCTCTTATGTCGTCATGGTTGAGTGCATTAGTGGCATGAGAGTATGTGTTGTATGTTCACAAGCTGTTTTACCAACACAAGGCAGTCTCTGTGCGGAGGGGATCTCCACCATGGTGTGATTGTGAAAATCTGATGACAGATAAGCCATCAGGTTGAGCATAAATGTGAGGGTAGAATTACTAAAACTATGGTTGTGTTGGTTTACTCTAAGGGTTTTGTGTCTGTGGGTTGCCTGACAACGCACATTTTGCAAGGGAGGAAACTCGCTGGTTGCAAGCTGCTAATTATGTGTGTGAATGAGGCAGAGACTGACAGAATGAGAGTGACCGTTTGCATGTTTGCACAAAGTTCATGTGAGTCTGGAACTACACTATAGCGTCTGATGTGCCAGTGCTGACTTGATGCTTATGAATGGCTTGTTTGTTTGGGTGCAGACGGTATTCTTCACAGCACATTGCTGCACTCAGGGCTTAGAAAGGTAATGATATCTGTTATTTCAGGCTGCCATTTGATTCCAGTCAATGTTTTTCACCTGCTAGATGTGGTGCGGACAGATGCAGACCTTTGTAACCAGCCCGCAGATGAGATTTCAAGATGTTCGACCGATTTATGACTTTTGAATGGTTCTTTGTTGGGGTAGGGGGTTTGCTGTTTTAAAATGTGTCGGTGCTAGTTGAGCAGACATTTCCTGTCTCACATCAACAGCTTCGCTCTGCAGCTCTAGGTGCAGTAGGGCAGGGCCTGGGAGAGGTCAAAAATCAGAGAGAGAAAGGAGAGAGAGCGGTGGAAAGACTGAGTGCCCAGTCTGCAGACATTGGAGACGAGAGGGAGAAAATCTAAAAACTAAAAAAAAAAAAAGGGGGTCTGCACCACCTGCCAGCACACAGGAAATCACGCTTTCATTTCCTGAAATATTGAGCCTATGAGAGAATGGAAGAATATGCCACACAGAGGTCTATTAATTTTCTGCACAAATAGATTGAATGAACTTTTTCCACTTTGCTCTCTGTCGCTACTTTCTCTCTCACAGTGAGTGTATCTCCTCAGATCTGTAGCAGGATGACTCACATACCTGTTAACTAAATTGCAGACACTTTGACTGTTAAACTGACTCTAGGACTGACTTCTGGACTGAATGACGAGCTAATGAGTCACTGACCTACTAACTGCAGCCCTGCCACCAAGCATAGAGTAATGTCTGTTTGTCTAAGAAATCCCCAGCTGCTTCATTTTAGGAACAGAGAGTAAACCTGTGTAAGTAGTCTGGGCTGGGTTGTTACGGTTCAGTTGTGCAGTAAAGTTTGAGCTGCGTGGTTGTAAACTTACATTTTTACAGTGTGTCGTCTCTTTGTTGCAACATTTGTGAAAAAAAAAAAATAGTTGGGCTGCTTTTCAGGTCAAAAGCCGCTCCCCTGGTGGTGGTGGTGCTTGGATAAACTCTCTGGCCAGCAAAGAGGAAATGCCTTTATGGTTGTCTGTTTGCTTTCTTCTTCTTTTCTCTGCCTTTGTTTACTAAGGGCAGATGAGAAGAAGCCCATTTGTCCAGCCTACTTGGCCCTCTTCTGCATGCACAGTCACAGGAAATTGACTTTTTGTTAATGTTTCTTTCAAATCTAAAGTCGGGCAATCTTCAGATATTAAAAGGATTACACTCTCCAGCCTGAGTCAGATGTCAGTAGTTGTATTTATTACAGGTAGGCCCCACTGCAGTGACCTCCGTTTGTCTCAGTTCCCCTTTTTGTACATCAGAATAACCGGACTATTGATTTTTTATCAAACTTGAGCTTCCCCAGAGAAAATCAAGAATAGATTCCAGTGTCTCATTTGCTCAGATAACATTGAGCCTATTAAATTTCACTGGCAGTCGGTTTTCTCTTTGCAGATACAGCTTCACTATGATTGTTCACAGGAGTTGGAATGAGTATAAAGAATAGGAGCACATTATTGAGTGATAAGACATGAAACTTGCTGACAGTCGGGGCATCACATTTATAAACACCAAGAAATATTAGGGTTCAGAAAAGTAGTTCTGGAGAGGACGCTTATGTGGTCAGGACTCTACTTGGCATAGCTGCCTCAATTCACCTCCAGTGTGTCCCATGTTTAGACCATCGCTGACCATTTTATGCATTTTCCTTGTTATTTATGGTCGTCTTCTACTTCCAATAAACCAGACTAGAGGTTCCCCAACTTTTCAGCCTGCCACCCAGGTAGTTAAATGTTGCTCACAGCTGTAGACACCCACCAAGAGGTTAATCCAAAACCAGACGTCAGAAAAACACAAAAGAGCACAACAGCTTCACATCCATAATGCTATTTTAAAAGAAAAGACTAAAAGGTGTCCTTATATTTAGACTGCAGCAATGACAGGATGTACAACATTAAAAAAGCAGATGGACTAGTAAGTGAGAGTGTGCTTGAGATCCCTCAGGGGTCCTGACCCTCACTTTGGGAACCACTGAACTCTTCATCTTTCACTGCTCCTTGCGGACATGTCTTGAGTGGACTCTCCACACCTGCTCCACAGGTAGCAAAGTGGGAGAGATGAAAGCTGTTGAAAAACACACATCAGTGTCAGACAACTCTGAAAATACACTGCTAAGATGTTTTGTTTTTTAACATCTGTCCCTGTCTTTGTTCTGTTTTGTTGTGCACACTTCCCCTCCTTGCTCTGCTCCCTTTTTTGTCTCTCGTTTCACAGCAGAGGAGTGGTAGGAGGGTTGACCATCGTGGATGATTTGAAGTTGAATAGATACTTGAAAGAATGACTAAATATCTGTCTTCCTCCCTTTTTTCTTTCCTCTTAGGCGGAGGGTGATGTAGCAGCTCTAAACCGTAGGATCCAGCTGGTGGAGGAGGAATTGGACCGAGCCCAGGAGAGGCTGGCCACAGCACTGCAGAAACTGGAGGAGGCTGAGAAGGCCGCAGATGAGAGCGAGAGGTCAGTATACAGCATGTTTAGTGAGACTCTTAGATATCCTTTGAATCATAATTCTGTTTTCAATGGATTTGTAGTGAGTTTGAATAACATATTTCTGCCCTTCTCATTCACTCAAGAGGGATGAAGGTGATTGAGAACCGAGCGATGAAGGACGAAGAGAAAATGGAAATTCAGGAGATGCAGCTGAAGGAGGCAAAACACATCGCTGAGGAGGCTGACCGTAAATATGAGGAGGTGAGACATCGAAAACATGACACTGGCACTCCAACATTTTTAGTCTTCATCTGTTCTTCCTTGTTTGTTAAATCAGTTTACTCACAAGTCTGAACCTTTTCTTTCTCAGGTGGCCCGTAAGCTGGTGATCCTGGAGGGGGACCTTGAGAGAGCAGAGGAGAGGGCTGAGCTCTCAGAATGGTAAATACCTGTGAACACAAACACACCACCAAAGACACTGAGACCCTTCAGCTGTTGAAACTCGGCCCATCTCTTTCTCCTCAGTAAAGCCTGTGACCTGGAGGAGGAGCTGAAAAATGTGACCAACAACCTGAAGTCCTTAGAAGCCCAGGCTGAAAAGGTGAGAGTGTTGAATAGCATTTGATAATTATGCATGAAATGACTGGACCCTGGACCAGAAGTATACGTTTTTATAGATGTATATTTGCCTTCTGATAGGACAAAATATTTTAATTTGTTTTCAGTTTAGGCAGGAAACATCAGCTGTTTGTGCCTTACACTATTTTTGACCCTTAATATGAGGCCTTTTCGAAAGTCTGGCTACAAAAAAACATATTGCTGACAATGCTGACAATGTTTTATTCTGCCAGAGGTCTTATTTTCTATCCAGGTGAATTTCTAAAAATACTCGCTGTTATTAAGAAAAGCTAAGTCATTGTAAACAGAGATTCGTCTGTTGTCTCTACAAATATACAAACTAAATATATACAACACAACAGTGAACTAGTCTCCAGGTCTGGCATCCAGCACATACTCATCTCCACCGAACTGCGTCCTGTCATTTAAGCTGGATCAGTGGACGGTAATTTCAGTTAGCTGTGCATAGTGAGGGAAAACACATCACCAAAATATTGTTTCAAAATACTCCCATTGTAATTTTGTATCAGCAGGCCTGACTTGCAGCACAACCTCTTATTTCCACCTCAGTTTCAGTAGAGGAAAAACAAGAACACATCAAGAATATAGATTTAAACCATTTAGAGGTGTAGCCCTTAAAATACATAAATGCAAAATAATTTATTGAACACTTTGCCAACAGGGCTGTTTTAAGCAGGTTTGTACAGCTGCGAAAGGTGTTCAAGTATTCGGGAAGCAGCCTCCAGGAGAAACCTGCAGCATGTTCTTCCTCTTTGCCGCATTAAATTCCTCCCCAGGCACAGACAGGCTGTATGACAGCATGCCAGGCTCCCCACATGACCACGCTCCTTCAACAACACATGCCTTCGTTTTGTTCAGTCAGGCTTACCATGCTTGGCATCACAGCAGCACAGCTTGTTCCCAGGCCAGGCCAACACCTCTCCTCCTTTGTGTCACTACTCACTTATCGCTCCGCAGAGAGGGAGTGGCAGCTGTAAAAACAATTATTACGCTATTATGCATGGATAAAGGCGGCGAGTGTGTGCTCTTATAGTTTGTAGGTGAAAGCATGTACAAGCATGTGTTGTTATCTCTGCTTCTAATTAGGTAATGTTGTTTCTTCGTGTCTCTGCCAACAGTACTCAGAAAAAGAAGACAAGTACGAGGAGGAGATTAAAGTTCTGACTGACAAACTGAAGGAGGTAAGTTCAGGATTTTACTCAACACAGAGCAAAATGGAAGAAGTCAGCCTCCTGAATATCCTTCATTTTATATGAGTGTAAACATTAAGCATTGACAAGGTTACATATGTGATGATAAAAAGACTTGGACAGGAATTTGAATTGGGTTGTGGTCAAGGACACTTAGAATGTAACATTATAGAGTTGATTCAGGTCAGTTCAGGCCATCCTACTGACAGGATCTTGAAAGCCTAATATTGTGGTAAGTTTACCGCAGCTGTTGTGTAACTCTTGACACACTCTGGTTGCCTCTGTGTTTGTCAGGCTGAAACCCGTGCAGAGTTTGCAGAGCGGTCAGTGGCCAAACTGGAAAAGACCATTGATGACCTGGAAGGTAGGAGCTCTGAAACATTTCAATGTCGTGATGCTTTAGAGTTCGATCTCATCTTTGAACTTAAATCTACATTTTCATATGACAAGTTAAACATGTGTCAATCAAAAGCATGGATGGACTTTAGGATGCGTCCAGTTTGAGTTTGTTAATGAACAAATGAATAGTTTGGTGAAGTTTCAGGGGCTTACTTTCAACTGTCTTAACACACATGCACAGATACACTGAGTTTGACATAGATCCAGAAACAGTGTCCTATTTCAAAAATACTTTGTGTGGGGGAAAAAAAAAAGCATTTGCTGCCAGATGCATGGAAACTCTATACCTGAGACAAGCTTAATGACAGTACTTTGTATCTGAAGGACGACTACTCAAAGAGGACACAGTGTGCTCCGGTGTGTCTGGGTCAGGATTGTTTAGCTTTAGAACCACATGCAGCTGAGTCCCATTTTGTGTTAAAGCAGTTTGACACATTCAGGGCAGGGTTGAAAATCAAAAGCTCATCCTGCTTTGTGAAGTATTAGACATGCATCACTCTTTCTCGCTCTTATTCCTGCAGCTTTAAAATACCTGACCCATTTTTTTATTTGTCCTCTCCTTCCTCCCTCTGCTCTTTCCCTCCATCTTCCTCTCATTGTTACTCTGCTTTTGGCTTCTTTGTGTTGCTGCTGTCCCCTACACCTGCCTGCTCTTCCTGTTGACCCCTGACCTCCAGATGAACTGTATGCTCAGAAGCTGAAGTACAAGGCCATTAGTGAGGAGCTGGACCATGCCCTCAATGACATGACATCTCTGTAGAAGCTCTGACATCCCTCTGTCTCCATCTCTGCTTCCTACTTTTCCTTTTCTGACTCAAGTTTTGAATTTTAGGACTCTCCAAAGTATCTCTGTGATCATCTGTGCCTTTGGCCTGTTCTATTATGAATTAAACCATCAATTAAAAATCTTTCCCTTTTTAATTTCCAGATTTCTGATACTGTTTTTTGTTTTTTATAAATTGTACATAGTAATGATACATTTAAAGCACAATCAGCCATTTACAAAAAGTGTTTCTATATCTGTAAACACCAGCAAGTATGAGAAGAGGTGAGATTTTATTTAGTTTTGGTGTGATTTAACACAGTTTCTGATCCTCTTTAACCTGTTTGAGCAATATTTTGGTTTTTTTTACTCTAACTTCCTTTCGGTTCCTGATGTGTAATCACGCGTGTCCATAAGGTGATATAAATCATGTACACTCGGTCGAATTTAATACAAGAAAATCTGAAAGTGTTTAACCTAATCCTTGGAGAGTTGACAGTCCTCAAGCATATAATAACAGTCAGCAGTTCATGCATGAAAGTCACAGTGATGTGGTTGGATTTTGCATGTGGCACAGTTTAACCAAAATAGAAATATGCAAAACATGTGCTCATCAGAATAGCAGGGAAATACTAATACTCTGTTTTGAAATATTGATGTTTGAGAAACCTTCAGATGAGAATTATCCCATAGATTCGATAAGTGTTACTTGCCAGTGGCTGGGATCTCACTGTCACTTTTCTTCCTTTCTCCAGAAAAATTATCACATGCCAAAGAGGAGAACCTGGGCATGCATCAAGTCCTGGACCAGACCCTGCTGGAGCTGAACAGCTTATAAACACACAGAGAGGAAGCTGGAGAGAATGAGATCGTTACATAACATTCCTCCAATGTACGACTCCATTCCACATTACGGGCTTAAAAATCTTCCCTAAATGAATGGGTATTAACTTAATGCTAGTCCCTTAATGACCTTTGGTTTTTTTCAAATGCACATGTTTTTCTTTCTTTTTTTTTTTTTTTTTACAGGGAGTCATTGTTACCACATGGCTTCATTTGATCTCCAGCCTTAATTGCAGAAATTCTCCCCAGAATAATATTTGACCACTTTTTGTTTCATTTCATTTTTTTTTTTTACGAAATGGCAACGCTTACACTCAAATAAACCTCAGATTTGGTCAACAAACCCTCATAAACTGGTTACATTTCGCAGTTTTTTTTACACAGAGACAAAAGTTTCTCTTCTATTAATAGAGCATACATTTAAGTTAGATTCTGCCCCGCCGACATTAGTGTGGCTCCAAGTGTCACCTAGTGGTGGTATGAAGTACTCAACAGTTTTTCAGATCTTTTTAAACCATAATAAAGGGCTACAGAATAGCAGACAGTGGGATGTCCCACAATTATGTCTCATTACTGATTATTTAACTTCATGGCAGTCTTGTTAGACAGGTGATTTGTAGGAAAGGTTTCGATGACAAAAGTAAGTAAGACCGGGCACATCCTTTCATTTAGTTGCCTTCTCTGCCGTTCCCATTATCCTGCGGCTTACCTAAGAAGATGCATCAATTATTTAAGTGCATTTTCTTTCTTTCTTTCTTGGTGTGGGAATTGTGCAGAACCTGGGAGCTGTGCATGTACAGTTTCTACAACCTGACATGCGTATCAAAGCTGAACTACCTTTCCTAATGCTCTGCCTGACCGACAGCAGTCTGCATCAGTGCCAATGATATGCCATCATGTAGCCAATTTATACTACATTTACAATACTTTGTATTACATGAGCGAGCTCAACCCCAAACCACTGGAAGCTCAGTCAACTTTTATCAAACATGGATACTTATTGTATATAGTAGAATAATGTTAGGTATGTGAGAAATTGTATTTCTTTGATTCTTTTTTTGTTTCCTTTACACCACTTCTTTTTGCCAAGGGGAACTCTCAAGACCAAAGAACACACATAACGCAGACAGTAAATTCTTAAGATGTTTTATTTTTGTTTGTGATGATGGTCATCGTGGTTTCATCTCATGCCAGGGCCATGAGACCATTTTGAGATATTTCATTCACCCGCCCCTCTCTATGTCAATCGAATAAATGTTTTACAGAAATTAAACTCGTTTGAGTTTTTTGTACTTTCAGACCACAATTATCTGAAAGTTTTCTGACTCATTAAAAAACACGGAGTGCTTTGTTTTAGCTATTTAATCATGATGAATTTCACTGTTCTCTCTGGAATGATTGTAGTGCATAAACTATCTAAAAGCTTATCTCGAGCTTTAAAAGCCCCACCCCTGGCCAATAAGACAATATTGGAGGAAATCCAGTTTCACTCCAGATCAACGAGGTGCTTAAGGAGAGGTACTATGTTCTCTCTGAGAATTCAGGTAATTCAGATCAAGGAGTGTGAGACTCAGACTCATTTGGCCATGATCCATTCTGCTTCCTGACATGAGTGTTTCCATGTGTCTGCTCAGGTGTGTTTCTTCCTGAAGGCACAGCCTGGGTGGACAAAAAAATCAAGCATATCTGAAACTTATTATAGGCAGATTATCAGTAAGGGCAGCATGTAAGCCCTCTTCTTGTTAAAAATCGAAATAAATATGAAACAATATGTCCTCACCTGGAGTTAGTCGGCATTTGCCTCCCCCGGGCTGGCAGAGAATAAGAGAGCATCCTCCACAAGGTACTGCTGTCTGAGCATGGCTGAAGATTGTGGTGATCTTATAGCAGCCTTAAACACACATTTAAAGATGGATGTAATTACAGAAAAGTAGTAATCAAAACGGTTTATCAAAAGGGAACATTGTACGAGATATTCAGTACCTGTACATTTAACATCCATGAAGTATGAGTTAGGTCTCTGCACCAGCCTCTTCTTCTTGTGTCGTCTCCTCTCCTCGGCCAAGCTGGGATGCAGCAAATCTCTTGCAATCTGCAACAATGATCAATCCAGGTTGTCATAATTGTCATTCATAAATTACTTAACTGTATCAACATGGATCAGCTATGCTGAGAATGAGAATATCGCCCCCTACAGTCTGATTAATACATGGCAATTTAAAGCAGTGATATGGACATGTCCAGGCAAGTCTTAACACAACTCCTGATGTCACCGGTATAGTCAATACAACTAAAGATATATCAGATTCAATTGTAAAATATTGTATTGCCCCTCCACACAAACACACACTAGTTAATAATTCGTTTAATTCTTTTCAGCTGGACAACATTTTTCTAATTAACACTAGGCTTACAGTTTTCCCCAGCTGCTTCACAACAACCACACAAATACAAGAGCAAAAAGCAAAACTTTTAAACTTACAGGCATTTTTGCTGAAATCTTTCAGGTATGTCGTCCGATGCAAATGTGACTTGATAAGGTCGACGTTCACGTTCAGATGCCCCTCAGTCAACCGGATCAGCTGAAGTTTGTTGTTGATGTCACTCTGGTGAGTTTGTGCAGTTTAGTACCAGAGGAGACCGAGAGGAGGAGGAGTCTGTCTGTAGTCAAAGGTCTGCGCATGGGAGACTCTTCAGAAAGTCACACCAATTAAATGGTCAATGTGAAATACGAGAAAAATATAACAGGGCGTGGGCCAGATATAGGCTTATTTCATCTACTAAAACTGCCGAGTATTAATGTTTTATATTGGTAATCGTCAACAATGAGCCTGTGGTACGGTGGTCGAGAACCGCCACTGCTGCAAAGAAAAAAATAAAAAAATAAAAAAATAAAGCACAACAGAAGTTATAGATGCGAAAAAGAAAAAAAAAAAAAGAAACTGAAGCCTGCTACAAATAAAAAAAGAAACAGTCCAGAAATAAAATAAAAAAAAACACATCGGAAGTTAATGACATAAAAAAGTGGTGATGCAAAAAAAAATAAAAAAAAAACCCCGCGAAATTAAACAATAACCTTTCCACTTATTTCTTTGCTCGTCTTTTCACCGTCATCCTCTGTGCCTAGATCGTAAAACACCAGTGCATCAATCTTTTTTTAATTGCATCCTTTTATTTTCACAGTAGGTAACTTTTTTTGTTTTGTTTTGTTTTTGCGTCACCACTTTTTTTGCGTCATTAACTTCAGTTGTGTGTTTTTTACTTTTATTTTTTATCTGCAACATTTCTTTTTTTATTTGCAGTGGGCTTCGGTTTTCTTTTTTCTTTGCATCCGTAACTTCCATTGTGGTTTTCTTTTTTTTTCTCTTTTTTCTTTCTTTTTTTAAAATTTTTTATTTAGAGCAGTGGCGGTTCTCGGCCACCGTAGCTATATTTTCACTGTACATGAGTTTTTGACAGGAAGACAAGTTTGGCAAATGTGAGTTTTCTAATTCAACAGGGTAACCGAACAGCCGAAGCTTCCCGATAACTTCCAACAGATTTTGACAAAAACAAGTTAAATGTCACAGAAATGCATTTTCTGTTCAAATTAAATACCGAGCCATATTTCGAAAGACCAGATGCACATCATCACCCGCACAAACGACCTGTTTTATGGAAAGCATATGATTTATTTCAGCCCGGGAGGAGTCAGACATCGAAACAAACTCACCCCTGCGGGCCAACCACAGACTTCCGGAGCCACGACGACATCCAAGAGTGATGGCTGATTTGACCAGAGGGGGCCCGACTGGCGGTGACGTCTGTTTCCGCACAAAGGGCGGGACATCCTCAATAGTAAGCTAACTAATAACATGGCGAAGACTTACGATTACTTGTTTAAACTACTTTTAATCGGCGATTCGGGCGTCGGTAAGACTTGCGTGCTGTTCAGATTTTCAGAGGATGCCTTCAATTCAACGTTTATCTCCACAATAGGTGAGCAAAAGCCGTATTATCGGGTTAGTCTTGGCCGAAAAGCGGGTTCAGGAGCAGCCCATCCCGTCATGCTAATTTGGTGCTAACTTTTTATCTAATAGAGGCTAGTCAGGAAGCAGCTCAGCCGGCTTGATAGAGAGGTTTAACAGCAGCGACAATGCTTTTTAAACACCAAGAAACCCTTTTTCATATGAGCTGCAAGTGTGGGTGACCTAAAAACCTCTGACTGTACACATATAACCATTGAAAGATGAGCTAACACGTTACAAGCTGTCAGTGAGCTCAGCTGGCAGTGTCATTTTTCTCATGATCAGCTGTTTGGACTTTGCGCTTTCGGTGCCAACATTACAGAAAGAATGAATGAGCTCCTATATTATTCTTAATGTCTAAAATCAAACACCTCTACTGTCTTTGAGGAGCTGAAGTAACAGGTGTGCTTCAGGTGTGTGACTTCTACCACTGCTTTTTCTTCAGGTATTGACTTCAAGATCAGGACAATAGAGTTAGATGGAAAGAAGATCAAACTACAGATATGGTAAGAGGGTTTCAAGTGAAAATTGGTGATATATACACTCACATGCCAGTCTATGGGTTGGGTGTAAAGTATATAACAGTGTAATGCAATGACAATTGAGGTAAATCCCTGAATAGCTGAGCTGAATACATGCACAGAAACTCCTACAAAGCACCATCATTGTCTCTTTGACCTCTGACAATCTATTACGGTATAAAACACATATAATGAAGATATATGTGTAAGTATTTTTGGAAAGCTGCAGATGATAGAATAGAAAAGACCAACATCTACTTTCATGTGTACATGTAAATGTTCTTTATTTATACAGGCCTTTACAACAACCCTTTGGGTGAACCAAAGTGATTTACAATAGAAAATAAAAATGAATAAATAAAAACATGAAAAAGCAATAATAAAAAAGAATAAAATACAATGCAATTAAATAAAGTGTCACCACGCTACTGGGTATTAAAAGCCAGCATAAATAAATATGTTTTCAATCGAGATTTAAAGAAGGCCCAGGTCGGAAGTAAGTCTAATTTCAGTGGGGAGCTTATTCCAGAGCCTGGGACCAGCGACTGAAAAGGCCCGGTCACCCCAGTACTTGTGTTTTGACCCGGGCACCTCCAGCAGAAGTTGATTTGACAACCTCAGAGCTCTACCCGGCTCCTGGACTGTTAAAAGCTCAGTTAAATAGATAGTGGCAATGCCGTTAAGAGCTTTAAAAACAAACATTAAAAGTTTAAAATCGGGAAGCCAATGAAGGGAGCTAAGGACAGGAGTGATGTGCTCATGTCTGTTAGTAGCAGCATTTTGGACAAGTTGAAGGCGACTAAGAGGTGATTGGGAGATGCCAACATAAAGTGCATTACAGCAGTCTAATCTTGAACTGATTAGAGCATGGATGGCTATCTCAAGTTCGTGACGGCTTAAAAACATTTTGACCTTGGCCAGGAGATGTAGTTAGAAGAAACTAGTCCTGACAACATTGTCAATTTGTCAATTTTATAAAAGACATTGCTTGTAATGTAGTCTTGTGTAAATATTGTCACCTTAATGTCGCACTCAGGAGTATTTTCATGGTTGTTCTTTAGGGATACAGCAGGTCAAGAGAGGTTCAGGACCATCACAACAGCCTATTACAGAGGAGCCATGGTGAGTTTCATCGTGCACATTGAATCTTATGCAACAGATAAGAACATGTCTGGGACTAGAATAGGAGAGTTGGTCATCTCAGGTGTGCACAATGCAGCACAACTCTTAAGCAGAGCCACACCCAGCATTATTGTTGTAGCTAATTTTACACATACTTGTGCAGCACTGTTGTCATTTTGTGAGCCTCTCCTTCAGTTCAAGTTAAACTGGATGTACATTTTCATCTAAGTGATCCTCTGCTGTTCAAATAAATTGACATTTGGTTGCAGATTCATACCATCCAGTGGATACTTGATTTGTAAAGCTGTCCCTGTGAAGTAATGAATTTGGGGAATGAGTGATTACATTTTTCACATGTCTTTTCCTCTTAACCCTCCAGGGTATCATGTTAGTGTATGACATTACCAATGAGAAGTCCTTTGACAACATCAAGAACTGGATACGGAATATAGAAGAGGTAAAGTACATCACACCTGTTTGTGGCTGTTATATCTGCCTGCTGTTCACCTAAATTGTTTATTTCCTATGTAGAACTAATAAGTATCCAGAACTCTACACAGTTAATTGCTGATTAATTTCCAGTTTGTTCACAATGACACTCATCTTTCCACAGCATGCCTCAGCAGATGTAGAAAGGATGGTCCTCGGGAACAAATGTGATGTCAATGACAAGCGACAGGTGTCCAAAGAAAGAGGAGAGAAGGTAATACATCAGCCAGTGAAACCCTGATTTAAAAATAACATCTTAATCTAACTCTGACTGGTTATATATTGATTATTTTGGATTGTCATGCCTGAGTTCTGACACTAATTACTTCTCTTTTCTCCTACTACCAGCTGGCATTGGAGTACGGTATCAAATTCATGGAGACCAGTGCAAAAGCCAACATAAACGTTGAGAATGTGAGTACTTTCTTTCTCTGGTAATTTAATGTTCACCCATAAATAAAAGTATCGTTGCTAAAGAAGCCAACCTATCTGCGCCTGGAAATAACTCTAGTCCCATTGCTTAAAGGGACAGTTTTTCATTTCAGTAAATGGGCATATTTAATTTCTTGCCAATTGACACCACTGCTGTACTTGTCAGTTGTTAAGAATACTTTAGGAGGCGGCCTCTTGGATTAGCCAAGATTACAGACTGAAAGCATGAGAAAATAACTCTCTGTGCTCCGTCTAAAGGAAAAAGAACTGCCTGCAAGCACTTTCGAAAGCTTAGCATTTCTCAAATTTGTCATTGTTTTTGTAGTCTGCGATGTGTAAATCAAAATATGAATATATACAAATAGAACAAACGAAGATAATAGATACATATGTATGTGTATCAAATAAAACTGCATGTATTGTAACAAAGGATTATGTTTGTGACTTACCTGGTCATGCTTTTATCATTTTCAAGTTATTTTTATTTCCGTTTATTTGTTTACGAACTGCAAGCATGTTTAATTAAATGTTATGAATACTAGTATGTTTGTGCTTTCATATCACAGTTATTAAAGAATTAGAGTCAGTCATTTGTATCCATGGTTACTGATCATATTTATTAAACCTTCAATAAAACCAGTAATGCCTGTGTTCCTGTTGCTGTCTGCAGGCCTTCTTAACCCTTGCCAGAGACATCAAAGCAAAAATGGACAAGAAGCTGGTAAGACCGCTCAAGAGAGCAAACTGTGTATTAATCATAAAGCTGCGATAGATTTGCTGTTTGTCATGTTCTGGCATTGTCGCTGCTCACATATCTGGATTTTTCTCTCACGTCTGTGTGTAATGTAGGAGGGCAACAACCCACAGGGCAGTAATCAAGGAGTCAAGATTACAGAGCAGCCCAAGAAGAGCAGTTTCTTCCGCTGCACGCTCCTGTGAGGAGACTGGAGTATCGGCATCCACCAGAGCCTTAACCATGTCCCCCAAACTGGACAGAACTGGACAGACAGAGCACACTCTGTTCTCTTTTTCATTTTTATTTCCCGTCTTCCTCCCTTTCTTTCTGATTGTCCCATGCTCATTTGGTAGATAAAACAAGCATTTTTTTTTTTTTTGCCCCCTTGCTTTTCCAGTCTTCCCATGACACCAGCACATCTCATGACTTATGCCTCTGCCTCATGCTGATTACGATTTTTGTTGTGGGTATTTCACGAGTTTACACCAAAGTCCTTCAGTTTTATTGACTTTTAAGGACTGACCTCTGGTAAAACACCAGAAACAAACAAACAAACAAACAGACCTGTACTGCTCACAAGATCTGAAGCTGAGTTGGTATCTTTCTGTCGACAGTCTTGGTGAAGTCTTATTTATTGGATCTTTATTACTTAAAATAGCCCACATTATACCTTAAATTTAGTCCTTTCTGTAAAATAATAATGCTTTCTTTGTCTTCAAGGTGATAAGAGCACAATCCTGGCTAAGCACAGTTTTTGTAGTTTTACAACATGTATCTTTTGACCAGTTGGCTGACACTTTCTGCCATACCAAAATTGAAGTTTACGTTATTGATAACAACAATTTATCCCGCCCATGGGAAAGCAGTGCCAGCAAATTTTTACTCCTCATATCAACATCGGGACGTGCATGTTCTCTGTCCACCTTTCTGCTGTATCTTAACATTGATTCCTGAGGCTGAAACATTCCTCTTCTGACAACTTAAATGTGCAATGTACTATGTATGTGGGGCCCAGACTTCTTTCCATCTTGAGTATTTGCCCATTCTTGGTGAAGAATGGGATCTTGACAAAGTATGCTTATTTTACAGGGGCATTGATTCTTTTTGTAGTGTCTTACCTCATTGTTTCAGGTATTGCAGTTTTTAAGATAAGATAGGTGTTATGGGTGTGAGGTCTACGGTTATTTGCTGTGTTTCTACTGGTGGACAGGCAGTACCTAAACTGACCACCTGGTGGTGATAAAGTTACACAGCAGAGGCACAGATGGAATCACAACAGTGTCCAGCTCGTTGTTGATCCTTTCACACTTCTTCCGGGGAAAACATACACACATCGGTTTCCTGGGCCTTGGATATGGGCTGTGCTGTAGCAGTATTTACGGAGCGAAACAAAACATAGCACCAAAACGACAAAGTGCCCTTTAATGTTCTTATTGTTAATGCACTTTTCCTTTGTTCTTTCTGTAAAAAAAAAAAAAAAAGTTCTTAACATTTGTCGGCTGTATTTGTTGCAAGTCTTAACTGAAAGCAAAGAATATTCATGCACAAGTTTTCCATGTATCCTAACTGGACTTCCTTAAAAACATCAGAGCACTGAAACCTTGTCTTTGTAGTGAGAAGAATGAAAACATACCGAAGGCCTGTGATTTAAAGAGCTTTTTCATTCTCATTCCCTTAACAGATATTCAAATTTTCTAGCTTTTTTAAATGCATTTGCTTCCCAATGTTGCTTTTGGAGGCCCCAGATGCACCCGACCGCTCTTCCGCTCATTGACCTCCCTTCTTTTATCCTTATTGGTTCACTGTCATGGCCATCTGAACTATGCATTCTGGGTGTATAGAAAACCTCAAAAAGCTTTGCACATCTGACTTTACAAGCTTTATTTGAGATTAGAAATGTGCTAAGGATCTTAGCTATTTTATTTTCTGCTGTCACTCCAAATTCATATTTTCTCCGTTGAGCTGTTGAGGTGAAAAAAATAGGAAATTAATTAATGCTGAAGATATGTGATAACATATCTTCAGCATTCCCTATCTGGGGTAGTATTTCATTTCATGGGGAACATGTGAAATAATTCAGCAATTGTAAATAAGATCTGCAATGATTGTACTTCACAAATCTTATTGATCTACACCTTTTGTAGATGTGTGTACTTTTGATGATTTATTAAAAATGAGATTCTTAAATATTTGGTCAACTTACAACATGTGCACTTTTTCATTTTTTTCAATCTGTCTAAAAATGGCAGAGAGCTTATTTTAGTGTGTTCCTATCAGGGGTCTATCGGATCGGCAAAATGGGAATCCCTCTAATATTATTCTTTTATTCACATTGGCTCTGAGTACCTGCTATCACATACTGTACGCTTATGCCTTTGTTCTTTGGACTAATTTTACCACCAGATAGCTCTGTGGTAGCAGTAACGCAAGAGAACAAACATCTCACTTATGCAGCATATGCAAAGTGTTACGAACAGCAGCATAAAATGTTATTAGCAGTTGTGCAACAGGGCGCAGGAAGAAACAAATTATCTCTATTCATTGTTAAAAACTCATGAAAATGAAGTAGCAGTGAGTCTATTATCTTTATTTCCATTGACTTGATCTTTAAGTATTAAATGTGTCGTCTCTCTTTGCAAAACCCGAGCCTCACAATAGAGATCTGAACGGTGGTATCTGGAAGATGATGGCAGGGCTGTACAAAGAGGATCTTTACTTTTGAAATGCCTTTATATATTTCACGTCTCTAAATTTCAGCCTGGATTCATCTGTGAGGAGCATATATTTACTTACAGCCAACTGACATTTATCACATTTGGCATCGCCAGTTGACTCCCATCAGCTGACCAAAGTATGAGAATGAAAAAGATGCATTTTTCTCAAAAAAACCTACAACCTGATTATTTACCAAAGTGCTTATTCAGGTAGTTCTGTGTTCCCCTAAAAAAATTGGAAAACTGTGGAAATCTGTCAATCAGTTTACCTGACAAAGTCAGACTTTAATGTTATATTTCCTCATTTCTCTGTTTTTATTTTAGCATTAGATTAAATGTCACAGCTGGCAGAGCCCCTCAATGTGCTGTAAACCCTCTTATAAAATTATACAAGGTAAGTTTTGGGTGTGAATGTGTGGCCAGTAACACAAAATCAAATATATGTCCAAATTAGCTCTGAATACAAGTTGAAAAGAGAGTGAAAATCAGCTTAAAGTATAATAATATAATTAGTGGTGTGATAAAACTCCCAAGGTTCAATTTTGTTGTTATATGTTTCACTGAACTTACAGGTTATGTTGACACTTTGTGTTACACCCTCTTGTGAAAATAATACAAGGTAAATATTAGGGTTTAACGTGTGTACAGGTTCATTATTCCACCCACACTAAAATCTAATTTACATGATCGACTTAGACAATAATATGTCTTAGGGAGGATTTGTAATGAACCATTGAAAAGACACAGATATTGGGTTATGCTATTGATTGACAGATGGTGAATTGAAACAACTTAAACCAAGTTGTAAGTCTATTAGCTCTGCAAACTGAGCATTAGCATGTAGCTCATAGCATCATGGATTGAGCCAGTCTTTTTGAATAACTGCTATACACTTCAAGCTATCAAATAATCTTTGTAATAGATTTATTTATTCAAGAGTTAAACTTTAAAGGTGGACAGAATCAAATCACTTTACTCCAAGCTTGCTTAAGAAGTTGTTCAATAACAATTCTTAAAAGTAACTGTTCATTTTGCTCTAAAAAATCTTCATCAGGAATCTGAAAACTTATGTAAGTCTAAAAAAAATTACATTTTCCAAGTTTAAAAAAAAAGCTCTACAAAAGTGACAGAAACTGTCATAATTTACATGAAAATTTATGAATATAGATTGAATAATACTAGCTGGTGAAAGGCCGCCCCAACTCAACAACTATCAAAAAATCTAGCAATTTCTGAGTTTGTAACATTTCTGAATCTTTCCCCCCAATTAATCAATTTTTTAAAGAAATTTGAAGTAGAAATGAGGTTTCCATTTAAAATTACAGCAAATTCAGACACATGAAGTAGACAAGGACGTTTGTGGGTCATTTTTTTTATTTAGAAAGAGAAGAGCTCTTCAAAAATATTGACACCTGAACTCATTATTTCCTCTTCTCACTTTGTATGTGCCAAGGTAGGAAGACCTTTGTTTTGGTATTTTGCTTTTTGACAACCACATGATGCTTGTCAAACTTCCCAGCTTGGTTCTATAAGTTCAGTTGTTTATGTAAAATGAATTGTTTAGATAGTTCCTGTTTAAAAGAGGTTCCTCTCTGATCAAAACATTAGATAGAAGTCCAGATATTCCTCTCTGAGCATTTAGTGTAGTGCTCCTCCTGTATACAGTACAGTATGGTAATAAGAGCTTTCATAAGGTTCATAAGTCACACTTTAAGAAGATAAAAGTCACTCCTCTTATCTTCACATAAAAGTGTTTGATAAACCGCCAGTATGTACACTGATCCTCTGTCGTATGTGGCTCTGGTAGTCTGTGATTCTAGGTAAATGAGAGTGGACTTAAGTCTCCTCCCACTGAGAGGTGTTGTCAAGCGTGTCAGCTCCACAGTTTCAGTTTATCAGAAGCAGCTAGACAAGGTGAGTACTACTTTCTATGAGCTACTCTTCACTGAGAATTCTCTGTTATTACATTTTTTTTAAAAACATTTTTTCAATAATAATCAGTAAAAAATAACAATGAAATAAAATAACTATCTGTCTTTACACTGAAAGAATTTCAGATGAAATTTCTCAGATGTAAAATTAGAAGAACAATGATCGGCATATATCAGACTTCATCTGAAAACTGTCATGTGGCATTCAAGTGGAAGAGGACTTGTGTGACATGAAAAAGGAATAAAAAGGCAAATTGCTGTAGAGTTGCTCTAAGATAGGACATTACAGACATTTGTATTTACTGTATTATCTATCAGTTACACTGGGCACTACAGCCTGAATGTGCTGGTTTATTAACTCCCAGTTTATAAATGTTTTTTTTTTCTGTATGTAACATGATACTCTTGTTGTAATGTTTTGGTAGATCTTGGAGCTCTGTGATCAGAAGACTTCACAAAGGATTTCATGAAAGTTCCCCAGGATGATGGAGTGGACTTCTTCCTCACAGGGACAGCATGAAGCTTTTATATGGTTTACCGATTCCCAGCTCAAATCGGTGATCAGGAATGGTGTAGTCCCTGAATGGTTTCACGGGATTATTTCCAGGAAGTAAGTCTAACAAGTCTATCAGTATCTGCCATCAAAGAGAGAATGTGGGCGCACATTTTTAAAAACCTTGCATGATAAGCTCAACATGATATTCTATTTCAGTATGTTGTTGTTTTTTGTGTGCAGCATACAGATATAACTTTATCAACATTTGTGTCTTTGGGGTGTCAAATAATACAATTTTAGACATCATTTTAATATCAAGTCAAAGACAGGAAGTAAAATGTTGCTCGTGCTGCCTCTGTTTAGAGTAGATAGCATGCCCCAGCCAGGACATGAAAACAACAACAACAACCAGCCTTTAACTGAACACAAACCAAACAAAATGAACCATTTAATCCTAATCAATCCATTTTTTAGGTTACTATGAGAATCTTTGAAATCGCGCATTTTTCCCTCCTAAAACTATGTGTTAAAAAATCATATACCACTTTGCTGATTTGTATTGAGCACAAAGTAGAAGTTAAGTATGGAAACCAAACACTGATTATAGATGTTGACCTATAATAGAAACTGATCTCATGCACTTTCGGGAAGTAGTTTTATCAATGGACTTTACCCTGATGTAGATTTCAAAGAATTTATACTTCCTCCGCACCCACTGTAAGCTACACAGTCACAACTTTGGGTAATGGTTGACACGAAAGGATAACTTTTGAACATGGCTTGTTAAATAAGTTTACATTCAGAGTTGATAAGCCCACAAACGTCATCTGTTTATCTGGTAGGTCATTACACAACATTTTTTTAGTAACTCTTTCTAGCTCCAGTACACGTACAAGATTACCCAATAGAATTGCTAGAGCACTTTCAGATGACAGTGCACTGTGAGGGGAGTCATTGTTGTAACTTGGCTTGTTATCCATCCAGAACAGCAGAGGAGCTTCTGATGCCTAAGCCTCCGGGCTACTTCCTCATCAGAGTCAGTGAGAGCAGGATTGGCTACACACTCTCATATCGGTGAGTGTTTGTAGGATCTGTGGAGCCATATTTTCTGTTAGCAGGTCAAAGTCCTGTCCTGTTTGTGCCCTTAAAGTGTTTTTTTGTCCTTCTTGTTGACCCTCAGTGTTGAAGACCGCTGCAGACATTTTATGATTGACGCACTGGAGGACGGGCGTTATATTATTGTAGGGGAAAACAGGAGTCACCAGTGTCTGCAAGACCTGGTAGACTTTCATCGTAGGACTCCCATCATGCCTTACAGTGAGATGTTAACTGTAGCTTGTGGACAGGTAAGGGGATCTTTTATTATTTATAGTGTGTATTTAAGTGGTTTGTAGCACTTTTTTATTGTAACAAAGGTAAAGGCATTATTGAGAATAATAATAGAAACAATGCAAACAGAAATAAAAACACAACCTCAATCCAACCAAGTACAACCAATAGTTAGAAACACAAGAACAAAGACAGAATCCAAAATGTTCTCTGAAACTGACACGATTACAAGTCCTTGCATCCTGACGCTGATTGAATTCACTGGCTTATCAAATTGACCTCGATGTTGCCGCTCTGTGTTGTGTTACTTTATAAAGTAAAAATAAAAATGACGCACAGGAATATAACTTCTACATGATATTTGTAATTTTGGTAGCCAGAGAACATGTAATCACTGGAGGTTAAAAATCACAATTTCATGCCCCCCTTTTGTAGGTTAGAGATGGGCCACCCCTGTCAAAAAATCTGGACACACCCTGTTTGGAGATAAATCAATGCATGAATTTAAATTTTTGTTCGTTTTTAAATAGAATAAAAGGAGGGGACTCATAAGTTTGTACATGATATAAGATTAACTCTGTTTAACTTTGTGAAAAGACAGCACTACACATGCGCTTAGAAGAATTTACAACCATTCAGAGGAAAAAGATGTCTCATTTCCTGTCTGAAACTACTTCATTTGCCTATTTGTTTAACACCTGTACATGATGCAAAAGTTGCATGACCTCTCATTTTTCTACTTTCTCTTTCCCTCTTTTTTTTTTTTTTACATCAGAGCTCAAATGACAAAACTGACTACGCAGAACTACTGTTTACACAAAGCCATCCGATCCCTACCACAAATTTGCAGCAGAACATCTCCCTGCATATCAGCAGAAATCCCGCTGCACCACAAGAAGATATCCCACCAGCCCTTCCTCACCGACCTAACAACCTGAGGATCCCTGCAGGCTTTTCTCAGGGCAGACTTTACCCTAGTTTGGAAGAGGAGTTCCCACGTGACAGCCTCCTTCCTCCAACCCCTGTAATGCTGAATTCTGCAATTTACTGTGTATACTGTCTGGTTCTTGAACAATTAACTGATATCCCATTTAGTCCTTTAATTTATATTCTGAAAGATTGAATTGTTAAAAGTACAGCACTTTATTTCCTTAAAGAAGGGTATTAATACTTTTATATTTATGATCTACAGCCTGTGCCAATGCCCAGGAAGAACCAGCCACCTCAACTTCCTATTGAAAGCCCTCTTCCTCCATTGAAGCAGAACCAGGCCTGCGTCAGAACAGTCTCTGCTCCGGACAGCCGCTTCACACATTCAGCCACCGTGCAAGCATTCAGCACCCAAAGGAACCAGGAAGCAAAGCCATCAGTCGTCTCCAACCTAAAGAACTTGAGGAAAAAATTCGGAAAGAAGAGAAGTCCATCGCAGGAATTAATGAATGCAGAGATCAATGTGGGGGCTACTGAGAGGAGTGGAAACACTGAGCATGAGTACCAGGAGATCACAGGGGAGCAGAGTAAACCATTTTCTAACACCTGCCCTGATATCAGACTGACTAATGAAAGGCTACCTCACGAGTACAGACAACCTCCACCATTTGCTCCAGGATACTGACATTGAACAGCTTTCTGACAGTAAATAACTTTAAAAAACAGGAAACAGCTTTCTCATGTCAGTGTAAAGGAAGTAAGATCAACCTGCAAGCACCTCTCAAGCAACCAAATTAACACGCCATATTTAATTAACTTCATCCATCCGAAATAGAAACCATGAAAACAAGCTGCACCTTCATGGAGTTAGGACTGAGTGAATATTGGACAAATTAGTCTCTCATATCTATATCTGTAATTGATAACGGTGAGTCACAAATGCCCTTTTCCATTTTGGTGGTTGAGTAAATGACAACATGAGAGACCGTCACAGAAAATAAGATGATCCTTGTAGTCTCTTTGCTGCTTCATGACTAGATTTTTATATTCAGCTCAATTCTTTAATTCTTACGTTTGGTGTTGTGCTTATAAAAGTGCAGCAGGAGGAAGTTTCTGCAGAGCATGTAAATTAGGTATTTGATGGTTGGCTACTTTACATACAGGTGACACAGGTCTTTGTAGTGGGTAGGTACATTATTGGCAATGACAAGGGAAGCTGAAAGAAAATGCAGACTCTTATCAAACCTGTCTCGGGTGAAATTATGCACATGAATGAAACAGTGTTTTGGGCACAGTAGAGACATTTTTCATCTTTTTTTTCACAGCAAGTATAGGTCAGATATTTCTTGTTTATGTGAAAGATAAAGACTTTGACACATCTAGACCACATGCTCCTATCATATTTCACATCCATGTACAGAGTTGCTTAATATATCAGGCACCTTGTTTATGTGCCATGACTGAGTTAATAAATCAGATTTACAACATGTTTCATCTCTGCTTATCTACTGCTTCAACAAAAGACATGCAATGTTGACTATGAATCAAAACAGACATTTTACAGTTTTCAGAGAAACTGAATTTATGTACAAACATTGACTTCCATCCATCCGTCTGTCTATCTTTCCATCCATCCACCCACTTACCTTTTTTTCCTCCCTCCTTTTTTTTTCCTTAAAGAGATCTTTGGATGTCAGGCGTCTGGGAGGTCATTCAGCTGTAAGGTGCATGATGGGTGGATGTAATGACATGAAATGGGCTTCAAGCCTTCATGACTCAGCAGTCCTATTCTGACTACTTTTATTTTACAGCAATGTTCTCACAAAAGAGTTGTTCTCATAGTTAGGACTGATACAGTTCCTGTGATCTAATAAGTCCAGACCTGTCCAGACTAGCCGAAGAGCAGACACAGGACTCATGTTAGACTACCATCTAGTGGCATCAAGACAAAACCGTTTTGTCAACTGAGGTTATCCCTGCCAACTGCTGCTGCTGATGACAAATCTGTATATTAATTTAGGTATTTGACTCTTAAACATGGTTTAGGCTAGTTTTAAACCTGGTCACAAAAGCCTGAAATAGATCAAGTACAGGAGGCTATTACTGATGAGATTACTTGAATAGAAATACGTACATTACAAATGAGGTTCAGTTGCTGCCAATGAACAAAATGAACAAGGCAACAAAAAACAATGAACAAACAAATACAAAACAAACAAATATATTTATTTTTCTCCTCCTTTTTTAACCATCCTCTTATTGTCTCAGTGTGTGTAGGACTAAAGACCATTGACACAGAAAAAAACAAGAAAAAAATAACAGTAAGTCTACACTGAGCATCTCTTTTACATTTTTACTCCCACACTTATCAAATGTTTCTTATTCATAAACAAAAGAAGACTTTATGAATAAGGGAGAGTGGGGTAAGGTGAGCCATTTTTCATATTAAGGATCACTACATCAAGACAATCATAGTTTTATCTCTGACTAGTGTATCTGCATATATATATATATATATATATATATATATATATATATATATATATATATATATATTTATACATGTATGGAATAAGTAGACCATAGGAACAGGGTCTAATAACAGCGGGGAGGAAGGACCTGCGATGCCTCTCTGTGATATTGCATATAACTGCTAAAAAGCTGTTTTGTAAAAATCCATTTTAACATGAGAATGTCTTCAGGGCTGCGATTCAGAACATTCACAGCTGTGTTTTTGAAAAGAACAATCTGAACTGAAACTCTGATCCTCTCATCAGACTCCTTTACTTTTTCAGTTAAACCAGTGGTTCAACTTACCCCAGAACTACTATGATGACTTTATTAGTCCTCTAAGCTAAGTTAAATTCTAATAAAACTCAATTCACGTTTAAGAGTGAAATATATGTATATTTTTTCCACCCATTCACCCATGTGCTTCTAACATTTACAGATTCCATGAACTGATGCCCATCTCCTAAATATTTGGTCACATGATCAGTTTCTATCATTTCCAAGTAACAGGGGGTGACTCAACTCACCCTTCGGCTCAACTTACCCCACTCTCCCCTATGTGAGATGAATATGCTGTCATAATAGGACGAGATAAGCAGTCTCCTTGACCTATCCCGGGATAACACAGTTGGCCAACCATTCCCTTTTTGGAGCTTGATTTGTCACACGTCTTTATAATGTTGGTGGGTTGACGTCCAACCACTGAGCACCGCCCTGCCGGACTACCCCCACAACACAAAGCGAGCAGATCTGTTAACTGGAAGTCGAGGTGACGTCATGTGGGAAGCGCTTGATTTCCAACCAGGGAGCAGCCAGTCTTACTCATGTAGTGCCGAGGAAGTTCTTCTATCCCCGAGACATTTTCCCCGTGACATTTACAGCCAAAGTTATTACAACTTTCTACGATTTTGAGTCGAAACACCTCGGCGACGCAATGGCTTTCACTCCGGGACAGCCGGTAACTGCGGTCGTGGTAAGTTTGGGAGTGGGGTTGTGTCCATTCAACGGGACTCTATTGTTTGGTGTCTGAACCGACGTTAGCGTGAAACTGCCAGGGTAAAAAACTGCAGTTATATGAAGTCAGCTGCTGCGCCAAGAAACATCAACACTCACATTATTATTATTATCTTTACTTTGCTTGACTAAAGTGAACCGTCGTCCTCTTTGGTTGCCAGTCAGAAGCTTTTTGTATACCACAGAATTGTCACATAGTGATGATACATTTGACAAATACATTGTTAATTCACTCCACTATGACCAGGGGCATTGAATTTAGATAAGTGCACCAGTTTACACTTTGTTTTTGACTCTTTATCGAAAACTCTTTTAAAGTCCTGACAGCTAACTACAGTATTTTTACTGATGGGCGTCGCCGTTTGTGTGAATCAGCCTTAATGCCATGCCGGACTTTATAACAAGAATCACTAAAACTAAAGTACATTTGAATTTGGTTGCTTGTTTGTACGGCTTCAAATCTAAAAAAAAAAAAACAAAAACAACCAATGCAGATTGTAAATTCATGACTAAGACAAAGATATGGTGGATCAGGCTGGTGTTGCAGGGAGTTGTCCAGGCCTGGGATTCAAAGGTGTTACAGGGGTGGGGAACAGGTAAGCACTCCTGAAGTAGGCAGGTTTACTTCCTCAATGAGTATAGCGCCTCCTGTCAGATCCATTCAGTTTGTACATCATTTATGAAATATTTATGGTGTTAGAGTATAAAACAATGAGTAGTGTTACCTAATTTTCTAGCCCCGGCTTTCATTACTGTACATTTAAAAGCAATTGATATTTATTTCTGTGTTATATTAGAGCATATACTGCAGTTTATCAGCCAATACTCTTGTTTCTTTACAGGCGAGTGCATGTTGATCTATGTGCATTAAGTTAATGTTAGCTAGTGTATTTTGATAGAAAATCCACTTTTAAATACTTACAGCTGAATCTGAATTTCAAGTAAACATCACCTCTGTCATAGTCAACTTATGTAAAATGGTATAGGGGGGAGTGGGGTAAGATGAGCCATTTTTCATATTTCGGATCTGTACATCAAGGCAATCATAGTTTTGTCTCTAACTAGTGTATCTGCATATATTTCAAGATGTTGTGCATCCCTGCAAACCAACAGAATGAGTGTAGAAATGACTGTCTTGATAATATAGCATGCCAAAAAAAAGGTGGTCTCCTATGTTCAATTTACCCTGTGTACGGGGTAAGTCAACTATTATTGCATATAACTACTAAAAAGCTGTTTTGTAAAAAGTCATTTTAACATGAGAATGTCTTTTAGTGATACAGAACATTCACAGCTGTATTCTTGAAAAGAAAAAGTAACACATTTCAACAATCTGAACTGAAACTCTGATCCTCTCATCAGACTCCTTTACCTTCTCTGTTGAGCCACTGGCTCAACTTACCCCAGAACTACTATGATGACTTTATTAGTCCTCTAAGCTAAAATGGTGGACTTTTATGCTAAGTTTTTGACCTCATGTTGTAGCTCATAGATACCACAATTGATGTAAAAAACACATTTAAAATGACCTTTTTTTGGTCTAAACACAATTCTAATAAAACTTATGACAAACTAAATTCACTTTCAAGAGTGAAAAATGTTTTTTTGGAAATAAATGTCTAACCCCTTCACCCATGTGCTTCTAACCTTCACAGACTCCATGAATTGATGCCCATCTCCTAAATATTTGGTCACATGATCATTTTCTTTTACCATTTCCAAGGAATAAGGGGTGGCTCAACTTACCCCAGTCTTCCCAAATTTTTTTAAAAAGTAGTATACACAGTAGCAATCACAGGGCTTACAATACAGTGCATTTTATTGTCATCAAGTATGAAATTTTGTAATACATATATATAGAAAGCAAAAGACTACCGAAAAAGGAAACATGGTGTAGTGCCTGCAAGTCCTGACTGACTGTCTGACTCCTACTCAGTGCTGACAAAGTTCCAGACCTCCTCAGACTTCATTGTATCACCAGCAACACTCAGTGAATGTCTGGTTATTCATCCACACACACAGGCAGGCTTTGTGCTGATGAGTACCACTGTCAGAGTCACCCATCTGTCTGGTTAATGAGCCTGCAGCTGTTTGTCAGTGTCAAGGGCAGAGCTTCTCTGACAGAGTATATGTGCCAACATGGACTTCAAATAAAAGGGAACAGCCTCTGAAATCTGATGTTTGTCAGGCTGTGACATTTGTATGAAGGGCACAGTACCTCACTAGATGGGAATTTGCTGTATAGTTATTTTCCTGTTTTTCTTTTCATCCCGACTAGCCCACAGCTATGTGTACTGTATGTGTTTCTGGGTTGTTTCTTTTGTTTTGTTTCTGGTTTTTTTTTTCGGTTTCTGTTGTTTCTGATTGGGCTGGATTGTTTCTTTTTCTTAACTAGTGCACTTTTACACATTATCCATTTCTTTAATGAATGTTTTCCACAATTAGGTGAACACAGACAGACTTATTTTAAAGTTCTAGTTAATGACACGAAAAGATCAAGATTGAGAAGTCCTTGAAATACTAAATATTCAAATCACTGGAGCTATTGGAGATGACAGAGGGGGTCGATCCACTAATCAGGGACTTGTCACAGTATTAAATATTGAACACATCTTCTGTGTCAGGGTTTACATTTGTCTTTTCCTGTGTAGATGCCTCTAAGTTGTTGTTTTTTTTTTCCATCCAACAGCAAAGAATTGAAATCCAGAAGTTGCGGCAGGGAGACAATCTCATCCTTGGCTTCAGCATTGGAGGAGGAATTGACCAGGACCCTGGACAGAACCCTTTCTCTGAGGACAAGACTGATAAAGTAAATCTGAAGGCTCAACTTTACACATACCATACATGCATTTTGAGTGCAAAAGTCATTGTTAGTTTCCAAATGACAGATATAATGTTTCTACACCAAGCCTCACTGTTGTGTGGGAGGCGTTTGCTCTTAAGATGGGTTGAAGCTTGGGTTATACATCTGATTTGGGGTTTTTGCTAAAATCAGATATGCTGATATTTCCTAATACATTTTCGCCTGAACTGATATTGATATTAACACACTTCCTTTTTCATAGCAAAGAACCTTAAGTTTCTCCTACGACAGGGTTTACTTTTTACTCATATTATGAAAGCCTATTTGCAGTGAAGTAACCTTTGATTCTACTTTCAATGATCATTATATTCTTGTCAAACACAGACATTCAGAAATACAAATCACTGTTAATTTCAAACGATTAAAAGTACTTGTGTAAGCTATTTTCTCCACTGTTCACCCTTAGTTGTGGTCAGGGATAGTTTTGTGTGTTGCTGTCTAAAGGCAGCAGAAAGTGCTTGGACCATAGTTAGATGAAATAAAAGTCAAAAGAATAGCGGTGGGGATACATACCACGTTTTTATTCTGCTTGTTAGAGACACAGGTACAGGAATAAGTGGCAGCTGTCCTACCTCACGGTTACATTTGATATGTTTTGGCCAAATGTGTTCAAATGGTTTTTGTGATGGGACTGAAGACAAGCATCCCAAGGAAGTATTGTACTAATTTCTGCTTCATGTAGCTGTTATTGTAAAGCCAATAACTGATCACATACAGTAATATGGTAATAAGCTGTTCTGCAAAGGTATCAGTTTCATTACAACTGTAAGACCTGCTGCACAGCACATATTAATTAAGGCCTATGTAGGATAGTGTTTATCCACTTCTGTGCGGTCACATTTTTAGTTCATCTCTCTAATAGTAAAGTTTCAGTCTACTCTTGATTCATAAGATTACAGCAGACTGAGTTCATGAGCATTTCATCATTACTGGACAGCTGCCAGTAATGAGAGGGAGGAAATGAGAGACGAAAATGAGCAGCAGCAGGCATGACGTGAGTGAGTTCCTAAGAATATTGAAAACCTTTCATTCGGTAGCATTTTGGTTTTCATCCACATGGCAGGGGGAGTCAGCAAACTGTTGAAATGACTGTTTGGAAGATTTTCATGAAGAGGGTGACAGTGAGAGATGAGAGAACTTTTAATTTAAGGGCCAGTCTTGGGATTAATCGCACTCTGACCACTAAGGATGCTATCTTAGATTTGTGGGAATGAAGACAAAGGTAATCCTACAGGAGCAAAGTTCACTGCAACAAAAATGACAAATGGAAATTAATGAAGAGCGTCCCTCAGTACACTGTATTTAGGCCAACAGAGCAAAGATCATGAAATCATGAAAAATGAAAGTACAGAAAATCTTGTTCAAAGACTCACTTTGTAGTTTCATTATGAGAATCCAGCAGTGAGGGGGTTTCTGTGTTCAGGTTGTTTTTGAATCAGAAATTTTTGATCTGATGATGATTGAAACAAAGTATTTCTGACTTGCTGTTGCTGGTAAATCCTCCTCTGATCAGGAAGCACAGTTTGACTAGAGCAGCACCTTGGTAAGTTTTAAACCGAGGACAGGACAGGTCTGAACGCATAACCTGTAGCCTCAGGTGGGAACACATCAGACCCCGCTTACTGATGTCACAGAGAAGTACACTGCAGGTTTACACGTACACAACATTCTTACCTGCTTAATGAATAAATGAAAGTGCACAGTGTGGACTGAAAGATGGAAATAAGCCAGCAGATGCTAGGAACTGATACTTTACGGGAGGGGGGGCACACCTTCATGTTCATATGATGAATTCTACCTTTTGGATCCTTTCCCACTTTCCATTGCACCATCTTTGGATCTTTCCCAAAAGACTGTGCTCGTGTTCGTATCCCAGGGATGCAGCGAACATCTCTGCTGTCTTCAGGCATTTGCTCCATCTGATACTGAGACAAAAGCAAAAAATTGATCTACTTTTAAATCAAATGACTCTCATTCACATAAGTGATTTCACAAGCCAAAGTGGTGTATGTTCCCCTGTGACCTCTATTGAATTTGCCTAAAATTCTTATGATCAAAAATTACAGAAAAAAAGGAAGATGAAGGTTACCAGATCAATTTTTGGTCCTATATTTCTATATTTACTAACCCATTGACTGTTAAGTTCACAGACAGTGTCAGGAGTGTTTTTTCTTCAGAAACAGAATCAGGATCAGAATCACCTTTATTGGCCAAGTATGTGTACACATACAAGGAATTTGACACCAGTTAACTTTGCCCTCTATGTACAAACAGTAAATATAAAATGTTATAAAAATTTGCTCATGTATTGTCTATCTTTAATCATTGCTCACCACATTTTAGTCATAAGTGGGATGAATTACTTTTAATAAATACTAATATTTTTTAAGTTAATCAAGAAAATCCCACAAATTAAGAACCAACAAGCAGTAATTTGAATACTTCATTATTAGTTCTGTGCTTTTTAAAAAAAAAAAAAAAAAATTTATTCCATGAATCTAAGCTGCTGTTTTGTACTTGGTAATTATTTTGATGCTTTTATAGTTTCCGTATGAAAGATAATATAAATGTCAAATGTGTTTGTGTGTCTATAAGGGCATCTATGTGACCAGGATATCAGCAGGAGGACCAGCAGATGAGGCTGGTCTAAGGATGGGAGACAAAATAATGCAGGTTTGTAGTGAGATAGATCTCTGTCCACAAGATGGCGCCATGTGTTTGGTAGAGCGTTAGACTAGAGCTGTGTTTTTCTACTCTCCTTTTCTCCACTGTGGCTACACCTTCTCTCCAACAAAGTTCCTCTCCTCCACTCAGGTCAACGGCTGGGACATGACCATGGTGACGCATGACCAGGCTCGTAAAAGACTAACGAAGAAGAATGAGGATGTTGTGCGGCTACTGGTTACCAGGAAGTCTTTGGAGGACGCTGTCAGGCAATCAATGACCAGACCATAACATAGAGCTCCTACTTTTAACCTCAGACTTTTGTTATTGCCAAGGACTGAACACCCCTGTACACCAAGACTCACACAATTTCAGATGATGGTGGCCTTCATAGTCACATGAAAGCAAAAAAAACATACACAGGCCGCGTCACATCTTTATAACTCAGATTTTATTCTGATCTTTCCAATCACACTCACTAAAACTCACTTTAAAGGTATCTGTTTCACTGTAATATTTTAGTTGCATGTTTTGAAAAATGGAGTGATAACTAACAAATTTGGCTCCTTTATGCTGCAGATTGTATCTGCAAGACTGATCAACCAGTTTTGAGAAAAAAAAATAATAATTTCAGTTTTTTTTCTTCTAAATCATGCTGTTAAAAAAAATTATCACTTTAGATCAGAAAAGCTGAAACATTCACACAGATGGTCAAAATTGGACCTGTTTTTTTTTAACATATATATATTTGAACAGCAGTGGACAAATGTTTTGAAAGACCTTTTTATGAAGCTTTGACTGAACTACAAGATTTTTGAATTAATAGGTCCTTGAGTTCTCTAAGAGTGTCTGTATTATCTCTTAGGGTAAGACATTTGATATGTCAAAAACACCTCCGACCCTCTTTGCCTGCTGCTGACCAAAGGTAGTCTGATGATGGTTAGGGAACATCTATAAATGAATACTGCTGTTATTTGTACCACTAACAATGAATGTTTCATTATATTCTGTAAAAGAAAAAATGTTTTGCTGTCATTCCTGCAAGGGTCACAGCCTTATATGCCAAAACCAAAACCAATGCACTGTGAAGTGTTCAGTTTTGCAAAGCAGTGTTTATCGGTCCATTAATCTGTAGAACATACCATATACCTTGTCGTTTAATGTTTCAGTGCATTGACTTTCCAAAATGTTTTTGTTATGATTTTTCTTTTTTCACAATCTTTCTATTTGTTTATGACGGTTTAACATATTAGAAAGAAAAAATATATTTTCTGTGTGCATGCCAATGAATAACAACCTGATGTTTAAATTGCTCATAATCCTCTAAATAACACTAACTACGTTTTTGAACAAACAACATTCCACAAAGTCGGATCTTTTAAATACGAATTCTATCTTGATGATGACAATTATCTTAAGTTCCTAATTTGCTTTTGTAGTTGAAACGAACACACTAGTTTCACACTGGAACCACAACTACAATGAAACACACTGTTATTGTCAAAGAAAAGTCAAACTCAAAGCCTGAATTTAGTGGGAGTGAATGTTGTTTGATAAATAACTGTGCAGAACGGCCTTTAAATAAATTGTAAAAACCGCAAATGTAAATGGTACGTGTATGTTTCTGTTTTATATTGTTCTGTTCTAGCAAAGTTAGTGCAGCACAACAATGATTTACTGCCTACTATGTGAACTCCATAACATTGTTTTTGAGTGATTTACTACCAATCAAAATCAGTATTTTGACTTTTTGATGTTTTTATTTTGTATACCCATGTCAGACTGCTCATGGGCAGTTCATTCAGTTTTTTTTTTTTAATCGCAAGAAAAATCAAACATTCAGCATCTATGTGTGTCTCAACATTTGTATGTTAAAACACAGTAAAGCACAGTAAAAAGAAAACTTTTCACGGTGATTCCAAGCAGATTTCTGTTTGAATTTTTATCAGATATTAAAAAAGAAACATGCCTCTTGATTTTATCTTGATTATTGTTATTGTTTATAAAAGTATGTGATCTATGTTACATATTTCCTCTTCACTTTGTGAAGCTTTGTTTCATCTCCCAGACTCTTCAAATAACTCTATGTTGCTTGATATGGAGTAAACAACTGACATTTCAGAGCAGAGAATCTATTTCCTGACCTTTGTGTGTGTACCATTTTTTTTTTTTTTTGATATAGAGAGCCTTCATCTGTTAAATATGTGAACCTTCATCCAATCATTTCACCTCTGAACTACACTACTTGAGGGAAAAAAACAACTGAATGCAACAAAGTAAGACAAATTACTCTGAAAATACTTACGGTGGCAGGAGTTTGTCTTCTTTGTATAAATATTCTTGTTTTGTGACATGTAAGGCAACTCTTGCGTTAAACGCACTTGGCAAGAACAAGCAGAGCATGTTTTCGAAGTTGAATTCATCGTCCATTTCTTTTTAAGTCTTAAAATAACACCTGACCTGTCACATCACGGGAGAGGGTCGATTTAGGGCAACGCTGAGCTAATATCCCCCTTTGACAAATAATTGATGAGCCAACTGCTTGTGTGTGTGTGTGTGTGTGTGTGTGTGTGTGTGTGTGTGTGTGTGTGTGTGTGTGTGTGTGTATGCTCCTGCTATTTTTTGATCCAGGGATGGAAGGAAGCATGCTCTATTCCACTTAACTGGGCACTGTGATACTACTGAACCATGCAATTATAGTAGCAATGGCAGCACAGACATCTCAGACACGCTATGGTAGTTTGATCACACTTATAATGTTAATACAAACCATGTTAACTTAGTAACGATAGAAAGGTGGGAATAATAAACACTTCGATCATTATCAGAGGAAAACTGAATGATCCTTGAATGTACATACCTCACTCTTTTTAAAATACATCAAACCCAGTCATTTATACCCTTTTATAAATGATGAATATCAGTTCATAAATAAACTTAAGGATGTGTTGGTGTATTGTACCTAAAGAGGACAATTTCAAATAAAAAAAAAATCAACACAAAGCTAAGTGCCCTGCAGGCAGGAGAATAATTACACTATCTAACGGAGGATCATACATGATCCTTGCCTCCCACGTTGTGGCAGGATAATTGTGTTGCCATGGCAATGCAATCTGCTCCCATCACTTTGGTTTTACACCAGATTGAACCAGATGGAAGTCCACAGCCTTAGATAGGTGTAATAAACAGCAGAAGTAGTCAGTTGTCGTGAAGGTATGGGCGTGCAGTGATGATTTTGTGTTTAAAGGAGTGTTACATTTTTCTTCCTTTCATTGTTTACTCATTGTTTTTTATCCTTATGTTCCACCAACTGGTAGAGCCACATTTACAAATGCCAGGTGGGAATGTGTTATTGTGTTAGAAATGTATTCCACAGCCTAATAAACTAGATGACATGAGTAAATGAAAGTATTTGTTGTGGTGACGTCAAGGTACAGTTATTAAAAATTGCTATGCTGTCAGCGAGGCTGTCAAGTACTGAACACTAGATGCTACATTAATGTAAGGTCAATGAAGCTGTTTAGCAGCTCTTGCTTATAATGTTCTTTTAACTGTGTGTTTGAATACCTCTCAAATCACAAAAAGATAATTTCCATTAACTTACAATTTCAAAAAGTATGTAAAAGGTTAAAAGGAAGCTGCTGTAGCGCTTTATATTTTACATCATTAACTGTCAGGAGGTTAAATAAAACCCTATAAGGCGTCGGGCAGTTTGATGCTCGTATGAAGCAAGAACCTTTACCTACATGTTGTGTGGATCAGTCTTAGTGTCTATATCAGGCTTTGAGCACAGACAAATTACAATATAAGAAAGTTTTAAAAGGGTCTGTACATCTGCAGAATTATCTTTGTTTTTAGGGTATCTCCTAAACCCACAAGTACAGCTGAAAATGAAGCTGAACCTCGATTTGGGCTGGAAAAGGTCATTAATACCTATGAAATTGGCTGTTTGCTCTCAGGTTTACCATGTGTTGCCTCCCACAAACTAAGAAAACTAGCTGACTATTAATGGGGCTTTCAGTCTGTTATAGTGAAAACTTGAGGCAGGGTTCCCCTACCAGAAAACCCACAGGGAGTGTGCAATCCCCTTGTGTTGTGGTTTTACAGATTTGTCTCAATTAAATGATTTTTGAGAAGTTTGGACATACAAGTATGTGATACTAAACAGCTGCATAAAATGGCGTCGTTTTCTGATTGTGCTGTGGGCTTTGTGCATATCAATTCAACTTTTTATGACCAGGATGAGTGGGTGTTTGAATAGTGGGCCTGGCAGCTGGTTACTCAAGGGTTAAAGCTGCACAAGCTCCCCAGAGGAGTTGGTAGTTGACACTCTTATGATGGCTAGTATTGTGCAAGAAATTAATATGTCTTTCAACTTTAATATAATCATAAAATCCATCAAGATTCAGTTTCAGTGCAGTGTCCAGGCAGCAGGTGGTTTAGTTACTTCATTTTTCTCCTCTCATGGAGGATCCTTCACCTCTCCTCCCACGCAGACCTCCCAGGCGCTCCTCTCCGCCGGGGGCTGCGTGGAGTAGCACACACGGACCTGATAGTAAGCCAGGAGATGTAAGTGAAGACAGTGAGGGGAGATAGTGTGTGTGGGCAACATCTCTACTTCATTATCCGCTGCATGGTGGAGGAGAGAGAGGGAGACAGGGGTGTTCACATGACGGTGTGAGGAGCGTCTTGGACAGACTGAGGTGTGAAAGATTTGATTTGTTGAGTAGCCTATCTTCTGCAAGATAAGTCTGTAAAGGTGTCAAGAGAAAGTTGTGTGGGAGATTGTGAAGTTTGAATCTGTTGCTGCTTTTTCAGGAAGGAGAACCACTGGAAGACGACAGGATAAGTCTCATGACGGCTGGACTGAGCTGAAGGCAGAAGCAGAAGCAGGGTAATTGACTTTTTATCTTTGTTTCTTTAGCAACCTCTTAGTTAATCTAGAATTACAAGAAAGATAGACTTAATAGCATGATACATTTGCAAAACAAGCTGTTCTATCTATCTATCTATCTATCTATCTATCTATCTATCTATCTATCTATCTATCTATCTATCTATCTATCTATCTATCTATCTATCTATCTATCTATCTATCTATCTATCTATCTCTTATTTAAAAATATATTGTCTCCTAGATATATATTTGTGTCCCCAATTCCAGTGTTTCTATTGTGTCAATATGAACAACTCCTACATGTCCTTTATATTCTCTGCTTGCCCATCCCATTCTGGCAGATGGCTGTCAACCAATGAGTTTGGCTCTGCTAGAGTTTTCTGCCTGTTGCAGTCAAAGGAAGATTTCGGAGATACATTAGCCGTAATTACACAGTTGTTGACTGCGTGCAGTAGTTTTATAGTTTGTAAGCAAATAAAAGTCTACATAGTGAAATGATTGAAAATAAAAGATGTCACTTCACATTAACATCATCAGCACCCTGGACTGGTAATTTCATGTGACTGGATAGGGAACAGAAAGTTTTATAGTGAAATGTTTTTTCTAAATATATGTTCCTCAAACACACAAAAAAAAGACTCCTGGGTTGTCTTCATGTTATCTGACAGAGCTATTGTTTGTCATTGTCATCTTCAACAATACCCATTGTCAGTATGAAACAAAAAAACAAAAGCTGCCTTTCATGGTTATTGTCATTTTTTGTGTCTATGAAAAAATGTAATTTTTTTCGTCATGTGATAATTTTCTCGCCTACTTTACATTATACTGTTTTAGTCATATTATGTAAAGTAGTGTACATCCACAAAAATGCTAAGTCAGTGTAAGGAATGAACTCTTGACGTACAGAGTACTCAACATTTCTTCAGTAGATTTATACATGAAACTACCCTTTCATCTGGATGGCCTGGTTACACTTTTCTGCATAAATTGTTGAATTGAGTGACAGGGTGTCCACAAGAGAATGTATAGTAAACCTACAGTGAAAAGACATGTTGCTTAGGGGGGCAGACTCACAGAAAGAGAAGGCTGCAAGGTAGATTTATTTTGACTTTGAAGAACATGACATGTACTTAAAAGTTGGCAGTTCAGTGTGCATGTCCATGTGTTTTGATGTATGTGTGTGTGTGTGTGTGTGTGTGGAGGTGTGAGAAGGTCAGCTCATGTGAGAGGCCTTTTCATGTCTGTGTGCTTATGAGAGCAGAGCTGTGAGACGTCCTGTCATATTGCCGCTCAGCTCAGAGGCTCTCGCACTCGGTGCTGACTCGCTGAACTGCTGGGACCCTTCGAGAGTAACTTGATCACACTGTTTGACGCAGACTCTTAACCATGAGTGGTGAGTAACCAGTGAGCAGGTCATTGAGGTTTGGAAAGCTAGAGACTTTCTCTGACTTGATATTATATGTTATCATTAGAGAAAACAGGGTTGTAGAAGTTACTTAAACAAAGATAGGTACTTTTCTTCAGAGATTGCTGCTGTTTCTTTAAGGTTTCCTCATTGATTCATTGATTTTGAAGGAACTTTGTGTGTGTGTTGGGGAGGGGGGTCAATTACGAAATGATTTTTGTTTTTATACTTGGATGCAGAAAAAACATTAAGTTTAACGCAACAGTATGTAACAGCTTGAGATGAGATTCCTGTGCACTGGTGTCTTTTAACATAGCAGTCTAAAGTGGCTTTCTATTGAGGTGTGAAATGTGCTCAGCATTACAGGCTGCACAGCTGTACACCAACTAAACTAATGGCTCTGATTATAGCTTTCAATAGTTGCTTGTTATTGGTGGTGCAGAGGATTTAGATTTCATATTTGTTTTTTTTTACTGTGTAAAGAATAGAAGTCGACTATCTCAGGTTTATGGATGCTTTCTGTTAGCGTCACAGGCCCTCATGTCCTTTCTGCCTGGTTAATGTTTATCACTGTCCTCATCCTTAGGTGGATGTTTGGGTTGTCAGACAAAGGCTTGATCAGGACAGGGCAGTATGAGTTGGGGTTGGTGGCTTCGAGGCCAGAAATCACTCTGAAGTACTTTAATAGCAGCTTGAATAAAACTCATTAACAGCGTTTTAGGAAGACTGTTGTAACCGCAGCTGTATCACAAACTACACTATTAAATCACATTGTGAAGGTATTTTTGAACTCTGTAATCTATTGATCACATTGATATTAAAACATTTACAGCATCATGGTATTAAATGTGCATGGTTGGCCCCAAGTCGGCCCCTGTATACTGCTGCAGTATGACAGGATCAGGCTGAGATAGAAACCTAGTCTACACTGTAGCGCTGAGAAACCCAAAACCAAATCTTTGAATTAAACAAATAAAACGTCATGATAAAGTTTCTTTCTTGGCAAACTTTGGCACATCAGAAGTCTTCTTTCAAACAAGAATGAAATGAACAGCCATGTGAATTTCAATCTTGGGGTACTGTGGTTTACATAAAGTGTTTAAGAGGAGGGGGTGACACTAATCGTTTTATGTATTATACAAATGTAAGTCACAGTGGAAGACTGCTTTCAACTGAAGTAACTTGTACTCTTGTTGATAATATATTTTTTTAAATAAATATAAAAATAGTCCCCCCCCAAAAAAAATAAAATAGATAAAGAGACAGAGTTATAAAGTATCCTCCAAACAGTGAAGTGCTGTGGTTACACACTTTAAGTTGTAATCATTTAGTCATCCTAATGTGTATTCATAAGATGGTGACTTTCTTAGTATTTGGTGTTTTCATGTTTAAATTCCCGGGGCGACGTTTGATTCAGAATTTAAATTATGCGTCCCATGTACAAAGGCGCAGGTTGTATTCCAACCCGTGGCCACCTACCTCGCCCTACTCTCTCTCTCTCTCTCTGCTTGTCTTTCTCACCACTGTTCAGGAATTAAGGCAAAAAAATAAACTTGACAGTTCAGATCTTTCTTTATGTAAATACCTAATTCATCAGAAGTTTTATTATATCCCTATTCTTTATATCTATTGTGTTTTTATCATTCTGGGTTTTTTTTCTAATGCTGCTGGAATTTTAATTCCCATGAGGGCACCTTCTCAAAAAGATCAACAAAGTCTGTCTAATTTAATCTAATCTGATCTAATCTAATTTTCTTTTTGTTTTATAAATGTCTACTGAACATGAACAAATAAAGACAGTGTAGTGCTTGGTTCATAAGTGAAGGTAGAGCAGCAGGACCTCGTTTTAGGTGTGCTAACTAAAACTTACCTCCTGTTATCCATTCAGCACATTGAGTGTTTAGTAAATGGGATCATCTGCAGTCTGCTGAGTTCTACACACTTATTTATTTTCATATTTCACTTTTTGATTAGATGTTTCCTCTGCAGGCCAGTTACACACACTCAAAGGAAGTGATAGCAGTTCTGCGTAAAAGCTGATCATTATCCGACACTGAGTTACAAATACATTGCATTAACTAGTGATGTCCCAAGACGTGCTCAACAATAGGTCTTATACTATCGTTGCACAAAGTATATGTAGATAAATGAGGATCTCAGAACAATGCACAAAAGAAAATCAATAGAAAAGACAGACTAGATGATGTCTCTGGAGATCATATGCTAAGTGGTAACCCCCCTCTGGGGACGACTGAAGGTATAGAGGTGTTGGAGCTCAAAGGCCAGCTGTATTAGTGTATTGTTCTGAGAGTAGAGCGTGTCAGTGTGTTTGTGGAGGGTGATCTAGAGGAAACACTGTAGCCTACATAGATAAGGAGAAGTGAGACCAACAGCCACGTGTTACACACTCGCACACTCATCGTGTTGTACGGCACAGAAATTCACGGTAAGGCTGCTGAAGTTTACTCTCTGATCTTTTACATATTTGTTGCACTTCTGTTACTGTATGAAATTGTCACAGTGTGAGAGGTACAGCTCATCCTTGCTTTTCTGCTGAAGTTCACCAATGCAACATAAAGCTTAAATGTGTGGTTACCAAACTTGAATTGCATTTGTAGTTTACTTACATTTAAGATTATTCTATAACTGTAACTTAGGTTTAATATGATACTTGCCGTGTACTGGTGTTAGACCAAGAAGACGACAGACCTCGATATACATCATGTTCAGTTTAACCGGTTTTCATTCATGATTTAAGACAAAATTACCAGCAATGGGCTCATGTAGAGCCTGAAGTCATAAACAAGTGTTTTTACTTTTAATGCTGCAGTATGTTCAATACAAAACCCGTGACAATTTAGGGTGTTTTTTTGTACATCAGACCGTGGTGTGCACCAGTTGGGTGTTTATGTTGTGACTCATGATAAGCTTCCCTCCATTTCTTGCCTTGTCGTTATCTTCAAGTATGATTGGTGCCAAACCCATAAAAGACCGTTACAGTGGTCTATCAGTTCAGGTTGCAGTGATAAAGAGCTGCAGTTTATTCATGTCTGGGTTAATTTATTGACTTCTTGTTTAGTGGATGGGGAAGAGGGTGTCAAATATTTAATTCGGTAATTAAAATGTGTTAAAATTGCTTAAAATAATAATGATAATGTTGTAAATATAATAACAAATATAAAGTATTCAATAAAACAGATGGAAACAACAAATACTTACATTTTAAAAGCTGGAACCAGCCTTATCTAATGACATCTAACTCATCTTGATAGATGTCAATATTCATCAACTTCCTCTTTTACTATTATATTGACTTCATATCGTAAAGATGGCAAATTAGATTTCTGGCACTTTATAAAGAGCTTGACTTCTTTTTTTTTCTGGTTTGATATACCAAGCTCACAAAGTCCCAGTCAGCATTTTAACTTCCCATTGTGGTTATATTAGACACTTTCAGTTTCAAACACTGTTAGTACTGTGTCCTGATTTGCTTTGGTTTGACTTACCATCTCCAGACATTGCGTTTGTTTGTGTCTTGTGGTCAGTCTGGTGTGACTTTCACCCATCTACACTCAGCAATCTTCCATCGTCTGGTTCTGAATATCTGTTAGCTGAAAAATGAATATCTGTTACTAATCTTCATATCCATGTTTTAAAAACTTCATCTCTTCAACTCCTTGACCAGTTTCCCAAGAGACCTGCCTCCTGGACCAGGTGCTAGATCTGATTATGAATGAGAAGCCCCCCACCAGCGCTAGTCTCTTCTTGAACGAGGACTCCGATAAACCCCCACTTCCAGAGAGAGAAGACTTCAAGAGGTGCATACGCAGAGCCATGGAGAGGAGGGCGAGTAGCATCAAGGAGAGGATGAGCTCCATCAGTCGAGAGAGTGTCAAAGGTTTCCTCAAAAGGAACCTGTTTGTTCTCTTCACTGTTGCGGCTGTGGCTCTGGGTGAGTGGAGGTCTGGGATCATCATAGTGCCCGTTTTCATTTCACCTCATGTTAAAGGTGGGAAGCTCAAATATTATGAAAAATGTGTGAAAGTATTGTGTTCAAGGTTATTGGTTTTACAGTTTAAGATTGTCTGATTCCCTTAAATTTAGGTTATCAGAGAAAGCTTATTATTTCACTACTTCCAAAGATGATGGTGACACTAAAGATAATGAAAATCTGGGGAGTTGAAAGACAATTTTTGAATATTCAACTTATTAGTTTCTATCAGACAATACAAACTGTCAGTATTTAAGCACTTCCTAGGCTGCTAGGGAGTAAATTCCTAGATATCATTACTTTGGCTCTGTATTGTATAAACCTCCAAGTTGTAAAATTTGCAGTGTCTGACTAAAGGTTATGGTAAGAAGCTGAATGTTAAAATTTGCTTTTGACAAAATGTAGTGCTGTCAAAGGGTATTGGCTTCGTTGCAAAAATAGTCAATTGACTTTATCTGATTTTGTGCTTTTGTTGGCATGTGTACATGTTTTCAGGAGTCATCCTGGGCTTTACTCTACGCCCACTCAACCTGTCCCTGAGGGAGATCAAGTACTTTGCCTTTCCTGGGGAGCTGCTAATGAGGATGCTGCAGATGCTGGTGCTGCCGCTTATCGTCTCCAGTTTAGTCACAGGTTGGTTTAAAGGAGCATGAATACACTTTGTGTACACTTTCAAGTTGATGACTTATCAGATGCAAAAATGTAAACAGTGTAAGAGCTATTAATGCACTGTAAATATTGACAGCTCTAATGACTGTCAATACACTGAACCTGCTGAAAACTGTGCTCAAATTCATCTCCTCTGTATTAGGTATTTCCTCTTTGGACAGCAAAGCATCGGGTAAGATGGGTATGCGTGCTGTAGTCTACTACATGGTGACCACCCTGCTTGCTGTGTTTATCGGCATCGTCATTGTGATAATCATCCGACCTGGGAAAGGCAGCAGGGACAGTCCTATGGCCAAAAGTGGAAACATAGAACCAGTTCAGGCCACTGATGCTTTCCTGGATCTGATCAGGTACCAACAGCTCATAAACCACTTAGAAACTTCATATAAATCATTGTTGAAGTTCATGAGGAGAGTCGCCACTGTGCCAGCAGTTTTTAGATAGCTAACACAAAACCACATCATCTACTCTGATATTTTGGGAAATATTGACAGTCAGGAGACACAGCATCCAGTAGATGGCGTGGCACAGTAGCGCCAGAAGATCTCCAACGCACATACAGACTTTCTATTTATCCTCAATCACTCTTTTTATGTTTTTCTAAGGATATAAACACTCAAGATTCTTCAATTTTTTTAAAGTTTGCTTTCGATATGTGAGAAGAGAGATTTGTGTGAGGGCTCAAGAGCACATTTGTGATAGTTTCTTATGTTTTTTCCAGAAATATGTTTCCTCCAAACCTTGTAGAGGCATGTTTCAAGCAGGTGAGGCACTCTTTCCTATCTGTTCTTTGATATGGTTGATATTGATATTGTTATTGTACAACTACCAGCATCCATCTCAAGACCTAACCCAACTGATTACAAGGAAAATAAATCAATGCTTTGGTGCCTTTATAGACACTCATTCAGTTTCCTTTGTTTTTGATTTTCATGTCCTCTTTATAGTATAAAACTGTGTACAAGAAGACTGTGCACACGAGGAACGTGACAGTGACTCTGAATCTCACCGACACTCTCAATGTGACAGACTCGAATCTGAGCATGAACCTGAGCAGAGTGCTGCACACCATACAGGTGAGTACACTGCATGAAGTGTCTCCCTATCAAGTGGGATATCTATTTAATGACACTTTATACTTGATATTTTTTATTGCAGGAGACAGTGGAGGAGACTGTCCCTGTGTCCGGCTCCTCTGGTGGAGTGAATGCCCTTGGTTTGGTTGTTTTCTCCATGTGCTTCGGCCTGGTCATTGGCAACATGAAACAGCAGGGTCAGGCCCTTCGAGACTTCTTTGACTGCCTGAATGAAGCCATCATGAGGCTCGTGGCCATCATCATTTGGTTCGTGAAGACAAACCTCAAACTATTTAACCTTCTGATCTTTGTCTCTAGATTGACACAAAAATCAGTCACTTTTTCATCTCCATATATACTCATGTCACCCCTTAGGTATGCTCCAGTAGGTATCCTGTTCCTGATTGCAGGGAAGATTGTGGAGATGAAGGATCTGGCACAGATGGGAGGTCAGCTGGGAATGTACACAGTGTCAGTCATTGTCGGTCTCCTCATCCACGGCCTCTTCGTTCTGCCACTACTCTTTTTCCTGGTGACCAGGAAGAATCCCTACAGCTTCATTGGCGGCCTGCTGCAGGCGCTCATCACTGCTCTGGGAACCTCATCAAGGTAAATATTATGCATATATATTATGGCACTGGATGTGAAGTGATAAGACAAAACCATATGATAGGATACTGCACTATACTCATCTGTAGCAGACGATAAGATGTGGTACAATTTGTGACAGTCAGTATGAAACTGTAGGGTACAATACCATGGAATACAATATAGTTTCAAATTAATTCATACAATTTAATATTATAAGATACATCATGATACTATAGGAAACAATACAGAATGATGTGGTACAGTATGATATGGTAAGATGCACTACTGTGGAACGATGCAATACAACAAGCAATATAATTCTGCAGGAAGTTGTGAAATGACGATTTGACGATAACTCTCTCTCTTCTTACTTCAGTTCTGCTACTCTGCCTATCACCTTCCGTTGTCTGGAGGAGAACAACCGTGTGGATAAACGAGTGACACGTTTTGTCCTCCCTGTGGGCGCCACCATCAACATGGATGGGACCGCCCTCTATGAGGCTGTAGCAGCTATTTTTATCGCCCAAGTCAATGACATGGATCTGAACTTTGGACAAATTCTCACTATAAGGTAAACCTGTATTTTAGATTTAATTGAAAAAATACGAACAAATACGACGGATTATATTTGAGCAGCCTCCCTCTGAAGTGAAAAAGTCCTCAATCATGCTGAAAGTCTCTTTAAATGTCATTTTGAGAGCTGCTGCACATGGATCCCACTTTTTGCTCTTCAGGGAGCTGTCTTAAATCTATGAAATTACCACGGTGTTGTTTAGGTACATCAACAACATGTTTGATGGTAAGAAACTTTGGAGTTTGGAGAAGTTAACTTACTATAACTCCTCAATCCATTTCTTCAATCTTCTTGCCAGTGGATGAGGGCTGTATATTGGCAAATTAAACCTAGAGCTAGACCTGCAGATAGATCCTTTTAAGAGGATTTCATACTCTCAATCATTTGGAGCTTTTAGGTCAAGCAAATGCATGACAGCTAAGAGGATATGCAGCAATGAAGAAGTTGTGAAGCACTTTTTTCTCAAAGCTGATAACTTACAATATTTGACCAATAGCTATAACTGTTTCAAGGAGCATAATTGTCAAAACTTGACAAAGAACTTACATCCACAAGCTCTGATGCTATGGTCAGATTCTGGTATAAAAGTGAGGGAAGTTGGCATTGGGTATGCAGGTTTTTGCAGATCAGTTTGGGGATGAACTAAAAAAAAAACACTGAAAAGTCCAATGGATAGAACCAGCATTTTCTCTTTCAATCTTTTTGTCCTTAAACTCTTGAACATATTGTTTAAATGGGAAAAATATGGTTCTTTTTAAGACAACCTTTGTCAGATAATAACACATATCCTGGCTGGGTAACCTCAGGTCTCACTTTGTGCTGTTTGTTGGTTATAAATAACTTCATTTTTGAGTGATTGAGTTTGAAAACAGATATGTTTTCTTTATGAATCGCCGTCGACATGAAATTCTACAAGCATTCTTGTTTCGTTTACCATGAATTATATGGTTCGCAATAGTGATCTCAGACATACTCTAACATAGCAATGATGTAATCCTTTTTAAAGACGCGTACGCCTTCATTGAGGTTATTTACAGAGTATGGCTGTATGACCACCTGGAAAATGATTTACATAAGTGTGAAATTCCTCTGCTGCGTTTGTCACTCATCTACTCCCACCACGAGTACACATGTGCAGTTGATTTGTTTCTCTTTATTAAATGTCTTCACTCTCTTCTTCATCCCTCCCACCACCCACTCAGTATCACGGCAACTGCTGCCAGCATCGGAGCAGCAGGCATCCCTCAGGCTGGCCTGGTTACCATGGTGATAGTATTGACATCGGTAGGACTGCCCACAGAGGATATAACACTGATCATCGCTGTGGATTGGTTCTTGTGAGTTTCCACTAAATGTCAGCTTTATGGGGATTGGTCTGTGCGTATGCCAGCAGAAATGTCATTGTAAAGCTTCAGAGAGCCCAGAGAGCTCTCTTCTACAAAGGTTATTGATGCATAATGCAGAGTGGCAGCTTTAACAACAACAAAAAAGGAATAATGATAAGCTTTTGTCAATAATATATCCCCTGTCCAAACTTGTCTACATAATTATTTCTTTTCTCTCTCTGTCTTCCAGAGACCGTTTGCGAACCACAACAAACGTACTGGGCGACTCACTTGGGGCCGGCATTGTGGAGCACCTTTCTCGCGGGGAGCTGCAGACTCAGGATGCCGAGGCGTGCAACTCCGTGCTCGAGGAGAATGAGAAGCCCTACCAGCTTATCTGCCAGGAAAACGATACACACAACCACCACAACAGTGAGACTACAATGTGATGATACAAGAGAAATGACCTGAGACCCACGTACACCGAGCATTTAGCTAGAGGTCTGACTTTCAGGGGTAAAGATTAAGTCTTAGTAGTTCTGGGCAAGACACGACCTTCATGCCCCTCCATCCCCACCTGACAGGAACAAGGAGCACATTCTGATAAGGGACAGTTACAAACCTACGCCTACAGTCTGATGTATAGCCTTGAGTGCCAGTTATTTGAAGGCCTTTTACTAATTTATTTCAGGAAACCTCAAAAAACTTTTATTGCCTTCAGATTCATCAATTTTTCAAAACTTTGTAATGTTAATGATCCATAAAGCCAGTGAATCATACATTCTTACCAGCATTAGTGTTAAAATACAAATATCAGTACCACTGTTTATTTTAAAAGACAGATAAAACAGCTGATAATCTGCTCTTGTGAATGTGTTATTCAAGCCAAATGAGGTTTTTTTCCTGCTGCGCCGTGTAACACTTGATAAATCCTTGTTTCCTTTTTATACACTTGTTTTTGTCACCACCATCATCACGACTACCTCTAATGGACCTAAGAGTTATATATCAGTCTTCAGCAGCATACACATCATATACACAGGAGCATATCATCAAAATGTAAATACATCAATCTCAGAATAGTTTGGGATCCTGATTTTGGAGATTTGAACATTTTTCTTGTTATTTAAGCTTGCTTGCACAATGTCGTTCACAACTTTGAATGTACTTGACTGTTAAACACTCGAGGACTTTGTGGTAGAGAGTCCTTGCTTCTGGTTATTTTGTAGTTTGAAGGTATTTTTTGTAATTGTTTTATATTTTGAGTGACTTCCTAGAATGTGATTTCTTACAGATATTATGTATTTCCTGTATTTCTTGGTGCTATTGCTTTTAACATGGGACTGTTATGCTACAAAGTTAAGTCACAGAAACACCTGCCATCGTACTTGTTCCTTTCTCCATACTTTCTTTTACTCTTAACACATGACTAGTTTTCAGTCAAGAGTGGCGAATCCTCAAAAGGATTCTCAGTCTTATTTTCCTTCTTGGTCGAAGTTCTCAATTTCCTTTTTTGTAAAATTGGATTGCTCTTGCACTTGTTAATTTTTGAGATGGTTTATTTGTTTGGTTTGAAGAACTCCAGTAGTGTAAAGACTGGTTAAGAGCTTTTTGTAGTTGATATCAAAAATGTGCAGAACATAAGTATATCAATATACTTGCCTGCCTGTGTTTTCTGCTAGGCATTAATTGAATTACTTTAATTGTATGTGGTTGTATTTATGTTGGAATGATCTATCTCAAGCTATCCATTGACACATTTTTATTGTTTTGTGAACAGGTACTGTGACAAGAGTACGTAAATGCCTCGAGGAATTGAATGTACAGTTGCTTAATGCCTTTTGGTGTTGATCGTTTTAGCAGATATTCGAGCTCATTATTATGAAAAATGAGGTTGTGAAGTATTTAGTGGAAAGACTTTCTGAGTTTGTTTGATTTTCATGCTCATTAAGAGGTTTTACTTTAGTTTCGATGCTTGATGTTATTTCTGTAAATTTTGATGAACGGCTTGTGAAAAATGTGACAAATAAATGGCTCAGGAACTGAAGTGTGATTCTCATTTCTGTGTTTGTGGCTACCCCTGGTGGAGAATAGTCTCTTCTCATAAAGCAGTTTTGCTGAAAAACACATGGTACAAACTTAGTATGAGAGAAAAAGTCATGATAACAGAATGAGTTGTAAACCTTAACATTTATAGTATAAAACATCTGATTTTAAGAGAAATGGTTAAAAATACTTAAAGCTACACACCGTTTTGTGGATTTATTTGTAATGTAAAATATTTCTTGTTTTTGTGACCCCCCCGATCCAGACCTCTATCAATGTTAATTGACCTAAAAAAGTTTAAATCTTTAAAGTACATTTTACTCATTTTAATACCCATTAAAACATACCTTGTAGCCCCTGTACTTAAATTTAAAAAATGGTGTATGACATTGACTTTCCGTTAAAACAGTTCAAGAGTCTAAATCCATGTAAGCAGCTGTGAGGCTCAACGCTGAACAGCATGCTAAAATGGCAATACTAACATAATATTTAACAAGATATTATATAAATATATCTGTTGGTCTTTTTTAAATGTTTATGTTAACCCACTTAACTGCTTCTTCCGGCTTGTTATTATGCTGTCTTTGGCTTATTAGCACTAAAAAAGGTCAAACTGATAACTAAAAATGCAAATGAAGGTACAGCTAATAAAGAATTAAAGAATCATTTAAGTCACTTTTTTTTTAATTCCTGTAGAAGAATATCTGATCATCAATTCAGTCACATTGTGAGATACTTCAGTAAGGACTAGAGTGATGTACCCAATGCTAACCCTGAAAACATGGATGCTCCCAGCACGGCTAAATGAAGTGTGTTGTGAAAAGGACACCCATACAGACACACAATACCCGGAAAAAGACAGTGAAGACATTCCAGCTATTGTTTCAGATTATTTTATAAAATTCACATACAGTGCATTCGTCTACAATACTTTTGTGTTTTATACACAATTGAGCCCTCTAAGATTTAACAGCCTTGCCATTTGATGAATTGATTCATGAATACTTTGGCATAGTTTGGTGACAAACTTCTGGTGAAAAAGACAAATGTAAACTGCCTGACAAATGTATATGCCTGAGGATCTCTTTTTTAAAGATTGATTAAGTTTCATACTGAGTTTACAAACAGTAATTATGCAAGGTGAACACATATCAGGAACATTTTCTCACTAAAAAGGTAAGATCTCCTCTCTGAACCCACTTTTTACCTGTTTAACAGTCAGATATATCAGGTCAAAGTCTGCACTGTGTGCAGTGTCGTTATACGTTACTGAAAGTATACAAGTCACAAATAAGCATAGAGTATCCTGCTGATATAAAACATAAATATCACTGCTCAAGGATTTGTATTATCACACCTTTTCCACTGATTGTACATCAGCCACGAGAAATAATATTGTTCTAGAGAGAGACACTTCCAGGCAGACCCTGGCAAATAACAGTATGAGCCATTAAAAAAAACATTCTGCTTATCTTACAATTAAAAACTCCTCAGCTTCAACCACGTGTTTGGGAATATTTCAAGCACGGTTCATGTTTAAATATCGAAAGCCATATAAATATGTATTGCTGCCTAGGTCTGGTCCAGGGAGACAGATAGTGTAGATAGAGAGGGACACGAGACGACTGAAGAGTCAGCACAGCTTTGCCACATAAGGAAGACAAGCTGCTGAAAGTTTACTTGGCCTGTAGAAAAGAAAAAGAAAGTGGATGAGTGATTCAAGTGATGTACCTCTGCATACTTACATAAGTTACTGATGGTTAACACACATACTTATGACTATGAGTTTTCCTCCATATTTGATAATGCTCCATCACTCCACGTTGAGAATAGCCCAGTTGTCTTTCTTGTCCTAATGATCACCACAGAGGAGGAAGTTTGTCAAAGTTTCAGGTAAAATCAAAACACATACTTAGAAAGTTTGTCTCACAGCCCTTCAGCAGCTCTTTTTTTCTGACCTCTGACATGACAGGTAGGTTGTCATGAGGAAGAAGCCACATGGTTCGGTGGGCCTTGGTTCTTTGTCTCTGCAGGAGTTTTCTCAGCAACCTCTTCACCTTCCGGTCTCTCGGGTCTGCACATTTCACCGCCTTCTTTGTGTAAAGACTAAATGAAGACACAGTACTTATTACACATTATGGCAGGCACTGCTAGACTCAGAAGAAATATGAAAGAGAACCTAAATATTTACTTGTGAGAAAACACAATGGTTTAGAAATAATACCAGGTGAGGCAAAGACTCAGAGAATTTAAGCCCCAGGGAATCACAAAGAAGACGGGGAATACAGTCTTATTAGATTTCCCTTTGGTAGACGGGGCTGTCTTTCTGTTTGACAAACTGATGTAAAGTAAGAAAAGTTGGGGATAGAAGGCTGAAAGCCATAGAAATACAGAGCACTCAAAGAAACTATTCTAGCTTCTTTGTAGGAATTCCCTGTTTTTGTTAACTGGACCACATAAAAAAATCTCCTCCAGCTACATCAGATTTCTCTGACCTGCTGGAAACAATAGGTATCACAATGCAGAATGGTTTACTTAACTAAACCCTGCTGTTCTGACCGAGTGGCTGAGGCAGGGCTCAGCTGGCTGGGGAGGTATTTTCAGATGGCTTGTTATTCCCACATATTTCCTTTCTTACTTCCCTGGCAATTACAGCTCTGAGCCCTGCCATAACAACATGACCTGGAAAGATGACAATGCCTCTCAGCCCGGCTCTGCCCTCCTCTAACGAGAGGCATATTTTCCATGCCTGCAGATTGCTCTTTAGCTCCAGGAGTGGATAGTTGAAATACTTGCATGATAGCTTGTATACTGCAGTCCGGCCCCTCCGTCTGCACCTCAAACCGCAACACATCTTTGGTACGCACCTTGCCCTGGGAGTATAACATGCAGCACTGGACATCTCTTTGCATCTGCACGCCTTTACCTGGGACAAACAAAGGTGACGAACCAAGAGAAGCATAGAGAAAGTTAACTGGCAGAGTAAATATTGAGTGTGTTGGATTATGTGTTTTATTTCACCTTTTACTCAATTGTAACTTTCTTGTATCTGGTTATGACAAAGTAGAAATCTGTGAGGAAGCTGAAACAGTATCTATAAGTTCCAAAAGTTTCAGATTGGAAATGATTACAAAGTACATTAGCATTAGCTACAGACACATTTTGCATTTTCTATATATAATCCTGGTTTTAAAACACTACAGTCAATAATCTGATGTTTGTAAGGGCTGAAAGAGTCTTTTGGCAGCTTTTGCACACAGCAAAATATTTTCTGTTCTGCAGAATGTGCACATGCCCTGTAGTTACATATACACACACTCCCATATGGACACACATGTACACACAAGAATGTCAGAGGAATTACAATGGCATCCCATTGTGCTGCAAAAACATACTCGCATGGCAGGGAAATGAGAGACAGAGAAAGTGAGAGAAAGAGGGGAGGAGTGTGTGTTTATGTGGAGGGTGTGCCATGATGCCTTTTCATCCAAAGCAAATGTGTAAACAAATTAAAGCGTGATGGAAGCAGCAGGAGCTGTAAAATAGGACAGTGCTGCTTTGTTATGCCACAGATAATTCTGAATCCATCCCCAGGCACGTCAATGCACTTAAAGCGCTTTCACAAAAAAAGACAAGATGACACATCACACAGACTGAGCCCTGACACAGTTGCTCTCTTTCTGTGAGTGTTGTGTGATTTCAGATACGAGTCCTCCTGCCCCTCTGTTTACATCCATGCCTCCATCCCTGCTGCTCCTGCTGCATGCTGCAACCCCTCTGTCCCTCTTTTCTGTCTTCGCCATCGCTCTCTTTGCTACACTGTCCACCTGCAGGGTGCATGCACGCCATGCGACACACACACAAACACACTCTCATAGTAAGTAAGGTTGTGTCCTACCTTCCACAGATGCCAGGAGGATAACAGTCAGAGAGATAACAGTCAACATCTGCAGCATGAACATGATGAGGCTGGCAGAGAGGAGGAGAGGAGAGGAGGATAATCTACTCTGTCACCTCTCTCTCTATGGCTGCCTCTCTTATATTACTCCCTCCCTCTTTTTATACCTCCCTGCCCATCTCTCACTCACTCACTTCCACCACCTCTCTTTATCTATCTTACCGTCTTTCCCTCCCACCCTGTTTATCCATTTTCAGTCATTCTCACGCTCAGCCAAACTCCCTCCCCTGATCTTCTCTCCTTTCACTCTCATCTCACCTCTCTCTCATTCCTCCTTTTCTTCCTCTTCACCCAGGGTGCCAAGCCTTATTTGTCTCACTTAACATCCTCTAAATTACTCCTTTATCATACCTTTTTGCTTGATGTAAATGCATATTCAGGTTTGAAATAGATTCATCGGGTCAAATGAAAAACAGAACCAGCTTTAATCTTGTATGTTACATAATCAGCCCTGGCTTAAAAATAGCAAGTTTGATTTCAAATGATTTACTTATAACCTTGGTTTAAAGCTGTATCATGTAGTTGCAGAAACTTCCAGATTTAAAAAAAAAGTAATGTCCAGCTTGTGTCGTTAGTTTAGGTGCAGCAGTTATTTTCTCTGTGGGACTTGACAAAATGCCAACTAAGAACTAAGAAACCAAGAAATAATCATATCCTACATCAATCTATAAATGATTCATGGTTAAAAAGAGAATGAGATGACAGACATACAATAGCCTACATGTTACTCTTGTGCCATCTGAAACTGCTCAGGCCCTCTGCAGAGCTCCAGTGTTTATCTTTATAAGGTCTATTTTGTGATAACTTTGCATTCTCATTGTCCTATTTCAGGCTTAATTTTCCTTTATTGTCTCACATGAGTCCTAATCTTATGTATCTTAATTTTCTGAACAATATTGTTGTGTAAAATCAATTTTGAACATTTTATTCCACTTCTTTGGTACGCAGTGTTCCACAAGGTTCGATCCTCAGCCCCTTTCTGTTTTCAGTTTGTTTGCTTCCACTGCTGATATTATCATCAACAGTGTTTTGTTGTTACAGTGTTTGCACAAATGTTTAAATTCAAACCTTACAAAGTAGCTAGCTTCAAGATCTTTGTCCCAATTTCCTGCTGACAATTTTTGGACAATTTTTAAAAAACAACTGAAAACAAATCTCATAGTTTTTTCCTTAAATGGTGTGTCAAATTTACAGTACAAACGTTAAAGCCCAACAGCCTATATGAAACTGATCCCTGGACATTATTCCAGTCTTTGTTTTCTTTCTGTCTTTCATATTTTAATGGCTTGGCTTGGGCAAATTCAACAATGGCACAGAGTGAATGTAATATAAGTGGCCAATAAAGTGATTCAGATGTTTGAAAAATGTTTCCTTTATATGTCTTTGCAGCCACTCCCTGCCTGCGCATAAATCATAATAAAATTGTCATTAAGTTTCCATAACTGAACACCACAAGAATAAGCTGGAGGCTCTGAGAGTCGGTCATTTACATTCATTACAGGGAGGTTTCAACAGAAAACAGCATCAGGACCTGATTATGGAGAAAAAAACAGTGAAACTGATGTAGGTCTGCATCAGTTTCACAGAAATTTTCCTTTGAACTGACCCTTTGGTAGAGAAAAATGACTGCAGTTCCCGTGTCAAATGACTCTGCCAAGTAAAACCGTGTACAAACTTATCAGAGGATGAATGGGTATGACAAATACACAAATTTTACCACACTTCATTGTTGACACGTAAGACTCACAAAGTCTTTAATGTGCTTTTCTGATTAATAACTACAATGGAGCTGCTATTCAAATTGTACAAAAATGATTGTGTTGTTGTAGCAAGCCTGATGCAAATTAGAAAAATCATAGACAACACCACTTATCACAGTAATGTTGCTCCATTTAAACTTACTTTTTGCCAAGACATATTTTAAGTCTGACCGTGTTGTTTGTCTCCACATCTTATGAGAATTTACTCATTTAAATACCACTTTTTCTTTGATGTTCATCAGTGAAGTTTCAATGTTGTCCAAAAAAAAAAGGAAAGGAACGCATCAAAAAACCAAATCAATAAAACTGGCTCCCTCAATGTGCTAAATACCTGTTCCTGATCGGTTAAAAGACAAAACATCAGTGATTAATTCTCAACAGCCAAAGTAAGCCAGTAACAACCAGATCGCACATGGTAAATCAAATCAATTCATGTTCAAAAGAGTGTGAACTGGATATGTTGGAAAGAGCTTTTTAGAAGCTTTTCTGTATTTTTTTATTTAATTAAGATGAGAGATGGCAGGCAAGTGACATGTGATGCCAGTGCCAGGTCCTGACATGGGCTGTGAGTCCTCAGGTTGTAAAGTTCACCCAAGTTTGCCCAGATTGACAAAATATGAGAATTCTTGGATATCAATAAAAAATACAATGTGTCATGAAGCTGCACTAGTTTCTGCTTTTGATGAGTGGAGAAATTTTTTTTATTGTCCCTTAAGTTATTCCTTTTGGACTGACACCAAATACTGACATTTATAGATGAAAGTTTAGTAGGACAAGCTTTTGATATAGAGCCGAGTTTCTCATGTTGGCCAGTTCAGACAACAAACATAACCAAAGTAAAATAATACATAAATGCAGTGTACTTTGTAAATATGTATATATACATACTGTATATGTTTTACATACCCTACGAGAATGTTGAACTGGATTGCCTTTTAAAAATCATGCAGGAAAACAGAGTAAACATGTTTCCAAGGTGAAAAACACAGGAGCTAAGCCTAGAAATAAAAAAAAAATACATCACACTTCATTAATTCAAACACATTGGAAAAGTTATACAAATGTTAAGAATACTGGCAGAGCAACACTGGAACAATGACTCGCCTCTAATGCAGGAAAGTATTGCTTTTGACAATCATGTGGGACTGGTAATAGACGCATTTATTGAGGGTGGATCAGTAGAGGTCTAGAGTTCCTGTGGTCCAACAGATCTGATGTTAACAAATGATCTTTTTGCTCCTGAAACTCTTGGTGGAAGAACCAAGAAATGTTCAGACAATAAGGCAACAATATGACCCTAGTGGGTGTGCGTATCCAAAATCTGGATGTGGAAATATGGGGTCTATGCACTAAGGGGTGAGGCTGTACTTATGTGTGTGTTAGTGTGAGACTGTGTGTGTATCGGGGGTGGGGTTAACTGCTCAAGAAATGGACCCAAGAAATCAGGTTGGAATGTCAGCTGCAAAAACATACTTTCCACATGACTACAGGTCAGCTTGTGAGCCTGATACATTTTTTGCATATTTTTGCTGCGATTAAAATATCTCCTGTCAAGGTGTATGCTCTCAAACATGTGGGTGATCAAAAACAACAGGAATACTGTAGAAATGAGTAGTGGGGCTGGAGGGGTAATGTCTTCCACTTTGGAAGGGAATGATGGGCTGAGGCGGTGGGGGGTGGGGGGTCTCCTCTTGGAGACGATGGAGGCTCAGATCACTGTGCTGAACATGCAGTCCAAGAGATCTTACATACCCTGAAAGAGGATTTAGAAGGGAAACGATGCAGGGGGGAATATTTCAACTAATCTTAGAAACAAGGCAAAAAAGAAAGTTGGAAGAAGCTGAATGGATCACTGAGATGTGATTAATTTTCACTTAAAACATGAAGAAGAGGTGATATACTTGACTGATACACGCAGTTGTTGGTTTTTCAATATAAACAGTAAATAAATGCTGAAAAGAATTACAATATTTATCTGTTTGCAAGTCTCCTGTTCTGTCCAGACTTTATCAGCACTTCTAAGCAAATCTGCAACCAATATTTGAATTCAACCTTTCCACCAGAGACATCAGTTATCTTTTTATGAACGAATCATGCCATCATGACCAACTAAGATTAAGAACATGCCAGAGGTCTAACTGGTTGAACTTGTGCTGCTATCCCAGTTGTGAGCATGAATTATAATTTATGTCCAGATGTGATTCAGCACAGCTTTTAAGGAACTGGTTTTACTTATGTTAAAGATAAACATGACTGAATTCATCAGTGTTTATGATTTCCAGAAACAAAGCCATGGGATCAAATTGTATTCCCTCAGCATGCCATTCTTCCATCAATACTGAGGGAGACCAGCCAGTCCCAGCTTCATTGTTCTCGTCCTGCTCTGCACAGGAGGAGGCCCCACCTCTTTCACATGAGATTTTCTTAATGGAATGTCTTTATTGACTGTGGAAATAAAATGATGTACAATCCATCAACATGTGATTATGTTTTATTAGAAAAGAATACTTCATGTTCGTCTGTGCCAGTCAGGCATTCCTCTGCTGGGAGTTGACTGGTGCTCTCCTGGAACCAAACATCTGTGCTTCTCACAGCTCCGTTTCATTAGTCCATGAAATACTAAACCCAGAAAATCAGCTAAAACACACTCAGGCATTTATTTTGAAAATCCCCACTGCAAAAACTCAGGAGGTTAGACTGTACCTCGAGTGTGAAACTGAGCACTGAGGAAGTGTTTAACAAATGCTGCCAGAAAGAACAACACACATCTCTGGTCTGGAGAGATTCAGGTACATTCCTAATGCAAACTCAGACTCCATTTGATTTTCTCTGTTGTACAACAGTCCCTGTGTTTAACAAGAAATATAACCTCCATCTTTGCTCCCAAAGTCTGCCTTGTCCAAAATGTTCTTTGGCATCAGCAAAGTGAAGTAAGATTTCAGTGTAATCCCTGTATTGAGGGATTTTTCTGCCACTACCTTAATCTCACAGAATACAGAAACCGCCTTTGTCACCTCTATGACCTGTGTTCTCCAAAACAGAGCCAGACAGATACTGGACAGACTGAAATCAGCCTCACAAACTGTAAATCAGTCTATATAATAGTGTTAATAAGTATGTCAGCAGACAACCATCAACATAGCTCACATAGTTTCTCAACCACTGAGCCCTTACATAACTGTATGTTAGATTCTCATCCTGTAAAATGTCCCTCTGGGTACAAAGTATGTGGTTTCTTGTGTAAATTTGAGGAATTCCTTACCAAATGTTTTCATATGAGTCAAATGTACAAAAAAACAAAAAAAACAAACAAACCCTGATATATGATCCCAAGTTTCAAAAACCAAATTATACCATTTACAATACAGCACTCTTAGAATGATTACAGACTTTGGTATATATGGACCTCAAACATTGGCATTGGATGTACTCTCCTTAATTGTATCGTCCACTACGGCAATAGAGCGATGAAGCATATGGATCTAAAGGGCACCCAGAGGGGGTTTATTTTTGTACGTCACATTTAGTGGACAAAAGTTTTCATGGTTGTGTTAATTAATCATAGCAGAACTCCTGCACCCTTGGCGGTTCCAAGATGAAAACAAGTTTCAAAATATTTTTGGGAAGATGATAAAAAGTGATCTGAATGGCCTAAGACAGCAGGTAAAAGCTGTAAAGCTGCAGAGAAAACTTAAAAAATAGTAATTATCACTCCTGAATGTAAGTTCTCCAGTTTATTAGTCTTTTTTAAGCTGTCTCTGCACCAATCAATGTTTGCATATCTTTTAATAATTTGACTGAAGGGTCTATCTGACCATAAGCCAGAGCCAAATCAAAGAAAGACAGGCTAGATAAGTCATGTTAAGAACATATGTCATTTGTAAATCTTGTGGATAGATACTCTGTTGTGTGAGACATCTGGAAATGCCAGAGCAGGAAAACTCTTAGAGGCCCAGAGCTTTATAGTGAATGATTCAGACAGGTTAATAGCCCTCATATCCTTGGTGCAAACAAAATGTTATATATAAGAACAGTCACCCTGTAGACCTTAATGTAAAAATATATAAAAGTTTTGTTAAGATTAGATTTTTACCTGAGTGTTTTTGGGGTCGTTTGTGTTTTTATCATAACTGTCATGAGATATGTGCATGCAGAAAAAGGCTTGAAGTGATGGCCTATATGTCACTGGAATAACAGCTAAATTATTGACCCAGTTTTCTGATGTATTTGGACACTTAAAAACTATTAATATTCATCTGACAAATGTATTCATAGTTAATGATGTAACACAAGGACAAATAAATGAACACTTTGATCCTGAGAGAACTGTGTTATCTAAAACTTAAATTTATTTTTGTACAGAAGTATTTGACAAATATTTACAAAAATAAACACATGACCACCGATGTGTGCAAAGTTAAGTTAGAAAAGTCACAAAGGAAAAATGTAAAAAAAAACAACAACATCCAGACGTTTGCTTAGAAAAGTACCACAAAGGTTTTCATAAACAAATCGTTCACTGAAAAAATCCTGTATTGTTGCAGTTATTCCATGTTTGCCTCTCCTGAAGAAATTGTTTAATCAAGTGTTCCTACGGGGAAGAATAAAGAAAAAACAGGTCAAATTTATATCTCTACAGAAAAGGTTTCCTCTGAAAGTCTGTTTTAGGTCTGCAAAATACTGCTATTTCTCATGTCTTTGAGGTTGCCAATCATAATTTAGCATAATGAGAGATTGATTTATCCCAGTATTGGTGAAAATAATTTCATTTATGTAAACATGATTTAAAAAAAACATTTAAATATGAGTACTTGTCCAGACATCTCTTACCTTCAAGAAATGCAAATTCATCTATGGCCTCTATTGCATTGTCTGTGGAGGCAAAAAAGGGAAAACATGGTTAAGTCAATGATCTAAAGACATATTTACAACATCTACAAGGCAATGTAGTATCCTCTATTTAAATCAGCAAGATATCCACTGTGTTGAAAAATAGGTGAAAATACTGCTCTGTTAAACCCGCTCTGAATCCTCATCTTAGACACGTTTTATTTGCATTTTAAATTCTTTCATAGCACTTACCCAGGTCTTTTCTTTGCAATGTTTTCCTCTTCCCTTGCTGAGCGTACACCATGGCATCTTTGGCAATCATTTCAACAAACAACTCCTGCAAAAAAAAAAAAGAAAAAAAAAAAAAGGTTTGTCACACTTACAATTCATAAAATCCTTACACTATCTAAACCTGGCTTGTTAATATCAGTCATCGGCTGACCTGCTCTCTCATAATTGGTATTAGACTGAAAAAAATCTGATCAGACCTCTAATTATGATTGCTTCATTGCATTTTCATCGTCAATTAAGACATAAATACTAATAATGGTATACTGGTGGCATATCACTGAGGGGACTGGCGAAATGCAGCAGAATCACTGGAATATTTTAACCATAGACTGTATACAGAATGGATGCTGTCTGCCTCCTCGCTGGGTGAAGCCACTCTGAGAACAGCACCCTCTGGTGACAGGCTGCAGTATAGGTCATAAATCCTGCCTCTGCCAGCAAAGCTTATGGAGCTGTGGACAAGCTTTGGAAATTTATTACACAGAATATAAATTTTTCTCCCCCTGCTTGCAATGTTGACATGTAGTTACAGTAAGACTGGTTTGTGCTCAAGTCCTCTTTTTTCTGTGTAGCTTCGTTTTTAAAAGTTATTAGGGGGTTCAAATTTTCTATGATTGACACCTGATACAGCCTATGAGCGTATGAAGATTGCGTGGCGCACAAGGGGGGATACGCTGTTTGAGCCGAGCGTCATCGCAGTGACTCTCCCGCTGAATGCGCACAAGTGGTTGAGTGCGTACGACACGACTGCGCAACGCTGGTTTCAGGAAATGGAGAGAAAACGCGAAATTACCGAGAGCTTTTTGGCTTCAAATCCGTATACTGGTGGACGGTGGAACCAAGTTGTCCATGTATATACAGTCTATGATTTTGGCAGTCACAGTCACAAGCTAGTTTTTTTTAACCTTACTGTCACTTTCAAATGTTATTACTGTACAACTCTTGTAAAGAGATGAAAATGTAGAAATCTCAATAGTGTTATTCCTCAAGAGGCCTACTAACGTTCTCAGTTTCTATCCTGTCCTTTGGTCGAAACTCTGTCATGACATCCTGTTACTCATGTGCAGATGACACATGTATGTATGCTCTTCTATGTTCCTATAAAATCCATTTCACTTAAATATTTGAACAAATTTGCTCTTAATAGTTAGGGGGTCCCTAAGATCTGCAGATACAACCTTCAGGTGTTTCTTCATCTACCAAAAGACTGGGCACCTCGTCACAATGATCTTTCACATTTAAATCCTCTCTTGAAACTTTCTTTTATAGTGGAGGTTTTGTAGATTTGCCATGTTTCCCTGTTTGTAGTGTTTTGTATTTTGAATCTATAATTTTTGGTTGTTTTTGGTGTGTTTTACATTTGTGAAGCACGTGTAAATTGTCAGGACAGGTGCTGTTTTAATACAGTTTATTATTTACTGTAAATGTAGCAGGAAAACCCCGCTTTTTGGAAGTTTTGGGCAGACATTTTAATAAAATGATTAGATATTATTGGATATGTTTGTCACGTCTTGAACTAAGTTTCTGTCAGGTCTTAAAAATGGAAATATTGCGGAGAAAACAGCACATAGTTTATTGAAACTTTAGGGTTGTTGTTTTTTTTTACCGTGGCTTTAGCGATGATGAACACAGACTCTTGGCTTGCCAGTGACACGTCTGGGTCAGTCTTCATAAGCGCCTTGATTCGGGCCAGCGGGAGTTTGGACAGTCGGGTGTGGGTGACGGTGGCGGGCCCCGTGTGCTGCTGCTGGTTGTTCTCCTCCTCGGCCTCGGCCCCTCGGCTCTCCTCCTCACTCCCACACCGGTCAGGGTCGTGCTCCGTCGGAGTGATGAGTGCAGCCACTGTTGCAGCCATTCTCTGGTTTTCACTACAAATGTATCCAAGACACACGCATAAATCCCAAATCGTCTTCTTTTTTAGCTACATGTCACATACATCAACAACTTGACTAGCTGTGGCTCGGCAGCATGTGCTTCCGGCCTCTCAGTGAGTGGCCTACGCTGATTGGCTAACCAGGCAGCCTGCTATCCCGCCTTTTCCTCTCCCGCCAACGTACACTCATCGCTGATTGGATACACATAGAATACGATCTGACTATTGGCTATTTGTAAACGCCAATCAAAGCTGGTAGCGCTAAAATAGTGATGGGCACAGCAGTTCTTTTAGATGTACTGAATCACTAGAATTAGTTCACTGAAAAGATTTGTTCAAAAGATTCGTTCATCGAATCACCGAATCATTCAGTGCTTGGCGGGAGGAAACTGTGACTCCAAACTCCTGAATTGATTCACAGCTGAACGGTTCAAGATTCAACTCAATACATAGCTTCTGGGACTGAGAAACGAGAGTGTTTGGCTGTGTTGCTATGGCAAACAGGTTTGTATGAATGAACTTGTTTATAAGTCATGATTTTTGGAGTGTACTGTCCTATGGTATGCTACTTATCAGGTCTGCTGGGTAAATCGGGCTCAATGAGTTCATCGAATCACCGAATCGGTTTAGTACGTTCACTTAAAAGATTCTGTTCTTTTGAACGAATCGTTCGCGAACGACATAACACTAGCGCTATATAGGATGGAGACGATGGCGACGCAATGAAATGAGATGACTGTTGCACGATAGAAAACTTGGATTTCATTTAATTACAGGTCAGAGAAGTTATTATCACCACTAAATTCAGGAAAAGTCATTTACAGTGGGAAAATAATAAAAACCGAGTGTCTTGAAACAACCTACGTGTCCTCAACATTAGTGGCCACTTGGGGGCAGCAGACACAAGTTGTAAGGCTGCCTCATGTCACAAAGTTTATAGTCTGAATTTGTAGCAACACTTAATATATATAGATATATTTTTAACTCTGATCATCCAGCACTTCTGAAACACTTTCCCATCATCTTCCAGCAGATGTGAAAGACATCTGACAATTTCATTTATGCCTACAACAGTCTTTGGTGATTAAACTTGGAACACTTAGGAGGGCTATACACTATCATCTCAAATGATATCTAACCAAACTCAAACCCCCTCCTAAAGTAGAAAGAAAGCATCAATACATCATCTGCAGAGCCGGCCCAAGCCTTAATGGGGCCCTAAGCTAAATTTGATTTTGGGGCCCTCTATTTTAGACACAACTAATACAGTATAAATTTAATGAGCCTGACATGTCTTTACACGTTTAAGGGAGTAGCTTAGGTAATAACATAAATAATACCAATGCAACCATACAAATACTATCAATGAATGACTGATGAATGATGTTCAGGGTGCCACATATGGTTTTAAATCTCAAATGCAACACATTCAGCTACAAGAGCGCCCTGGGGTTTATTTTCACAACATTCCATTGATAAAGCATTGTGTTTACTGTAAAAGTGTCATCGGCAGTAAGGATCATAGGCCTACATCTGCAGCAGCACTGAAATGTTGGGCCGGCTCTGATCATCTGAAAGCTCCCTTAATGTCTTTTGTGTGTGTATTGCTGTGATCCCAGTAACATACATTTAGCCCTATGTCTACAGAGAGTTTACAAGTGTTTTAAACAAGGTTTTAATACAATAACAAACAAACAAACAAACAAACATAACTTTTAAACTAAATTACAGGAAAACAAAGTCATGGTAAAACTGATCACTTGATAACAGATTTCAATTCTCCACTTTTTTGTTTGGACAAATATCTACAATCCTCCACAAACTCGTTCAGTTTTTAAACTAAAATCCAGTGATCTGCTTATTCATGGAAAGATGTACTGTATGTAACAAACATCCCCTTAGCTGGTGTCACATAACCCGATGAGCAGTCCACTAATACACCAGGCTAATAGGATTGTGATTAGTTCCTTCAAGTACTCTGAGGCTTCATTCACATGTTAAGTCATTGTCTGGTCTTACAGCCTGCGGGACAGACATGAAAGATCCACAACTTGCAGGTAAGTTTATCAACTCTTCTTTGTCAGTTGCTGTAGATTTGTAGAAATATGCTAAATGAGCAGCAGTACTTCGTTACTTTAAATGTGGCTATCACTTCCTTGTTGGACACTTGATAAAAAAGTCTATAACTTAATAAATAAGCTGATACTCTAAGTGCTTTCTTCATATTTAGTTTGTAGAACAAATTTAATAACTCAGTCTTGTGATGCTATGACATGATCCTTTTGCTGGTGTTGGTCCTCTGTGTTGACATGTGTTTTATGTCAGGGATTCACCAGTGACATGGTTTAGTGTACACCCTCTATTACAGCTTCCCAAGGTAAATAGTTGCCGACTTAGTAGCTCATTAAAAGAGGATAAACTCAAATTAGGCCTTAACTACTGTTTACTAATATGTATTGCTCTTCTATCAAACATAGATAAATTCAAGACAACAGTTTTTCATGACCTCTAAATACTTATTTCTCCCTGTCAGTGGCTTTTAACTGATCTTAACAGCACTTGTACCGAGGATAATGAGCCATTTACATTAAGCAAAAATTGTAAAAGGTACCGTATCGGCCTTACTTAAATGTACATGATGAAAATGTAAAACTATTGTGCGGCTGCTGGACATTAACAAATATCTAGCCTTAAATTGTTTAATGGAAGAGTAGCACCAAAACTGAACAAAAAGCCATAACACAGAGACTCTGAATGGCCTATTATACCCAAAGAATACCTTGACAAGTTAATTACACATACTGTATTCCTTAGATATTAATCTTGCTTTACATACTTAGTGTTTACATGTTAAGAAACATTCAAAGTGATTATAATGATATTAACATCTAAATATATTCATTTCAAATTGGCTAGACCTAGTAATCCAGTATCCAAAAGAAGCAAATAATCCTGGCTGCAGTCAGAGCTGGGTCTTCTGAACCTGAGGCTATATTTAGCCCTCAGTGACCAGGACATGGCACATTATTACAAATCACACTGCTGATTTACAGAAGTCCATTAACAGCTAAATTTGTGATTGACCACTGGTTTCTGTACTGGACTCATTCAAAAGTTCTTCACATGTACTGTTACCTGAAGTGATTAAATGTGTTTTGTAAGACACCAAGCTCAAGCTCAGAAGGATGAACCATCTGACCTAGGACACCAAAGCACATTGTATTATTTTTTTAAGCTGAAACCTTATTCAGCAGTGTCCTACGAAAACATAAGAATCACTGTATAAGCTTTACTGAATGAGGAACTAAAAATAATTTATTGTTTGGGAAAATTTTAAACTTTGGCTGGTACAGGACAGAGATGTGCTGAAACCTCAGAATGCGCTCAAGGAGCAAGACTTGTTCTTTTCAAAGCAGACAAAACAGGAAAGGTTTCCACATCCTGCTTTTGTCCATCCTTAGACTGAAAAAATACACATTGACAATAATTTTACACAGCTCACAGATATATTAGGTTGAGACTTGTTCTGTATTGCTAAAAAACACACTTTGAAGGAAAAAGAGTTGATATTGTCTGTCAAATAGAGAGGAAATCGAGGAGCTCCTGTCTCATCCTGTGAGGATATTTACTCTAAGTTCATTCACAACTTTAAAGTTCATTTTCAACTTAAAATCAATATAGATATTTAAAAAATCAACAACCTTTAAATAGAAACAAACATACATGTTGAAGCCAAATGATTTCCACATCAAAGTTAGTTAAAATGGAGGTTAATCTCATTGCAGGCCTCTAAATACAGTCTAATACTCTACTTTTAGACGCTGACCTCTCTAAGACTTCAGTGGCCTAGTGCTAAAATAACCTAATCAGTCCAACATTTCCATGAACTCATGTAACACATTCAGCTGATCGCTGAATTTAAAGTATCTTCTTCTATACTAATTCTGTTTGTGGTTATGTGAAGCACGAACCCTATGCTCCTAATGATTTACATGACTGTGAGAGACCTCTGTAAAGAAACACAACACATCATTAATTCTCTCTTATTTCTTAAAAGTTTTTTAATTTTCTATTTCAGGGCTCAAGACTCGACTATGGCCAAAACAGAAATCAAGCAACAAGTCCAAAGGCGAAGCTCCAAAGGTGGAAAAGAAAACTAAGCCCCAGACCTCTACCCTGTTACGAACCATCCCACAGCTGAGTGAAGCAGAGAGAATGAGGCTGTCAGCGTTTGAGAGGGTCGTCTATGACATGGCCCACAATGAGAGGATTATCAACGACCTAACGCTTGGCCGACGGGTTGGCTTCTATGAGCTGCGTGGAGAGATAGGGCAAGGAAACTTCTCTACAGTGAGGCTGGGGATCCACGATTTGACGAAAGGTTTGAAAAAGTTTTCCATCTTTTTCTTCGGCCTTTTGTTGAATTGATAACCTTTGATAAATAACATGTTATTGTCAGCAAAAAGACACACGTCAGCTTCTCAAATTTCCCAAAGATGGATCCTTTGTGACTTTAATTTATGCATCATCCCTCCAACGTGGGCAGTTATTCTTTGCTCTAATGTGCTCAGTTGCATATATTAACTCCAGAGGATAATATTAAGCTGTTCTTATCACCTCTGATCCCAACTCAGCCTCTACATTTTTCTACTGCTGGAAATTGTGCAAGTTTATGAGTGTGCAATCCAACTGTTGGGGTCTAAGCAACATTTCTTTCATTTGATAGTCTCCCAACAACACATTCAACATACTCATGTGCATAAAGATAGAGCAACCACGTGTTTAAATCCCTAAATTATCTTTGGTATCCTGACCTTTCATCTTGTTAGAGCCTATATAAACCTGACTGACATTTAGATCTCCTGTCCTCTGTCACAGAGAGAGTGGCTATTAAAGTGGTGGACAAGCTGCGTCTGGACAACAGGAAACAGCCGACGACCTCCTCGGAGATCAGCTGCATGGAGAGGCTCAGCCACCCCAACATAGTGCGACTGTACGAGGTGTTCGAGACCAGCAGGAAGATGTATCTAATGATGGAGTATGGCAGTGGAGGAGACCTGTTCTCTCGAATCACCACCAGGGGGAGACTCAACGACCTGGAAGCCAAACTGGTTTTTGCACAAATAGTAGCTGCTGTCAAATACATGGTGAGTAGTATCAGCCTCAGTTATTAACTATTACACATGACTGTACATGCCTCATGACTGTAGTTGTCCAAATATCAGAGCTGATTCAAGATAAAGATTTATTTTTCAAAAGGCTGAACCACATGTTTCAACTGTGTTTACATTTATGCAGTTTTCGTTCACATTAGTCCTTGTTTTCCTAATTTGGATGACATGCAGCGAGGGATGGCCCCGTGTTGGATATGTTAGGGTTAATTATAACATTAGGAGGTTGTTTGGAGTTATGTTATTAAGTCCACTTCTTATGAATTCCAGGGGCCAGACCCCTCCAGAGGGTCACAAAATTGGATTTTGAGTCTTCTAAAATATTTGCAGGTGTTTCTGTTTATTAAGTATCACAGGCAGATGAGTTTAAATGTGTTGGTTTCAGCTTCAATACTAACCTCATAGGTGGTAGCTCTAACTTAAAATATTTCTGTGATGTCTAATTCTGTTGGCACATATTACTTCTGACTTATCAACTGAGCTGTCTGGTAGTTTTTGCAAGTGAAGGTGCCAGGTAAAAACAGATTGATTTGTTTTCAGTCTCTGTCACTGCAGCAGCAGACTGATGCTGGGGTGGCTTAATGATGGTGTGCTGAAAAATACAAAATAATGTGAAATATATATATAGAAAAAGACTTAGAGCTTAGTTGCAGCAATGCATTAAAGCTGGTGTCCCTAACAGAGTTCGAAAGCAAAGAGAAACTCCTGTGTAGATAAAAAAGTAGAAAACATCAGTTGAGAAAATTAAAATTAAAATACCTACACTTGTTCTTAATAATATGACTTCTGCTTCACAACCAATTTTTCATCTTTCATATTAGTTTAAAAATGATAACTTGACTCCTTTTGTACAGTGCTTTATGAAAACATCAAATAATAATTTCATAGAGTACTTCTAAAGTGTGAAAACCCCTGACTGAAATGTTTCTTTTTCTGTGATATTTCAGCATGACAACAACATCATCCACAGAGACCTAAAGGCGGAGAATGTCTTCTACACCACCAGCTACTGCATCAAGGTTGGAGACTTTGGTTTCAGCACAGAGTGTGGTCCTAATGAGCTCCTCACCAACTTCTGTGGCTCACCGCCGTATGCTGCCCCTGAACTGTTTAAAGACAAAGGCTATGTTGGATATCACTCAGACACCTGGGCTTTAGGTGTCCTCTTATACTTCATGGTGACAGCCGCTATGCCCTTTTTTGCAGACTCTCTAGGCAGACTGAAGCGCTGCATCCTTAAGGGGGCCTACAGTATCCCTGCATATGTACCTGACCCCTGTCAGCAGGTCATTAAGGGCATACTGCGGCCCGTGCCTGCTGATCGCTCCTCTCTCACACAGATCAAAAACAGTCCATGGCTGCAAGGGATTGAGTACTCTGGTTCATACGTGTCACTTCCTCTGTCCCCGGCCCACTTTGCTCTGGATAACCAGACTCTGTCTGTGGAGGAGAAGGAGGTAAAGACTTTACTCTCGGAGCTGGGTATCATGGCTGTTCACTTACAAAACAACCCCTGCATGGACTGTAGAAGCCCACTCACTGGGACCTACCGGATCCTTCTCCATCGGGTCCAGAAGAGGAAGACAGCAGAGGCTGTAGGTTATTCATCCCTCCACCCTGACGAGTATGAGAGCACAGGAAAGTGGTCTGTAGCATCAATGGACAAACACACCCCCTCTGCTGTGTGCGCCATACTCTGATGGAAAAATACTGGACTGGCTCTGATTGTAACTTTTCAGGCTCTAAATCAAACACACATGTAACCAATTTATTCCATCCACCCCCTCAATCACCTACAGCTTTAGTCTCTAAGGTGTTAGGTTGCATGTTGACAGGTACTCAAGATATGTTGTGCAATACTAGGCTGAACTGCCAGACCTATGTAGGTTGAGGATTGAGCCAAAATACCTGTCCCACTTTATAAGTCAATTATAGCGGGCCTGCACACATCTTAAGTCATTAACTCTGCTCTGATTACCTCCCCACCTGCCAGCTTGATGTGTGACACCTATCAGTCACTGCATGGCTGTAACTATCTCTTAATCCCTTTGATATAGTGCATATATCTACTTAACTAATCCAAGGCTATGGGAACCCCAGTCAGCAGGATACAGTGAGCATGCTCTGTCCAACAGAAAAAAACCTGAAAACCCGAGACTATGGAGAAAAAAGTAAAGATGTTTCAACCAGGTATAAAGCCAAATAGAGCTCAATGACTTCAGAGCAATAGAAAAAAAACATTAACACAGTCATCTTGTTAAAGAGATCTCTTGTATGCCTTAATTTAATTTAGATAGTTATTTGATTTTCTAATTTTATGCCTACTTTATGGATTTCAGAGTTTTTTAAACACAGATTTTTTGAACGGTTTTGATGTCACATTGTTGAAGTCTGAGTTAAGTACTGTTATTATATTTTTTCCTTTTTCAATACAAGACTTGATAAAAAATCTGTAATGGATACTGGCTTGAACTTGTAACAACTATAACAAGCTGAATAAAAATTTGTATCAAATTTGCTTTTCTCCGATCCTCTTTTACAGCGAGACACAAACATTACAAGATTGTTTTATTGTCTTTTTCTGCGGGATGTGCGACCCCAGCCAAGTTTTGTCTGTTTACACAGATACTCCCCGAAGGACACAGGGGGATTTTTGCTTCCTTATAAGACTAGATGTTTTTTTCTTGAGCTAGTTTGCTTACAGGAATTGATATTGGCATCATCTGAGCACTTTCAGTAAAGACTTGATTATGAAACGTGACATGTTTTGCATGTGCAAACTCCACAGAATTCTAAAACTTTAACATCCTGTGAGGCTTTGACACTTTCATTAATCCCAGTTTGTGAACTCAAATTTTAATTACTCTGATTCTTTTCTACTTGACCAGTTTTTTGGTTCATTTTCACCTCTCACTCTTCAGTCCCACTTGAGGAGAAACAATCTCCATGTGCCAAGCATCGCTGTTTGCCTAAAACCATCTCCTGGGAGTAAGCACCAATTCTGCAAGAATCTGCAATCGCTCTGTGATGCTGATCAGTGACTGGCACAAATTAAAGCTTCATTCTGCAGTAAAAAGTCCTCTGCTGTTCTCACAGGAACATATGCACAGTGTGTGGGCAGGAGCCAGCACACAGTGATTACTAGGGTCCTTACAGGTGCCAAGGAGGAGTCTGGACTTGCAGTTTATGTAAGAATCCTGTTCTTGCACAATATGTTTTATGTGAAAATCTTTGTTTATTGTTTCCACATGAGAAAAATTTTGATAGATGATTCCACAGAGGACACACTCAGTCAGGTTAAATGTGACCAAGAAAGTACCAAAAGTCATGCAAGGAAGTGGATTTTGGTCATTAAAACACCAATAGCATGAAACAAAAATAAACCCGATCTCAAAATGCTTAAATCCAATCAGATAAGGATATGACTGATTCAAAAAAAGTTCTTTTTAATTTTGGGAGGATTAAGTTTGAATCTGATAAATAAGACAAACTTACAAATGCCGCAAGAGATATTTACACCAATCCTCTGTGGTCATACCGTGTTTGATCCATGCAGGATTGAATTAAATCATAATGAACAAAATCAGATTTCACCCTCACAAACAAACACATTCTCCTCTGCTTTTCTTTCATGCTTATAAAAACCATGCTCCCTCTTGATCCTCACCCTATCTTTAATCCCTATGATTATCACCAAGAGCCAAGATGTCAGCCCAAGAAAAAAAGCAAGTCAGGGTTTGTTCATAATTACATTTTGCAGTAAAAGTTCAGCTCTAAGCCCAGCATGACAAATGTGTTCAGTTCATAAAGACATGACTGAGGTGATTGCGAAAGAGTAAACTCAGCGATATTTGGATTAGATCCTTGTGTATAAGAGCACACAAGGACCACAAGGCTGCAAAGACAGAGGGAGAGAAACTACAGAAGAAGTATTTTCTTTTGGAAAGAAAAAATACACTCAGTTTTCTGAATGAGTGAGTTGAGATAAGGTTCTCATAATGATAAGAAAATGTTATGAATAAATCTGGACGATCCAAGAAAACTGAGCAGAGCTTTTTCTCATGTTAAGGCAAAACACTTGTGTATTCATAACACTGTGTCTACTAACTGGTTCTCATTACTATTTCAAATGTAAACAGAGCAAATAGTTTCCCCCAAAAGAAGCTTCCCCAGAACTTACAAAAAGTGATTTTACAACAACAAATTTTGGCCCTCTATCAGTTTTCTGTGTGCACTTGCTGCTTCCTCTTATTAATCTCACTCAGATACTGGTGATGTACAAAATGCAGTGTTGCAGGGATGGGTGGCTGACCAAGCATAAATGATTGAAATGGTGCTCAGCTGAAGCATTGCCAAACACAGCACTACCGTTAACTGCCACTCAGTAACCTCAATTAACATCTTTTTTTTAGAGGAGTTATGTAAGATCGACTCTCCCCGAGGTGAGCCAGCAGTAAGAGAGGGGCGCCACACTCAGGCCTTCAGTTGGTGGTATTTAGCATCTTCTCCTCATTAGGTGGCTCATTATATTTTTACACTAATGATTTGAAACAAAAAAAGGGTCGTCTGTGCCTCACTTTTGGCGGATTAGTTCTTTGTGTAAACTTCCTGGTGTGGAAAATAAGGTCAACTGTAGCATGGCTCTTTAAAACCATCAACACCAGCACTTTATGTTCAGCTGTCTTACTCAGGTATGTAATCACATCTGAGCCCACTTCATTTGGGGAAGGTAGCAGACATTAGACAAAACAACCCTTGAATTGCAATCACAAACGTTAAAATTCATAAACTATGAGGAGCACATGCAAACTGTTACATGCTGGAAGCAACTGGGTCACGCATCATGTCTCTTATGCATAAGGATGTTCCAACAATAACATTCACACAAGTCTACTTTCGGTTTCCTAATGATCTGTTGGGTACAGCATGCAACCCAGGGACTTTCTGTTCTCTCATTGTCATTTGTTTGAAGAGAAAATGTATTTAAACTAAAACTGAGCGAGTCCTGACCCCAAATTGTGAGGGTATTCGCTGTGTAATTATGGTGAATTGACGTCTTCATTGCCCCAAAACCCATCCAACACATTCTCAAGAAAAATAGGAGAATAAGACTAACCAACTTAAAAATACAAGCAGACTTAAAACCCTTTCTTTTGAATGTGCTATTGTTGGACACTGCTGTCTCTCAATGCAATACACAAAGAAAAGCAGAGGAGCTGCTTCCAGCAACACAATGTTTGAATTAGCTTTGAATGGTGGTGAATTAACTCCAGCAACACCTCAGACATAAACATGAGTTACTTCTTTGAAAAAAACTTTTGTGGCCTAGTTTGGCTGCAATAAAGTTAAACTGGCAGTTACTTCAGAGCTTCAGTTTGATAGATGTATGTGGGCAAAGGTCTAATGTCATTTCCTGTGAGCACAAAATGTGAAATGTGTGGTATTTTGTTGTTTTCTAAATGCAGAAAACACGTAATGTCACAATAGAGTGAAGCTCGGGCTTTGGGAAAATAAATCCTTGTGTGTGCTCTGGACAGAGTCAATAGTTTTTAAAGGACTGTTTTATGACCTCTAACTTATTTTTATTTGGTTAATTTTTTGAAGGTAGAAGTGTCTACCCCTATCCCCTCAACCTGCTGATAACATCTGAAAGCATTTCACAATCAGTCTATCTAACTCCATGAAATAAGGGACACTTTGAATAAGTGATGAAAGATTGTTAACCACAAGGTTGTTTTCACTTACTTCAGGTCAAAGTTCAGTAACCAGCAGATGAAAATAGACATGTGCTAAAAAGCTTAAGCGTTATTTATTTATTATTTTTTTTAGTTGCACCTTAGTTATATGATACGTCTTGTAAATCAGAATCAGAATACTTAATTTATCCCGAGAGAGGAGGTTCGGTCTTTCATTACGGCATCATCAACTGGGTCTTACACGAGCGATAACCTCCAGTGATAAAAAGCAAGCTGATACAGAGGATGCAGGAAATGACCGTCCCCTGGGTGTAGGCAGGCTGTAAAAGCCAAGGAACCCTCATTAACACCCTGTTTAAAATGCCCACTTTCACATGAAATCCAAAATATGTTGACAAGCTTGACAAAAACATTTAAGGTGAACATTTAAAGAGACAATTAGGGGTGGAGGGCTGAATGTTCTATGCAGTCGTCAGTACTGCGGTTGTATATCATCTGAAGCCTTTTCAGTTGAGAAGCACTGGGTGAAAATCTGTTTTTACCAACTTGATTATTGAATCTTATATGGCACCCATTCTTTTTTATTGTAGCTCATTTCATATGAAAGAAATCTGTTGAATCAAGTTACTACAAACTAGGCAAACTTGGAAAATGAAGACACTTATGGGCCACCATTTTACATGACAATGCAGGATGTATATTAATATAAAATAGTTGCCTTCTTTCTATTGGTAAATATCATATCCAGTTAATCTATTTACTGTGTTAAATGGACAGCATCGCTCCTTCACCACCCACTGTGATCTCTGAGCCCACAACAGCCAGAAGCCAGCTCCACCATAACATTCATGCTGGTGAAGTAAAGCATACGCAGAAGCAACCGGCGTCACGGGACTGGCAATGCACAAGCAGTGCCAACCAAAACACACTTTAAACTTACTGATAAAATGCCAAACATCCCTCAGGTGGGTATGGGTCTACAGCAGGATAGATTGTTCTGTTGATGTGACGCAGACTCAGTTATGGGAAATTTGATGACTCTAATGTCATCACACTTCCCAGAAAATGGTCACTTTTATATAAATCAGCATTAAGAAAAAACTACAACTGTACAAATCATGATTCAGAGAATGCATTTAAGGACTATTTTAATGTTATTACTTGGCTGTTCTGTCTTTTACCACAACAGAGATCGGGTTAATGACCTGAACCACAACCGGTCACCATGGGGAGCTCTAAATCGTTTGCCCTCAAGCTGGACAGATGCTGCTGGTGGCTTTTTATATACAGTCTATGATTCAGTCATTCCAACACAACACAACACTACTGTGTGATGCACAGTAACAGAGATCACATTCATAATGCAAGAGAAAGTGAGGACAATCAGAAAGGTAAGGAGACAAGTATGGGGAAAAGTCCACAGTGTCTAAGAAGTGCTGACAGTGAAAGAGTTGCAGCAGAAGTTCAATAGATTAAACTGTCCCTGTATCACACACACAGATTTTAATGTTGCTTGTATGATAACAGGTAACTTTAAATCAAATGAAGAAACCTGTTTCTGCGTTTCTGATAATGAAATCATGGATCGTTAAAATCACAAACACCAAAAGTCCCCCTGATGGATCGCTCATCTCAACTCTTCTCTATAGGGTGCCAGGTTGGTCTATCGTGTTACGCATCATACATCATTTACAGATATCTCCTGGCCTTAACTCGTTTCAGTATTTCATCCCCCCGACTCTCCACTCCCCTCATTTCCCGTATATTACAGCAGTCTAATCAATAAAAACAAAAAACCCTTTCCTAAAACAGAAAAACAAAAAACCGGCATCACAATTATTTTCAATCTGTTGCCTTACTTGCTTTGCTCAGTGTTAATAATTAAGAAGAAATCAGTGTCCTTTTCACACTGATTGCAAAATAACGATCCTCTGGAAGTTGGCCTGAGTCACTGGGTTCAAATTACAGGCGATCAGTCCAGATGTTTACTCTGAAATTACACTGAAACGGAAGTTCATACGTTCACCATAATCATGAAAAAATGAATAAAAGGGAAGCACAAAGATGGACTGATGTAGGCGAGAAACTACTTTAAACATGTCGATTGTTCAGGACAACGACACTGTACTGAGGCCTCCTGACAGTGTCTAATGAGATTTTTGTCTGGTGTAAGCCCACAGGCCGAAACATGTCATTTGTATACTAAACACATGACGGAGGAACACTTCACAGGCTGTATGTGAATAGCTGGAATACTTTCCTTTTCTAAAGCCTCCCTTTGCTGGCCTCAACTTTCCTTTCCTGTACCAACACTTTAAAACTGTCTCGATGTTTCTTACATTTGCTAATGTAAATATGTAAGGATCTGCAAGAAAATTGATTATTTGAGTTATGCGGAATATAATTTCAATTCTGTTGCAGTAAAAGTAACTTTTATCAAAAATGTTTGTATGACACTTTAAATGCTTCATATAATCAGAGGATTTTTTATGAGGATTAAAAATAACTGTAATAGAGTCAAATCTGGTTCCAGGATATAGACAGTTGGTAAAAAATTCAGACATAAAGAAAAGAAATTAATTTATGTGGACAAGTATATCTATAAGGAAGCAAATTGATTAGTTATATTGATGTATGGAAAGGAGGTAGGAATTAAAGAAGTTGTTCTTCTTCTCACTGCTTTTTAAATAGTATGTTGACCCAATCAGTTACTGTTCCTATCTGTCTTTCTTTTTTTGTCTTCAAACTTTTTCAGTATTGTTCTCTCTCTCCCTCTCTCTCTCTCTCTCTCTCTCTCTCTCTCTCTCTCTCTCTCTCTCTCTTTCTCTCTCTCACTCTCTCTTTCTTATTTCATGTTCAAATTCAAGATTTCAATTCAATTCAATTCAATTCAATTCAATGCATTACAGTCCAATTGGTTACAGAAGAAACGGGCATTGTACTGTATTACATAACTGTTTTTTTTACCTCTCACTGTCATCTACACCAACATAATCGCCAACCCATTAAAAATTGTCTCCTTGAACCCGGTGCCCTACAAGACTAGATTTTGGGTGGTGACAGATGACTAAAGCTGCTCATTATTGGCTCAAATTGATGGAAAACCAAGATTAAGTGAGAGATCATGAGATTTAGGATAAACCTGTTTTGTTTCACGGATATCCAGCGGTGATGTCAGCAAGTTGAAGTGGTGCCACAACCCCAGACCAGATCTAAACAGATCGACACGCTCTAATACACTTTCTTGCGTAAATGTTCACGCTTCAAGACATTTGGTTCATTTTGCTTCTTTATTGGGAACAGAAAGACATAAAGAACATTTATAATGCCAATACAAAAATATGAAAATCTGTTGTATACAAAAAAAAAAAAAAGACTCTCACCTCAACCCAAAAGTGTTTTTCACATTACACACACAATTATACACACATACTCACAAACACAGCCTGGAAGTACAAATCAAAGCTGCCAAAAAGTGGCTCATTCGTAGCAGGCTCTACATATCACAGAGCGGTGAACAGTAACATAGCTATGGCTCATATAAAGTGATTGTCGCTACACTGGCTATAACATTGTGTATAATGTATGCTATGTTTGTTATGTCTGTAGTGAGCTGTGTAGATTTACATTCTGTATCAGCACCAGGAAAGAGCAGATGTGCTGAAACATAATCCATCTGGTTACAATTCACGACGATGGCTGACAGCTTGTCATTTTCATCTCTTGTTTCTCTCCTCTTTGTGGTCTAAAAAAAAAAATACAGTTCAGTCAAAGAGTCTCTTTTATTGGTATCAAAGTATGTCTTTGTTACTTCTTGAACTTACTTAATTCTTTGGTCGCATTCTTTCCCCCACAGTCACCATCAGATCCTGGACCCATTTTTTCTCCGGATTGGCACAAACAGTCAACTCTCTGGGTGTTCTACCCCTGGTCCTCAACAGAAACCTGCACACATCAATATTATCATACAATAAAATAAGCCTTCTGACTGAGTAGTCGATTATTTCTTCATGATTTGTTTATTTCATCAGAAAGTTTCCACAGGGTAGGAAAACTAAAGTGCAGCTGGGGGCCAAAAGTGACAGATATGAGGTTTGTTACTCACACAACGGCTCGCAGATTGCAGTCCCCGTCTGTTTCCTGCATCCTGAAACTTTCAATGTTCTTCTTTGCTCGTTGTTTCAGTGTGGACACATAGCCAAGGCAGCAGTTGCCAAATGAGCCTGAGGAGAGAAATGTTTATGGAGGGTCAGGGACAAATACCTGAAAATATCACAAATTCACCAGAGGCCAAAGATGAAGAAACCACTGGAATTCCAACTGGACTCCATAAAGAAATCAGTGCAGCTCAGTCTAAGAGGCTGGAACATGTATAAGTTATTTTTTTTATATTTATGTTGGTGTTTATTGGCTTGCCTACAAAACTTATGCATGAAAAGTGTTAAATTGAGCAGTTTAAATATTGTCAGATATTTCTAACTATCAGTCTGCTTACTCAATACTAACATAGCAAACATAATCATGGTTATCATAAGTCATTCTCATTTGCTCTAAGGTACTTAATAATGATATTTGCATTAAAAGTTAAGAAAAAACAACAGAAATTTTTGGGATTAGAAAAAATATTGAAAAGTCATGGATCTAAAAAAAGCCATAATCTCCTAAAAGTTGAGAAAAACATTTATTTAAATGTCTAGAAACCATCTTCTCACTCTTCCTCTGTCACTAATTACCTACGTTTTTCTAATTAGCTTGGCGTGGATCAATAAATAATCAAACTTTAACTTTTACAGCTTTGCCCACATGCTGGGAGCTGCACTCTGCTTCACGGGTGGAAAGTGTTCAGCACTTCGGTCAGCATTAAAATCAGCTTAATTAAACTTGTCACAATGTCACAAACATCTAAGTGGACTGCAATAACATTCCTAGACAGATTACTCTTTGTTGTGTTAAATCGTTTGGACCGGAAACGGCCACCTCATTAGAAGAACAGATTTAGTCCCAGTCCAAATGGAATGTGGATTGTGAAATACTGCGACCTTAGCTCTTCCAAATCTGAGCAGAGTGAGACTCCACATACTTTCCTCTGAGGTTCCATTGAAAACTCTGTCTCCCTCTCTTTGGATTTCATGTTGAAATGTCAATCCTAAAACAGTCACTTCTGCAACACTGTACCACTCAAAAGATATATCTTTTGAAAATCTAAATCTGATTTACGACAAAAAAGTTTGATTCTGTATCGCCTATTATCTGTTTCACTTACCTTGTGCAAGACTCATGTACATGCAGGTGAGGAGCAGTAGAAAGAAAAGAGCTTGAAACTTCATGGCTGCTGTTGCTCTTGCTGCGTCACTGCAGAGAAATGAACAAATTCAATTGAAGAGTGGAGCAAAAAAGTGGAAGTGGAAACAGTCTCCCTCTGTCTTTTAAATAGTGAATGTCAAAGTGATGCTTTCCATCACAAACTCCTCCATGTGCACTGTTGAGAAAGATGACCTCTCAGTGAACGTGCCTGAATCCTTGTCTGGTTTTCAGCTGTGTGCAGCTGTTTTATGTCAAACACTCAAGTGTTGCTGTAAAGAAATCAACTGACTGTAAGTTAAGCAATGACTGCTCCCTCCCCGCATTTGCCTCCTACAGCCTGTTAAACTCATGTCTTGGAAAGTCCCCCCTAAAAAAGTTTGCAAAATCTGAAAAAGTAATAGCAAGATTGCTTGAAGAGCCTGTACAGAAACATACCTGTGTTCTCCCAATTATTCACAAGATGTCCTTGGAGGAAACTCTTTCTGTCCACTGCAGCTTGTGGTGGCTCGGAGCTCTTATGCCCGAAAACAGCCCTCCCTCTGCACATGCCCCATCCTTTACCACACCTCCTTCATCTGTGGGCGCTCAGAGGTTTGCAACTGCTCAGTAGGAGTGCAATTTGATCACCTCGTACACATGCACTCACATGTGGGGGAGACAAAGCCATGAAAAAAACTGCTGATCACTGGTAGAAAAGTAAAGCACTTATAGACAGGCTTCTGACCTGTTAGGATCTTGTTTCATATGCATAGAAATACTGTTGTGATCTCCACAACAAGTGCCAAACTAAGTCAGGATTGTAAATGCTTTCTTGGTAGATCTGAAACTTCCATTGAATTCCAAATCCTATAAAATCCAATAAAAACCTTCCAGAGGGTCTTTTATTATTTGCCGGCTCTCCAGATGTGTGAAAAGCGGGTTTATTATATGTCTGTTTAGTGTTTTATTTTGTCTAATGAACTGGATCTGTGCTCTATGGTTATAAACATCTGCATCCATTTTGTCAAACCTCCTCCGCTCCAATGCTGAAATCACAAGATGAGCTTCGTGGCCTGTTTGGTCCATCTCGGGGATAATGCTGGGAAAGTTTGTTGCGAAAGTCTACCCACTTTCTGTACACCTGCAGCTAGTTAAAGATCAATGTTTGATACAGAGAGATCATGCAAAATGACATAACTTGTGGATAAGTTGACTGAGGGACATATGAGGACATAAACAGAGGGTACACGCTGCTGTCAGTCTGACATTGTTGATGCATGACGACTGTCTTTTCAAGCTTCCCTTGTGCAAACATGACTGTTTATTTTTGTCATTGTGGTTGAGTTGTTGGCACAGGGGAGTTGTGGGGAGTCTGTGCTCCTTAACTTTAAATACCTTTGATCCCTAAAGGGAATTTAATGTCCGTGATGGTTTGGAAAAAAAATGATTGTAAGCCTGGGATATTTTGAAAGAAGCAACCCGGACAATATTGTCTCACAGAAAGTGTCTTTTTAAATGTTTACAGAGCACAAACCTCTTTGGTTTTTATTTATTTACTTGAAAATTTCAACAGTCTTTTCTACACAGTCACAATTACAGCTTTTATTGGGAACACTTGATATAAATGTATTCCTCTTTTCCAATCAATTTCTAGCATAGAATATCGGATTCAGTCCACAAAACATAAATACTTGTTTAAATGGTGTCATGTTGCTTCCTGTAAGTTTTCACTTCCCAAATTATGTGTGAAAATACCAAGGAAGTGACCCAAGTGTATCACACATGATTTATAGTTTAAAACAATCGCTGTCTCTGGTGTGCTGAGTGTTTAAAAATTTTCTGAAGAAAGCGGAGGGGTCTCACTGTCATCTCCCCCTCCTCCTCCTCAGCAGGCCCTCCCCCGTTGAGGGTTTGATTGTTTCCAGATGTTCGTCTTAACATGACCTGATGATGTTAGTCTGAATCATCATCAGTGCAGTACAGCAACATTTTTGAGATGTATGTATTGACCGATATCTACATGTATTCCAGGCCAGTTTGTAAAATACTGAAAAACATGAGGTGAAATAGGTTGTCAGCTAAGATGGACGGTGGGAGATAAAAAGAGTGAAGTTTCATATAAATCTTATCCCAAATCCATCCATCTATATGGTGTCATAACAGGCTCCACTCTGGTGAAGATTTCCAAAAATCTTTGGGACCTCACTGCTGAGATATAGTTCAATCCCCCTGGTCTGATCCAACGAATGTTGGCCTGGGGGGCTGGAGGGGCTCACACATTCACTGGTTCTCTTTATCCCACAGGGATTGTAAGGATTTGTGCAATAGCTATTTTTCATGCTGAAACAGGAAAGGACTTTCTCAAAACCAGGATTAAGCTCTCACATATGTGTGACACACACTTCTGTGAATTAGTTGGAAGATTTTCTTCACAATCTACATGTGGCACATAAATAACTCATGGCACTCGCATTCAAATATTGACATACAAAAACTAAAATATGGTCCCAGAATGTTTTTGCTGAATGTCTGAGTTGAATTTATTACACAAAAGCCAATAAGGAAAACTTACTGCCTTCTTTTTTCACTGGCAGGCTCACGGCTCCCACTTTACCCTAAAGCTCCTATGAGGAATTTTTGCTTTGTGCCAGTTTGGTGTACCCTGTGGACATGACAGTACCTGCTGACGTTACACTGTACAGACAGATTTTTTAACTTTTTAAAGAAATGTCACCCTGTTTTCTTGTAAAAGTCAAATTAAAAACTGTTGGCCCAACAAAACAAAAACCATTTAAGCCCACATCTCAGAGGTCACAGTGGGTCATAAAAAGACATCTTTATTAATTCCAGTCTGTTTTATGACCAGCTAAAAACTCCTCACAGGAGCTTTAAATCAAATCAAAATTGTGTTTCCAACATCTTGAAAGATTCATGTACGTGTGGGATTTTGTTGTAAGCCATCTACCTTTAACCATCACTTCTTTCAGTTCTAACCACAAGAGATGGAAGAAAAGTTTATTTAGATATACAGGCAGAACTGTCCAAACTATTCAGCAAGTGTATTAAAATGTACCATAGTAAAAGTAATGGCAGCAAAGTTGAAGGCTCATAACACTTGCAGATACATAAACTTCTAATGCAATAAAAGCAAAGTTTCTTATACACGGTGTTTGTTTAGACCCCATTTAGTACATTATTTTTAGGGAGAACAGGCTAAAGTCTTCAATCACAATTCGGTGCATAAATACATAGTGTAAAATATCCGAGATAACAAGAACTTATTTCCTGAAATGAATTAGAGTAAAAGTACAAAGTGGAAATAAATAATTACACTCAGTTTAGATGAAGGCGCCTCAAAAAGTACAGCCAGAGTAAATGTATGAAGCCACATTGTTACAGGTTTTCTCTATTAACTCTGTTAACATTTGCACTGCAGTCAGTGCATTTCTCAGAACAACTCGTACAAACTGCAAAACTCAGTGGATTACCTGCAAAAGTATGTCACTTGCTCAAAATGAATAGTTGAAACCCCAAAAGCAAGTATTCATGTCAATGAAACTGTCATTTTTCATATTTCAGATCACTACATCAAGGCAATCATAGTTTTGTCTCTAACTAGTGTATCTGCATATATTTCAAGATGTTGTGCATCCCTTCAAACCAACAGAATGAGTGTAAACATAACTGTCTTGATAATATAGCATGCCAAAAAAAGTGGTCTCCTATGGTCAACTTACCCCGTGTGTGGGGTAAGTTGAGCCGCATCCCTACTACCCCCCCCACTCTCCACCCCAGCCCTCCCTCACCTTCTCTCTCCCTAAATAACAGTCACTTCTTCACATTCATGTGTATTTTTATCTATTATACACTATTCGACTGGTACAATAATTCTTTTTATTATTATTGCCTATAACTGATAAAAAGCTGTTTTGTACAAAATGTCATTTTAACATGAGAATGTCTTTAAGTGATTCAGAACATTCACAGCTGTATTTTTTAAAAGAAAAAGTAACACATTTCAACAATCTGAACTGAAACTCTGATCCTCTCATCAGACTCCTTTACTTTCTCAGTTGAACCACCGACTCAACTTACCCCTGAACTATTATTCTGACTTTATTAGTCCTCTAAGATAAAATGTTGGACTTTTATGTTAGGTTTTTGACCTCATGTTGTAGTTCATAGATACCACAATTGATGTTTAAAACAAATTTAAAATGATCTTTTTTGGTCTGAACACAATTCTAATAAAACTTATGACAGACTAAATTCACTTTCAAGAGTGAAAAATGTTTTATGTAAATAAATGTCTAACCCCTTCACCCATGTGCTTCTAACCTTCACAGCCTCCATGAATTGATGCTCATCTCCTAAATATTTGGTCACATGATTAGTTTCTTTTACCATTTCTAAGAAACAGGGGGTGACTCAACTTAACCCACTCTCCCCTACATATCTAAGAGAATTTGCAATTTGTTCAGAAGAATGAGAAACTGCTACGATGATGTGCACAAATGACTCAATGTCGTGGAGGTTGAACTAATAGTTACGAGAACTCTCATTCTGATCTGAGAAATGCACCAAAGCGTCTGAGAAAAACTGTACTTGACATCTCTCCTGGCTTCAGGAAGCAATATACAGGGCTTTGAAAAAGTATTCATACCCCTTGAACCTTTTCACAATTTATGACTCTACAACCACAAAGTATTTCATTGAGAATTTTTGTCGTAGACCAACACAAAGTAGCACATAATTGTGAAGTGGAATGAAAATGATAGATGGTTTTCAAAATTCAAAGAAATAAAAATCTGAAAAGTGTGGTGTGCATTTGCATTCAGCCCCCCTGTAGTCTGATACCCCTAAATAATAGAGTTCACCTGTGTGTACACTACAGGCCAAAAGTTTGGAAGCATTATTTATTTAACAACAGCTTGGCATATACCAGGCATTCGTTCCACAAGTTTCTTAAGGTATGTTCCAGGGATTGCATTCCAAGCTTTCTTAAGTTCATTAAAAAGAGACTGCTGATTCATGGGACGTGTTTTTCTGACCGATCGATCCAATTCATCCCGCACAAGCTCAATTGAGAAAGGTCTTGAGACTGAGGGGGCCAAACCATCTTTTGAAGAACACCTTCCTCTTCTTTTTTGTCTAGGTAACCCTGACAGAGCTTGGCAGAGTGCTTAGGATCATTGTCTTGCTGCAAAACAAACTTATGAGCCACAAGTCTGAGTCCAGATGGAACAGCATGGTGCTGGAGGATGGAGTGGTACTGTTCCTTCTTCATGATACCCTTTACTTCAAACAAATCTCCTACTCCATCACCTGCAAAACATCCCAATACCATGGAACTACCACCTCCATGCTGAATTGTGGGTGTCACACATGGTGCTTTCAGATGTTCACCAGTTTGTCTGCGGACATAGACTCTGTGTTTTGAACCAAACAGTGCAAACTTGTTTCTAGTCATCATAAGATATCATGAGTGTAGTGGACTCCTTTGTTTAACACCTTTAGGCGTTTTGCAATTTCTCTTTCTGTGTATCCTTCTTTCCTCAGTGAACAAATATGTACTTTTGTTTCTTTACTCAGTTGCTTCTTTTTAGCCATTTTTGCGGTAGTTTGAACGCAGTTGAGATTTATTAGGATTTTTGTATGCAGACTCTCAAAAGCCAAAAAGTTGAAGTGAATAATCCAACTGTGATTTGTTATTTTTGCTTTTGCACTGAAGTTGTGACTCTTGCAAATGTTTTCAACCCTAAAACTAAGCCCTTATTATCTTTTGCTGACATATATTTAGCAATGGTCTGTTAACATCAATGTATATCTAAAGGTAAATGGAGTAAAATGGTGCATTTCCATGAAAGCAACATCTGATCATGGAGTAAATACATCCCAAAATACATAAAACTCATGCTGGATTTTTAAAAAAGCATTGTGAACAAAAACTTGAGGTTACTCCCAACTGTTCAGTCCGTAATGGCCTTGCTTCCAAACTTTTGGCCTGTAGTGTAATTTAGTATCAGCATAAATACAACTGTTCTGTGAAAGCCTCAGTGCTTTGTTAGAGAACACTAGTAAACAAAGAGCACCATGAAGACCAAGGAACTTAGCAGACAGGTCAGTGAAAAAGTTACAGAGAAGTTTGAAGCAGGGTTAGGTTATGAAAAAGAAACACTGTAAATACTGCACCGCCATCTAGCGGTCAGAAGTGGGAGTGCGCTCAGTGCAATAGTCCATTCCACTGAATCAGAGCTGTGTGGCAAAGAAGGAGCCGGTTTCGCCGTATCATCCTGACCAGGTTTTACGGCGCAGTCACTGACACCTCCATGAGGGCGTTACCGACCGGCTTGCCTCCATAACAGCCACTAGGCAACCACCAAACCAGCAGGTCAGTCAACACTGAGTGCAAGTCATCCTGACAACATCAGTTTCTCTCAGACTCGGGGGCTGTATAGTATCCGGCTAGCCAGCTGTTAGCCTGCTGCTGCTGTCGCCGTCAGTGACACAGAGCTTTACTGTCACATTTGATCGCAACAGACGCTGATTAGCAACTTGTTAGCTCGCTAGCAGAAAAACCCACATGGATCCTCAAAACACCAATACGAACACTGAGGCGAGGGTGTTGTTGAGCCACGCTAAGACCCTCAGACTGCACACCGGGAATCTAGTCAGCAGAAGCCGTCTGAAGAAGAAATGTCCGGGGTCACCCAGCGAGGAGGTAAGAAAACACCTGCCAAATAAGACACCAGTTTTCTGTCCACTGTAGTCATTTGTGTTGGTCTGGTTTTAACAGAGTATTATAAGCTACTTAGCTTAGCCACAAAGTTAACTGCAGGCTACCCGGCTAAATGTTTAACTTGCAAGCTAATGACTCCACGGTGTGTTCATTGATAATAAAGCAGGTGCTGCGTTATATAAAGTGTTCATTGAGAGGTGTGTGACTTTACAAGGAGTTTTAAATAGTAGTTTTGCTTCATAGTAAACTGACAAGACTTTCCTGGCATAGTTGAGTTGAGTTTAAGGTTTTAGGAAGGAGGCCAGTTTTAACAATCTTTATGATCTTGCTGTAGGCGAATAGTTAACTGACAGAGACATGTGAAGAATGACTGAGGTGAGAGTAAAACTACTGGGAGAGTTTTCTGCAGATTATGTAACAGACTAACATTATTGCTTACATGCATTTTTATGGGCGTCTCAATTTTATGAATTGAGATTAAAACCTGTAAGATTGACTGTTGTAGGAATAAAGTTTTCAATGTTTTAAACTGCAGCTGAAGGGGAGACAGATGCTGAAACAGCCTTTGTTTACAGACTTCTGAGACCAAGAGTTGCAGGGAGGGATATGTTGAACTAGTTAAAGAAAGTAGGATGTTATTATCATAAAACCTGACACATACTTGTATAGGACAAAATTAATGATTGATTGATTGAAGTTTATGTTGGACATACAAAAAATAAATAACAATAAAAAAGTAAAGAATACAACAACAAATGACAAAGAGTTATTCGAGTTCAAAAAGGAGTGGGAAGAAGTCGAGACTTATCTAGTCCCACCCCTTATTTACATTAATAGCTTACAAATATATCATTATATAATATTAATTATCATAGTTATAACAGCAATTAAAGTGGAAATAACCAATAACAACAACAAAACAATGAAAATAATGATAATAGTTACTATGAATGTACATCCCTGTATCCCGTGAAAACATATTATTTATATTTTGTTTTAAACTGTTTTATGTTTGGACATTGTTTTAACTCCTCACCCATACCCTTCCATAGTCTCACCCCACAGGATAGAAGGGGATGAAAGGTTTATGTGAGGGATGAAAGGTACCACAAATGGTCAGATGACTGTTGTCCTCTGTCGGCAGGTGCAGTAAAGCAGCATACTTGTAAAATCGTTCATGTAGTGTCGAAATCAGGAATCACTTTTCAGAAGGACTGACACAGAAATGACAACGTCAGCTGGCTTGTTAGCGCAACAATCTTAAGTCCAGAGATATTAGTTTTTAAATAATAATACACTGTTGGGAAATATCTCAACTGTTAGTACTTGGCTGGAAAATTGATCGAACATGTAATCTGTCTTCACAGTGAAGCAGGATTTGCTTTTGTTATTTGAGTAAACCACTTATTGTGCCTTTGGATGTTAATTGGTTTACAACTTAATAAGATTTGGTCAGATTTTTTTTTGTTGTTTTGTGGGGGTTGAGGGAATAACCTGTTTTGAGGTCAGCAGTGACCAGAGTCCTTCTTCACCTTACTTCAGTATCAAGTATCAATGTATCAATGGGAATTCGTATACATGTAACTCTCTGATGATAGACAATATGTTACTGATTTAAAATGTGCATTATGAAAACTCTCTGATGTTAGATCCTGCTTCTCCCCATGCAGGTATTTCACCTGTCTTATACCAAAGGGAGTATAGCCATATAAGCCATATAGTTTTCACTGGTTGTTATTGAATTAAAATAAGCACACATGCGTTGTATTGTTCGAAGTCAATCCCTGAATTGTTGTAGATGAAATGAAGGACTGACTCTTTAACCTTTCCACCACCAACTCTGTGGTCATATGGCCGTCTTGTGCTGTCCGATGGGAAAGAAACACGAGGTTACTGTCTATCTTATGTACCTTTCACCCCCACATGACGTGAATGCTGCAGCTGAGCTGGTTCTCTGTAGCCTCACTTTGTCTGAGTCTCAATAAAGTTTAATGAAGCCACCTTTGCTAAAATTCCTCTCCTGCATAATGCCTTTAGGATAAAGTTGATGTGACATTTTCTGCAGCCCTCAACACCCAAACCGATAATTCTAGTTCCTTGCTCCAGTGCAGCAGGTCTCCACTGCCTCTGCTATCCTTTTTGTAAATATTTATGTTTAACAATGAGGCATTTCTCAGCACTTGGACTCCACTTTTCTCCTCTCATTTTCCCACACTTGGAGCTAGTGAGTGACACTGAAAAGTTTATAGAACTGATCCCATCATTTTTAAAAGGGTCACAGTGTGTTTTTAGGTGCTAGGAATAAAAAGCTGAGGGTCCTGAATTTGTGAAAATAAACTTTTTGTTGTTTTGTTCTGTTTCAGCTTCAAGACTGCATTCAAGCAACACTCAGCGACTGGTTTTCCACTTCAAAACTGACATTCAAGGTAGGTCAGGACAGTTTTTGTTCTCACTCTGAGATTCTCATCGTTCACTTTGTTTGAGCTCTCCTGCATGTTCTTCAATGAAGCAGAAATAAAGAAGAATAATGTTTAAAGTTCACTGTCAGGTATAGTCAGACCTGTAGCGGTCATGTGTTTCCACCACCGTGCAGTCAAGACTCCAGTGCCTGGGAAAAGAAGATATCTGTTGTGATGGACATCAAAGGATGCCCTCAGGCTCAATGAAAAGTAGCTGTCATGATGAATGTTCATGCAGGGCTGGCTGCCAAAGGCGCCGTTGGAAATGTGCATCTGTCCACTGGGATTGGAAGTGGGAGGCTGGGAGGGGGCACCCGAACTGTGCTTTAGGCTCTCTGTTAGCTGTGATCAGGGTTTCTGGGCCGTTTTCAATGAGTGTGTAGTTCTCATGAAGCTGTCATGTTCTGAACTGAATGAAATCAAGTTTAAAAAGTGCAGCATTTAAAGTTGTTAAGCATACTTTATGCTTAAGCAGCCCTGCTCCAGTAGTTTTGCTAGGCTCAGCTATTGTGCTTCAGCTGTCATCACCACAGCCTTTGGGCTCAAATTGTGGTGGGGGAGGTTTGGGAGCATTTAACAGTAGTCTAAAATACTTAAATACAACCCCTATCTTTGATATCCACAACAAGCCAATGTCATAAATGTGACGTATTTAGATTTGCATAAATTCAGAACAACAAAAATATTTTGTGCAGGCACGCACACATACACACACGCACTTTGGTACATGAATGTGATAACAGTTTTCCATTCAAGTCTTAAGTCTGAGTAAGTGAAGGGTTTCTTTGTTTCCTAAACGTCATAACAGAAATCTTAACCTTTCTCCTGTGGGACAGAATCCCAGCTGCTGTCCCTGCCTCATCCTGTGAGCCACGGTTCGAGCATGGGCATTAAAATATTATCCTTTAAAGTCTGCTACATGAGCTCTACTTTCTTCATCAAGAGTACACAACAGGGTGTGTCTGAATAGACAGGAGGAGAGATACAAGCAATCCTTTGGCCAAGTCTTTGCTCTTATTGCATCTACGCAGTCAGATCAGATGTTACAGGGAATCTGATTTGGTTTTTGGTCTGGCAGTGCTTCAGATTCCACAGGGACATTAAAACCAAGTTCCAGACGATCACACAGGCAAATGGAAATGTTCTGCTTACATACAAATGGTAGCTGATTAGCATCCACTATTTTTAACAATAACAACACAAGTGTTTCTTCTTTACTTGTCATTTTTTTAAACTTTAATTTGACAAGGAAACACCTCTTGTGCTAATGGCAGCCATTAAAAGTAAGCCGTAAACAAGTTTCATTGACGTGAGCGAAGAGGTTTATGAGTGAAACGTAAAAAACGTAAATGTTTGTTTGGATGGAGGTTCATGAATCACTCTTCTTAGACCTCAAGTATAAACAGAGTTTTTGGGAACAGTGCATGTAAACAAAAGTTCAGTTAGTTTCCAAGACAACTCCAATGAGGGTCATTATTTATGTTATGCCAGTTGCTCTTTTCTCCTTTAATTTCTCACACTGTTAACTACTTTATGACATTTTACGCCTGATGCAGCTGATTTCATTATTTTGGACCAGTCAAAGTGTGGTGAACTCAGAGATGATGTGCCTTTCTTGTTACACAGGACCTCCCAGATACGCTGGACTGCTCCATTCCTCAACCAACAGATGCGATCACACCTGAAGAGAGGGAGGAGCTGAAGGTCTCAGGTCTGTACTGGTTCTTGATTCACAAGACATACATGATTGCTGTAGGGAAACATTTTAGTTTCAGTTCCCAGCAGCAGTTCTGCTTTTGGGGATTTTGAGCAATCGGTTAACCTCTTAATTTGAAACAGATGAACAGTAAATCTGAGGGGTGCAGCACATGACTGAACTATGGATGAACCCATTTTGGATTTTGTTCAACATTTTTTTACTTTTTTTGCAATAAACAGTGGTGGATGAAGTACACAAATTCATTACTTGGGTCAAACGATAGACAGTCATGGTCAAGTATTGCTCCAGTGAAAGAGAAAGTTGCCCAGTTCAAGTATTTCTGCGTTCAAAAATAATTAACAATTCAAATTAAAAGTTTAAATAAAGTGGAGTACAAGTACTAAGTCTCCCTTAAAAGAAATACTTAAGTAAAGTACAGAAACTCAAAAACTGTACATAAGTACTGTAATGAAATAATCTGCTTTCGTTACTGTCCAGCTCCGTGGTTGAAAATGTCGAGTGACAAACAAAATATGTCAGGGATCAAAGCAACCCTAAATGATTTATGGCTCTGTCACAAATAAATCATGACTGCAAAGTGTGGTGAGTAATATTACCAATGAATTTGACAAAACACTTTCAGGTAGTGGGTAAAGATTTGTTTCTGGTTGTCTTGCTTTTACAGTCAAACTGTTCCTCTGTGAGTCGCTTCAGTCTTCTATCAAAGATGCCGTGGAGATGGGTGAGCTTAAAATCTCAGGAGCAAAATTTTCATGTGTCTTAAAACCTTTACATTTGATATGAACTTTTTCTTCCTTTGTCAATATCACTTCCTTGTTTATCTCTCATAACTAGCTTGTCAGACTCTGGCTGTGTCCCAGCTTGACTCCGTTATCATAGCCCCGCCTGGGCCTGTGGAGGGCGACAGTCAGACTTTGTCCCACCTTCAGCCAGCCTGGGAGGAACTGGAAGCTCTAGTCAAGAGCCAGAAAATTGCCGCTATAGGCACATCTGACCTGGACAAAGACCTACTGGAACAGCTCTACAACTGGGCTAAGGTGAGTGAATATTCTTGATATGTCCCTCAGTTTGTCTTAAAGTTGAAAAGTTGAAAAAAGTTGAAAAGTTTTTAGTGACTTCTCTGTGTAGCCAGAACCTGCCAGAGACGCAACAATTTGTCAACATTGTCAACAAAAAGAGTCATGAAAAATTTGACTGCAGTGCTTGTATTTGTACAAATTTGTATAGATCCTTAAATTGTGTGTGTATATCGTGGGACATTTCAAGCTATTGAACCACTGATAGTAATGGCAGCTTGTGATGAAGATGAAGCCACTCACACAGCTCTCCTCTTGTTTTAGGTGAAGCCGAGCAGCAATCAGGTGAACCTGGCCTCCTGCTGTGTGATGCCCCCTGACCTGACAGCCTTTGCGAAGGAGTTTGACATTCAGCTCCTCACACACAACGATCCAAAGGGTGAAAAAAAACATTCACTTTCTCTCCTCCGTATAAAGTACTTTCTCATGAAGTTTCTCTTTGTGATTGGTACATAAAGTGCAGATTTTCCTTATCAGGTGTTCACAATGACAAAAAATAAGTGATTGGCTTTGTGATGTGGTAACCTACTGCCCCTTGTTCACAAAACTACCGAAAGATGATTAAAAGAGGCACAGCAGCCCACTGCAGTGGATCGAACTGCTCAGTTGCCTCTGTAATTTTATTCCTCAAGAGATCTAAACACCTTTTTTTTTAATCTCCTCAACCACAGAGCTGATGTCAGGAGCCACATTCCAGGAGGCAGTGAAGGGAGGCCTTCAGGACCTACAGGATCAGGACGTCTCTGACTGGAGACTGGAGTGGGTCCTACGCTACTCTATTATAGTCAAGAGCAGGGGCATCATCAAGGCTAAAGGCTACCTCGTCAGTGCAAGAAAGGCAAGCCCCTAGCGGCCCCCATTGATGAAGAAACCAATGGATGAAGCCATTTTCCTCCTGTTTCATTTTCCCATACACGACATCAGATGAGGCTGCATCTCGTTCATCTTTGATTTCTGTGACTATAAAAAGCGAGCGCTCATTACCATCGTCACTGTGAATGAAGCAGGGCAGGAATGTGTAAGATCAGCTCCAGTGTCAGATTGAAGAGATAAGGTGGTGAAAGTTGAATTAAATGGATGACTAGCACACCGACAAAACAACACAGTAGAGGCTGCGTTCATTTTTAAAATAGTTGGTTGGGAAGGTTTGGTTTATCTTTAAAGGGTTCCTGAACATTTTCAGACTTGAAGTGCCTCCTCTTCTCTTTTCTTCTCCTCTCTTCTCATCACCATTTTGTCTCCACTGTGTCTGTTAAAATCAAGCTTTAATCACTCAGAATTCAGATTTTGGAAGGGTAACAGATTAGAAGAAATGAATTGTTGTTCCCGGTACAGAGTAATCAAGAATATTATAAAAGTCAGACGTGATCCGTGAAACTAGATTGACTTTGCTGTACCTAACACGGTTTGCATTCCTCTGTTTAGAAAATGTATGCACTCACTTGATTCATCCCGATTCTGCTACATATGAGATGTTTATTTTATGATACTGATAGAATTAGACTTTTAACTGGTAAACCAACAACTGTTTGAGGTTATCTGACTTTGTTGTGTCATGCATTTTTTTTTCCAACCATTTGCTGTTTTGGATGATGCATTGAAATATTCACCTGCTCCACACTCATGAGATTACCTGAGGGCGGGGAGAACAGCAGTACTGACATGCAGGCCAGGTTTACGCCCTCTATGCTTTGTTGTTGTTGTAGCACTGGAAACTCGATGCAAAAGAGGTGTGAACATTTGTTTACTCTGCAGAAGACATTTTTATTTAAGAGACATGGCTGTTTTTCCAGATGGGATTTGGTTAATTGGACTAAGACAAGTTATCTGTTGTACTGTAAACATATTTTGTCATCATGTATCTGTATATCTTGAATTGGCTTTCTTAAAATAATTAAATTAAACAGTTTGGTGTCATCTGTTTTTTTTTCTGCATGTGATTGAACTCAAGCATTTTTACATGTAGGTGCCGAAAGTACTGTATATTTCACACTAGTATTAATCATATCAGTGTAGGCAACAGCCCGAAGACGTTCTTTTACCTTGATTGCCTTGTTTTAATGAACAAAAATACCACCAGCAGAGAAAACACATTTATGTTTTGTAAAACCATCCAGTTTGGAGTAATTTTTAAGGATACAAGTGTTAGTGTCTTTCTAATATGATATGATGATAAAATTTAAACATGTTTTCGTTTGATCCTGTGGGATGTACATAAAAATGAATTCCGGTTATTAAAGAAATGCTTCAAAAAGAACAAATGTACTCATACCAAAGAAATGCTTACACTCATCCCGGACTATAATCTGATAGGGAAGAGTGGGGTAAAATGAGCCTTTTTTCATATTTCCGATCATCGAGGCAATCATAGTTTTGTCTCTGACTAGTGTATCTGCATATATTTCAAGATGTTGTGCATCCCTGCAAACCAACAGAATGAATGTAAACATAACTGTCTTGATAATATAGCATGACAAAAAAGTGGTCTCCTGTGGTCAATTTACCCCATGTGTGGGGTAAGTTGAGTCGTATCCCTATTACCCCCCAACTTTCCATCCCAGCCCTCCCTCACCATCTCTTTGCCTAAATAACAGTCACTTCTTCACATTCATGTGTATTTTTATCCATTGTACGCTACTCAACTGGTACAATAATTCTTATTATCATTATTGCATATAACTGCTAAAAAGCTGTTTTGCAAAAAGCCATTTTAACATGAGAATGTCTTTCAGTGATTCAGAACATTCACAGCTGTATTTTTGAAAAGGAAAAGTGACACATTTCAACAATTTGAACTGAAACTCTGGTCCTCTCATCAGACTCCTTTACTTTCTCAGTTGAGCCTCAACTTACCCCAGAACTACAATTATGACTTTATTAATCCTCTAATGGTGGACTTTTATGTTAGTTTTTTGACCTCATGTTGTAGCTCATAGATACCACAATTGATGTATAAAACAAATTTAAAATGATCTTTTTTGGTCTGAACACAATTCTAATAAAACTTATGACAGACTAAATTCACTTTCAAGAGTGAAAAATGTTTTTTTTTGGAAATAAATGTCTAACTCCTTCACCCATGTGCTTCTAACCTTCACAGACTCCATGAATTGATGCCCATCTCCTAAATATTTGGTCACATGATTAGTTTCTTTTACCATTTCCAAGCAACAGGGGGTGGCTCAACTTCCCCTTTGACTCAACTTATCCCACTCTCCCCTATAACTCCTTGTATGACTCTTACACTGATTGTAAATTTCTATCTTCTCATAATATCTTATTCGCCACTGTCCTTTCCTCCTCCCCTAGTATTCTATTTTATTTTTAATAGAAAATTCTTCTGTATTTTTTCATTTTCATGTAAAGACAAAAAAATCTTCGGTTTCTGCTCGAAGTTGGCCTGCATCTGCAGCTCTGCGATCTTCTGCTCAGCCTAGATCGTCTTATCGTTTATTGATTAGCTAAGTCTGGCCTTTACGCCGGAAATACAAAGCAGAGCCAGTAGTCAAGATGGTGGCCACCAGGAGAGGAGTACGTGCGTGCTCCCCTAGTAAAACAAACCCTGATATACCCGCAGATGTCCAGGTACGTATAAAAAAGAGGTTTTACACAAATTAGTAGATATTAAGGGGTTATGTGGAAGTTAAATCTGTAGTGATTTAAGCTCACAACGTCAGTGTCTGAGGTTCAAGAAGCTGCTCAAACTTCACGTGGGCACCATGGGTCCTCTGTCAGTTTGTAAACGATGAGATGATGCCAAAGAAGTGGAGAATAGACATCAATATAAATCGAGTCTGCCAAAAATGCTGTTAAAAAGTTACATGAGTCTCATTGTGAATATGAATGTTATCAGTTTAAAAGATGTTGCTGCATCTGAGACCCACGGACAAGTGGATAAAGTCGAGATAATGTGACAATGCACTGAGATATGGTCGATTTAAATGTCTTCTCAAGATTTACTTACTATTAATCCTAGAACACTATCGCTAAAATTAGAAACACCATAAGTAACACCCATCGCCGGGTGATTTTTACTCGAAATAATTTACCCATGAAAAAGTACTTGTGATCAAAATATATTTAAAAAGGACAATACATGACAAATTAAAGTAGTTGTCTTTTCTTTTTTTTTTTCCTTTTTTATAAAGTGCCATGAGCGGACCATATAAAAATGCAACAAAATGACTGAAATTAGGCATTCATGAACAAAAAATTCCTTAAAAAAATATGGCATACTTTGAGTGAGTAAAATTGACCAGTTGACTAAAATATTTCTTATCACCATATGAATTCCCTTTAAAACCATTACTTTGTGATAGTTATTCATAACCCTGGCACTAAATAAAGATAATATGCAAATTCCAGGACCACTCTAACTGACCTTATTCTCTACACATGCAGCTATCAAATCCACCCAAACTTACTTTACCCTCTATCACTATTTCCGGGTGAAAATCACCTGTAGGAAAAAGCAGGTTTTGGATCAGGGAAAAAAATATTCCTTCAAAGATGTCAAAGGAAATGCTGAAGCAACCCAGAGACCCATGATACTCAGACAAACGCAACATAATGAAAATCACGTAAACATGTTTGGCCGGGTGAAAATCGCCCAGGGATAGTGTTCGGTGATCTTAGAATATAGAATATTAGTGTAGAGCCACTTTTACTAGTAACTTTTTCTTCTCTCTGCCTCACAGGCCACTCCCTCCACTGGTCGAAGAACAAGGAGGACTGCTAAACAGTCCGAGAGTCCTACCCACAGTGCCCTAATGGAAACCAGCAGTCAGCTTGAAAAATGTGAGGGAGAACCCCACGTATCTCCACCCACATCTTTGTTAAAGAGATGCACCAGAGCGTCCAGACTCCACAGTCCAGAGCAGCCGTGCACGCCTGTGGACTCCATCCATGAAGCAGATCAGTCAGATGTGGACTCCTGCTGTTCCGTGGAGTCTGAGGTGAAAAAGACAAAGACACGTGCACGGAGGAGAAGCAGAGCACCATGTACAGTGAGTCAAGAAGATGAGGTTTCTGAAGTGGAGTCATGCTCCTCTGCAGTATCTGCACCGAAAGCTGGACAAAGTGTCAGAAGGAGTACAAGGAAGAAGACAAATCTTACTCAGACTGACCAAGATCAGGTAAAGGGAAGTGATGTCAAGGTTGACTCGGTACCAGAGTCCGAGTCCTGCAGTTCTGCGGTGTCTGAATTCCAGAGAGTCACAAGAAGTCAGAGAAAAGCTTCCTCCAGATCCTCTGCCAAACAACAAACAGAGGACTCAGAGCTTTCAGATGTTGAGAGCTGCACATCCAGCATCTCTGAAGTCTCAAAGTCCGACACCCGAAGATCTACACGATCCAGAAGACGAACAGGTCCCATCCCCGTTTACTTGGATGAAGCCTCAGAAAGCTCTCTCTCCCCTGCTCCCACAACTCGAAGAACTCGAGCAGCCAAAGGAAAGGCTGCAGCAGCTGTAGATGTCAGCGAGCCTCAGTCTTGTGACTCTGAAGGGTTTGAATCTGGGCCTACGTATAGTAATGTAACTCGTAAGAAGTCCAAGCCTGGCCTGAGAATGGGTGACTCTGACTCTGAGCCGACTGAGGTGCACTCCCCTGTGAGCAGCCCCTGCTCCACACGTGGAAGAGGGACCCCCTGCAGCAGCCGCACCGGATCAGGGAGCAGCACTCGGGGTTCTCTGTTGTCCAAGTACCCAGTCAAAGATCTCACTATAGTTTTGGAAAAAGCTCCTGAGCCTGCTGAGGAGGAAACTCCACTTCAGGATTCTATATTAGACAGTACAGTGATTGCTGAGGATGCAGACTGCACAGTCATAGAGGAGGATACAGAAGATAAGAATGAGGAGGGAGTGTCTGATCTGATATCTGTGGAGGAAGATGTAGTCGAAGTAGAGAAAGAAGCTAATGCTGATGCTGAAGAAGACCCTGTACAGGCAGAGGAAGCTGGCAGCAAATCTGCAGTGACTGTTGATCTCCAGCAGGAGGAGCCATGTGCAGAAAGTAAGCCTGGGGACACCTCAGAGATGGAAACGATGCAGGAAACAGAACCACCATCATCAGAGCTACTGGAGCCTTCAGTGACAGTGACATTATGTGAGAGGACTCCTGAAATCACAGAGGAGACAGAGGACAAAGACGAAGCAATGGAAACGGCTGATGTGGACGCCCACTTGTTACAGACAGATGAGGTTGTAGATGAGACTGTTGTTGTGGAAACTGGGCCCAGTGAGGAGGGGGAGAGGGTGGAGGAAATGGAAGTCAGCACTCTGAACGGGGATAATCAGCAGGTGGTTGACTCCAGTGAAGTTGAGTCCACTCAGGCAACATCCAGCGGGCAGCACGCCATCACGCCGGATTCTGTTTCTGTACAACCCAAAGATGTAACTGTCCAGAAAACTAAAGTAATCAGCCTGTTAGAGAGCAGCGAGGAGGAGTCCGAATCTGATGAAGAGGAGGCGGGGTACGTTTCTGAGGAAGAGGAGGAGGAGGATTTGGGGTCCAGGACCAAGGAGAGAGCAGGTAAATCAGTTGAAGGGCTGTTTATGATCGACACACGGCCCGGAGAGGAGGCTGATGAGCACTACTACAAAGAGAGGCAGACTGAGGACGAGGAGAGGGTCGCAACGGGAGAGGGGGACGAGCAAGGGGAGGAGGAGGAGGATGAGGAGGAGTTTGTGGATGAGGCAGGGGATGAAGATGACGATGAAGATGCAATGATCCTCTTCTCAAGCAGAAACCCAAACTTGTAAGTATATAATGGGTGGCAGGCTCAGACTGGTTAATTCACTGGGGAATACACCTTTCCATTATCAACACAAAGAAAGTTCCTGAAGTGCTCACAATATGAAGTTAAAGGCTGAATGTTGAAAAGGATGTCAGTCTTGAAAAGTGTTCAGACAGAACTTAATATACCACCACATCATTTGAGTGATAATATGGTTTAATTTATCTCCAGTAGTGTTTAGAGTAAAACTCCATTGAATGAAAAATCTGGGTGTTTACAGACAATTATTGTTTGTCGGATCCGCCTGTCTTTTCTCAGGTTTGTTTACAATAAAGAACTGAGCACGTATGAAGAACTTGTTATGATTATGTATATTATTGTCATCACTGTGTGCAGAGGTGAGAGATGAGACATTTTTTTGCTCTTCTTGAGGAATTTTCTCCCGCTCTCACTTGTTCCAGGAAAGAGATGTCCAGCCGTATTGACCCCGGCATTAGAATGAAGGAGCTCGGGGGTTTATACATCAATTTTGATGGCAGCAAATCAAAACCTGTCCCCGGTTCACTGCAAAAACTAAAGGAAAAGAAGACCCAAGATGAGGTAAATAAGTGATAGATTTTTCCCTTTTGAAAGTGATCTGTGAAGCAGAATGAATCCCATTTGATAGTTACGCAAGGACAAATTAATCCAGCAACACCTGAGACGCTGATACTCATGTTATTTTAGGCCTTATGTGGGACGATGATCGAGTTCGGTCCTTTGCAGTGATGCAGTTTTTATTTTGTTGTCATCCACAGGTGATGAAGAAGAGTGTGATGGGACCAGAGTTTGAAAAGAAAGACGCGGTGCCTCCGTACAGTGAATCTAAACAAGCCGTAAAGTTGAAACGCAGGGTAAGTTTGACACAGTCACTCTTTGCATCATTGAGTTACAGTCTACAAAAGCCTAATCTCAAGTGAAATAAGCTTCAGAGTTAATTCAGACACACATGAACCAAACCCCAAAAATACTAACACAAAGTTCTCGCTTTCTGCACTTCAAAGCTTCCAAAAAATTTCTCACATGATTGACACTTGTGTTTCTCAGGCTGAGAGGGAGAAAACAACAGGAGATGGTTGGTTCAACATGAAAGCTCCAGAGCTCACTCAGGAACTCAAAGGCGACCTGCAGGTCCTGAAGATGAGAGGCGCCATGGATCCAAAAAGATTCTACAAGAAGAATGACCGAGATGGCTTCCCCAAATATTTCCAGGTCACTTCTCAATTTACAGGCCTCATTTTTAAAACTGTTCAAACTACATCTTAAGGAACATGAACACGTTGTTTTCACGCTGAAATGGTTTAAAGTGAGACTTTTCCTCATCCAAGGAAATGATGCTCATGTTTCTGTGTGTTTACTTTCGCTACAGATCGGTACAGTGGTAGACAACCCAGTCGACTTCTATCATTCCCGTATTCCCAAGAAGGAGAGGAAGAGAACAATGGTGGAGGAGCTGATGGCTGACGCTGAGTTCAGGCAGTAAGCAGAAACAAAAACGCACATAGACACATTGATAAAGACACACCCCATTAGCAATTGTTGTTTTAATATATCACATCTTTGACATGGTGTCCAGTGAAAAATACACAGACTGAGTCACATTGGTAAAGACTATTTAAAGCAGGCTCACATCTTGTGTTTTTACACTGTTGTTGAGTAAGTATAGGACAGTAATACTTAAGTAAACATCACTTTAGTAATACTGATGAAGTGATTGGCACATTAGATCCCATTATACAAGGATTAAACTTCAAAAATGATTATTAAACTATCTAGAAAACATAATAAAGCAGAATTCAGGCCACCTGCCATCATTACAGACACACTTTTACATGGAGAATACTTCAAACAAGTTACAGTGCTTTAATGAGATATTCAAGTTCTCTACTGTCAGGTGTCACAGTTTCATTTTCAGTCCTTATGCACTCAAGATAAGCAGATAGAAGAAATGTTCAGTGACCTGCCTCAGTGGTAGAGAAGGAACCGACTGAAATATCTTACCAAGTCCAATTACAGCCTTCAATATTCAGCTTGTAACAGTGATGAACTTTTTGTGTGACAAGAGGCTAAATGTTTTTCATCAGGTTGGATTAAATGTTACAATTAAACACAACATCAATGTTAGGTGTGTAAATGTACTCAGAACTCAACAGGTTGATTTCAGACACATGGCATAATGCAGTCTTTAAGTTTTACAAGGGTCCTCTGACAAAGTAAAAATACTTTAAATATGCTAAGTACTACAGAGTGAAATAGTGCAGTTTAAAATCTTAGTCTGAATTGAATGCAGATTTTTAAATACACTCTCTTCTCTCACCAGCAACAACAAAAAGAAGTACCAGAACATCATGGCAGAGAAAGCAGCACAAGGAGCCGGCAAAAGATTCAAGAAGAGTAAATTCTATAAGAAGAAGTAAAGACTTGTAAAGACTTGAAGTGATACATTCTGATGTCATTAACTCAAATTATTAATCAGGAGCTCCTCTTTTCCCGAGGAGCTGAAATACTTTATAAGAGGAAAGTCATTGACTCTGACACATCGAAGATCATCTCAAAAGATGAATCAAGATTTTGTCTCTGTATCAACCAGACTGTCATTTTTCTGCAGTTATCAAAAACAGCTGTAAAAATATAACTGATTTTTAACGCCATATTTCATTTCCAACATTTTACGACACAGGAATCATAGAAACTTTACAAATTCTGTCATATAAACATTAAAAGAGTTTTGTCTAGCACCAATGTTTGTCAATATTTTATCTCATCACTTTATGAAAATTCAGCTCATATGCCATCATGTCCCATAGAATGAGTATACCACCATTACTGTTAATTATGATGACAACAGAAGCTAATGTCTGAATTTCATCATGAAGCAATGTTGTATAAAGTTAAACTTTAAGGTTAAGACAGTTTATTGATTCAGTCTCCAAGTTGACTAAAAGTGGGAGTCAGACTATAAAAAGACAGATAAATTGAGCTAATTCCACTTTTATAAATAACACATTTCACCACCCTAAATATCAAAACTAAAACACTTGATTATGCTAAAAATTCAGTCTTTGTCTTTTACCATTTATTCTGAATAAGTCCAACATATCACTGGCTTAGAATCCCATATACTGTTTATTAGATTACAGTAAAATAAATAACAGAATTATAAATGTCTTTATTTTTTTAAACCCAAATTTTATACTTTTCTATTCTGAAAATATTAGATAACTGGACAGAAATCAAAAGTCCCTTGTGGCAATATTTCACAGTGCCATTTTTCTGTCTTTATCTAAGAAATATTTAACTTTGAAAATATTTAACTATTTTTTGAAGGTCTGTTTTTTGCTTCAATAGTATTATAAATTGTTTTTCATCAGATGCATAAAGAAAAAGGTAAATATGTGTTATATCTTGGCTACTGAAAAACAGATATCGGCTGACCACTTGGCCCAAACACATCAAACCAAGTTTTGGCTTAAGTTTGAGAATTAATTTGACTTAAAGCTCCTCGAATGAGTTTTTGATGGGTTATAAAATGGACTGACATGAACAGTGATGTACCTCTATGGAGTATGAAAGCAAATGAGACCACTGATGAAGACTGGGAACATCTTAAGTGTAATTTTTCATGCCTGTAACAGCTGCAAGTTATGCTGAGAAAACAGCCTTAGTTACTCTTCCTCCATCAAATATTCATGGTGAGTGATAAATTTTACTGCCAAAAGACAATGAGAGGAGAGTTTCCTGTCAGTTAAAACCACTTTCACAAGGATAAGACAAAATCAGCAAGGACATTAAAGTTACCACTTTGTCCTCAGGAGGTGCCAAAGTCAACACAGACTTAAAGTTCCTTACAGAAGCTTTAAATAATCCCCAAATTAATTAATTTCAGTGCATTTAGGTATGACTTGTGATGAATAAGTGATAATTTTTAAAATCATTAATGTCAAAAATAATTTTCTTAAATTATTACATTTAAGGCAACCATTATCAACCAGAATCAGAATACTTTATTTATCCCAGGGTTGGTGAAATTAAATAATTGTAACTCTTTTTGCTATTTACTATCTTTAAACAGAGTAAATTTTGAATATGTTTGGAGATAAATCTTTTAAGTGACAACATACTACCATAACCTTAACACACAAAAAGGACGTGCAAAAGTAAATATTCAAAATACTTGTACATAAGTGAAATATAAAAGCAAGGTCGTTCAGACTGGCTTTTTGATGCAGTTTGGTAAACAAACTGAGCAGTAAGAGGATAAAACCGTGAGGCACATTTTGCATATTGCAAACTACAAAGTGAGTAGTACGATCTTGCACATTTCCCCTCTGACTCTAAGTAGAAATAGATGGGTAATATGACCCAAAGAGGAAAAGGATTTTTGTTTGTATACTGTCCTGTTAAAATGCTGTACTGACCTCAGCAATAATATTAAATCACAATTAAACAAAATATATTTTCTATATTTCTCATTTTGAATTGATTGCGTGTTATTTCATGTGCAAGCAGTGATAAAATATTCAGCTTTTTTTGGTAGAGGAGATACTTCCACACAGGTTATGGGTCTTAGTAAAGAGCAGCTAACCTCTGATGCGCTTAAAGCCTACATACAGTCAGATTTATAATGGTGAAGACGTATCAGTGTAACATTTGCTCTGAATGAATATGAAGGCTAAATGCTTTGTGTCCTCTTTTCTTTGATTCAGGATTACTTTTGTTCCACCTCTCTCTCTTAAATCTCTTCAGTCCTTTAGCTGCTGGCTCCCATCAGTGGCTCTTGGCTACCTTCTTGTCTCTCTTTTGTGTTGTGAGAGATGAGCCCATAACAGCTGCAGCTTACATCCACATGTCGCCTCCACGCACACACATGCGCGCACACACAAATGTAGCTTCTTTATACCCGAGCCAATTTCGCACACAGCTTTAGAGAAATTAGACAACGTCTCTGTTTGGTTTCACCAACGGGGCAGCCCAGATGACGGGTGGGAGGGAAGCGGCGCTGCTCCGCTTTTGAACATAACCCCTGCAAATTTCCTGCCTTTTCAAAGAGTAACTACTACGACAAGCGCGGCTCAGCAGGTGCCGAGGATGGTTTGAAATTTAAATGAAAATCAAAGGGAGATAAATGCTGATGCATGTGTGTGAGGCGGTTTGACTCACTGAATTATAAAATCATACAGTTAAGAGGGTTTAAGTGTGTTTGAGTGTGAATCTGCTACAGAACGTGAAATCAAACATCTGCTTATATGTGGAAATTTAAAGTGAACAGAAAAAATATTGGTGATGGATTCTCAGTTGTTTGAACACAATGTGGGATGATCAGCAAGTATGGTCAAAGGTCACTTGGTGGTCCATGGTTGCTTTGTGAGTCTGCAAGAGCCTCTGGACACGGCTATGGATCTCCCAGTATGATGGACTGGGCTGACTGGTATTCAACCTAAAGACACAAAAACATGCCACATTAAAAACTCATAACCAACATCTGACAGAAGCTTTGAACCTGTAACGAAAACACACAATGGTTTCACGGTTGATATTAAGAATAAAAATAAGAATAACTTTATTTTATCCCTGAAGAGAAATTCAATTGTTTTAAGTCTCACTTGCCATGTCTCAAAAAGTCATCTATTATTTATAGAAGAATTGTAAAGTCTGATGGCTGTGGTTACAAAAGATCATCTGAACCTTTCTGTCCTGCAGTGAAGAGAGAGGAGTCTATTAAATACTCTGTATATCTTTGTCAAGAAAGATTACAAACCTGTGGACTTGAACCCACAAAAGCAACAAAAGACCAAAACCTCTGGTTGAATTTTTGATGGAAGAATTATGTACTATTTTTTTTTTTTTTACGAGCTCACAGAACAAAAAGCAAAAAAAGTCAAAATATTAGTAAATATTTGATAACATACATCACAGATTTCCACAGTGAATTATCATTTAATGATACAGGAAACCAGAAACTGAGTTACTTCAATATGAGAAAACCCCTTCAGAGCGCCGGTTATGTATCTTGCAGATATTCCTTTTGTCCACTAGTCTGTACTGCAACATCACTCAAGATGTGAGGACAGATCTGTGGCTGAAACTGGAGCCTCACTGACTTGACACAAACTTGAACAGCCCTTGAAAATCCCCTGAAAACAAATTAGTGTTACCCCTGTACAAATGTTAATTTTGTCTCTTTTACAGTTAACCTTTTGTGAAAAAAACAAGAATAGCATTTTTTGATTGACAGTCAGCTTTGCATTTAAATTGGAGGCCTGGAAAAGCCTTATCAATGCAATATAAATGTGTCTGCAACTTGGCCACAGTCAGTTATGAAAAGCCTGCTCTGACAGACAGACAGAAGTGAACAGTAATAAATGCCAGAATTGCTTCTCATCCTCATTTATTTGTCGGGATTTGTTGGTGATGACTGTCTGACTGACTGGCTGCTGTCTTGGTCAGGCTCGTAGTGTGGAAATGGAAGCTTTTCATCTGTAATCTGATAAACTTGCTACCTGCTTCAAAAAGTCATCAAGGACAAATCATCGAGAGACATGAATAGACTGAGACTTCAGGGCTTAGGGAGCAAACGTTGCCACTGGCATCTGTCATTTTCTTTATAGATCAAAGATTTGTGGTAAGACGTGCCCCTCTGCCTGTCGCAGGGAATCTACAAAGAACTGCTCTAATCTCCCGCCCTGCAACTCCTGCCGCGTTTTCAATTGAGAGAAAAGTATCATTCATTTCCTACAATTTACTTTGCAGTTTAAGATTGTCTATTGATTTTAATGTTTACTTATGGACTGAGCAGAAGGGGGAAAGGAAAGCAGAGACAAACAAACAAACAAAACAGAACATCGGTCCCCTCGGTGTGTTTAACTCACGGCTGCAGTGATCGATGACAAGGTCTCTCTGAATGTATTAAAGCGTGCATCGGGTCAAATGCATCAGACTCGAGCTGAAACACAAATCAATACCATTTTCCTCTTTGTTTTCCCTGCTCTCTGCCTCCCCTCTCAGTAATGAACAAACATGACAAGACATCAGCTTCTATAATTTAAGAGGTGGAGGGGAATTCATCCTGCCTGTCGAGTATGATCAAAATTAAAGATGAGGTGAACACACACACACACACACACACGCGCACGCACGTATCAGTGGCAGTGTATGACTAACGTCTCACAGGATTGCCTCATATTTGCCATATTCTGTAATTGGAAACTCATAGAGGTGCCTCTTGTGCTTTTAAGATCTTTTGGACAAACAGCAATGATTTACACAGATGGATCAGGATAAATTCAGGACAAACACCACAGGAAAAAAGGATTATGTTTTCTGCTGCCGTCTTTGTGGCCAGAAAAAAGGCTCAGGTCCCTCAAAGTGTTCCACCAAAGTTAATGTAAAGACACACTTAACCCCTGCACTAAGCTTCCAACAGCATGCAAAATACCTCTCACGGTGCTTATAAAATGCCATCAACAGCAGACAGTTACTTGAGTTAGTGACGCATGTCTCAGAATTGTAAATCAAAAGTGGAGTTTCATCCAAGTTTCACTCAAACACGCTTTTTTCTTTGAGTCTTTGTAATTTCATGATCCATCAGATTTTTTTTCATTTTCAAATAAAAGTGTTTTATCTACGACAGAAAAAAACAAAAATTCACAAAAGCTTTGAAGTACTTTTAAGGTCAGGTCACAGTGAAGGGCGTTATCTGAAGATTTCTACCTTTCTCTGAGAGAATGGTTAAGATTCAGGGGACTTCTGGGGTTCATTCTGGTCGGGGTGGACTTAGATAAGGCAGAACCTCTCATGCTCGGGCTTTCAGTTTGGGCTCCAAGTCTGGATGGTGTCCCTGGAGAGGAGTGGACCCTGACAGAACCTGACCTCTCCTGGAAAAGGTCACAGGAAAAAAAAACAGTGTCACGTGAGAGTTAGCGGTAAATGCGCTGAATGGGAAGGTTTGCTGAGGACAAAGAAAGAAATCAAATTCTCAGTATCAAAATAAGAAAAGACCAAATGTACTCTTGAGAGGCTATTGTGTAGTATCCAGGAAAATTTGACAGAAAGGAGATGAACCTTTATAAAATGGTACATTATACAAACTTCAGTTTTTTATATATGATTTTGAACATTTATGCTGTTAAGAGACTGTTCAATCTGAAGTTAAAGTTCCTATTAGACTTACTCTGGATGATTTTGGTCTGTAACTCCTCAGGAGAGGTGAACCTTCAGCAACAAAGACAAGTTAGGAGTTTAATGAAAACTGAAAACCTCAGCTTTAAGACATCAATCTAAACAAAGACTCTGGACTCACAAAGGTACAGAGATAAAACTTCCCCACATAAAGGCGGGTAAATATAAAGTCAAAATCTGCAAGTTGCTGCACACCAAAGTTACTTTCTTCCATTAGTATGATAAGAAAAATGTCAGCAGAGATTTGATCAGTCAAATCCTAAAAAACTCTAAAATTAAAATACATATTTTCTTTAGTGTTAAGCACGACTCTAACCCTGAGATGTGCATTCGTACATGTAGAAGTTGTTTATGTGTAAGTTGAAGTCTACCTGTGTTATCAGCTGTGCAGCTGTCAGAGTGTTGATTCATGCTACTGCGCTGCGGAGAGGAGGAGGGAGTTCCTATCCCTGACACATTGCTGCAGTAAGACACCTGGCAAAAGCATGACAGAAAAACAGTCTGGTGTCAAAAATGTTACACTGCTGTAACTCGAATCATTTTATCTACACAGTAAAACACTGACACAGGGATGTGGATTTGGTACTCAAGCAGAAAACAAGTAATTTCCCGGTACTGACACACAAATCAATCACGCAATCTGCCAACTTTAGATTAGAAATGGCAGAACTAGAACAGAAATGTTTTGTCTGCAACATTATGTTGAAATAATCTATATCAAATATATTCATAAACATTTTCCCTTTTTATTTATTTCATTTTTTCATTGTGCAGAATTGAAGTTAGCAGTGCGAAGAAGGGGGAAAATCTGATAATATTTCTAGATATAAACTCCCAGCAATGGTGCCCTTTGAGGACAAGAATCTCCTATAACACCTGCTAAATATGACCCTCCATTCGTCAAGATTTTCCCATCAAAACTCTTATCAACACAAAGTCCTTTTCACAACAACAACCATAACCTCTCTTCTTCCTCCTCCCCTTTTTTCACTCTGCTTCTTTTGAAACAGGCTGGCTGTCTCTGTGAAAGGAAACCTGCTAGGAAAGGTTTATTGTAAGTTATTAAAAACATTCACTTAAAAGTATCTATAAATATATTTCATGTTTGTTCTGCCAAATACTAAAAACTAGGGGTGGGAATCACCAGTGTTCCCACGATACAATATTATCGCTTTACTTGTTTAGCTGATTTAGCATTTGTCTTTCCTTTATGTTTGTCTTGTTTACACAGTATTTCATTTTCATGTAGCACATCTTACAAACCTCATGTGTCAGGTCCATCTCATTTGTGCCCTGCTTGCATTTATAATGTCTTTGCCCAGGTGCTGCTTTATTTGTTGCACTAACTTTCTCCTGCTCTATGACGACACCTCTGCAAACTTCACTGGACAAACTGTTTTATTTTTACATTATCATAGACTAACTTCATATTAGGAATTAATTTGAAAAAAAAATCAATAAATGGTGAATGAGACGATACGATATCACCAGACAAAATATCGCGATACTTTGCTGTATCGATTTCTTTCTCCCACCCCTACTACACACTGTGCCTTTAAACACCCCCCGCCCCTTAAAAAAGAGCATTTCTCAGACTCTAGCTTGGGTTTGATAAATAGATAGCTTACCTCAACACAAAGACACACACAGCTAAGGCTCTAAAACACACACTAATAATGCATTCACCATGGGGCTAAGCTACTTCATTAGGTATCTATTTGTTAATTGCAGCTTGACTCTCTATTACTAGGGTTAATTGTTGACAAAAGATTCCCCCAGGAAAACCAGCAAGGGGACAACCATGCTCCTCTCTTTAATGAATTGCCTGTTGTATTCCAGTAAATTCTATTCATGTGTGTGACAAACACAAACAACTCAGCACCTAATCATTTCTTTTAATAACAGCATGCTGCTGGATTCTGATATTCATACCTCAGGATTAGATCTGATGTAAATGAAGACGCGGGAATACATTTGGGAGCAGAGGAAAGAGGGAGGAGGCTGAGAACCAGAGGCTGTGTTGTGCTTGTCCATCATGTGTGCCGTCCCCAAGGCTGTATGATCAGAAAATCACTCCTTTTTAAATGTTAATCTCTTACAGGAATGATGAAGCCATATTTGGAGAGTTAACAAATAACTATGCACCAGTCTACATCCAGCATGTGAGCTTTTAAAGCGCACTCAGGCCCCTCGGAGAGCATAACAGGCCATATTACACGGGCACATGGTGAAACATTTTCATGACGTCAAAATCCATTAACGGCTCAGGTAAAGAGATTAACACTGTGCTCTTATTATGCCCTCCACTTAATCTGCCAGCTAGATGATGTTCAAATTTGGGAAGCTCCCACTGAGACTTGAACTACATCTATTCAGGAGCCCATTAATTTTCTAACCCCTGTCCACAGAACACGTGTTTTATCAGCATTAAACAAACCATCCTCACACCACTTTGTCATCTGCTTCCATTTGGGGGAAAATGTCTGTGTGATGTTACAAACCAAGAAGGGCGGCTGGCTTTCAGTCTCCTTCTTGAAGTGGTGAGGCCCCAGCTGGAGATGACTGAGCCTCTGCCGGGCGTCCTCTGAAAGTTGGCACATCTTGCGGTGGGTGTACGGGGATAAGGCTCGTGCCCTTGAGGAAACTGTTGGCTGCTGGTAGCCTGTGTCTACAGACAGTATGGGAAACGCTTGTTTTTTCCCCTTCTTCTTATCCTGGGAGTTGCGGTTGGTTGTTTTTGAAGATGGCGATGTAGAAAAAGCCGCAGAGTTTGGACTTCTAGTATCTGCATTAAGCTTTTCCTTCCCACCCTCTGATGAGACACAGGATGGATCATCATTGTGGGAGAAATTCATCCCGGATGGGGAAGACTTTTTTGTTGCACCCTGCCTGGATGAGGTTAAAGATGGCCTCACGGGAGAGAGACAAGTCTAGGCAGAAAAGACAGAATATACGAGAGAGAAAGAAAAATGTTGATATGTTGCTCTAACATGTCAAACAACCCTCCCTTGTCTCCATTTGAAGTTGACACATAACATTTGTCTCAGCAGTTTAGATTTCTCCACAGACCAAAATGTTTTTCCTTTACACAAGCGTCAGCCGTTTGAGCCATTAAGGCAGCTGCTCTCACTCTCACTCTCACTCTCAACAAAGACGTGCTCTCCCCGGACTAAACCATTAAACCATTAGCTAAATCATTCAGCTTAAGTGTTACAACAACAACAGCTCTTGCAGTCAGCACTGCCATGGAGACCACCTCTGCAGAATTACTTCAATAACTCTAATGGCCACTAACATCATGCTCAGATGCAATATCCCACTTCCTGCGGGTAATGCCAACCGGGGATAAATACGTTAAGATAAAATGTTAATTGCATTTGATGGCCATCTCCAGTCTAACATGATAAAGAGGCATTACCTGGCTGTAAAACAAAGATAATCTAAATGCTAATAAGGGAAATCACACAACATTGAAACTATTTTTAAGAGAAACTAAACGATGACTAAATCCTGATACAGGTTGCCATTTGAGAACGGTCTCATTTAATAGAATTAGGTGAAGTATGTTCTCCAACCCACACACCTACCACCATCTCTGACCCCTCTCAAGTCTGCTTCAGACAGCCAAGCAGTCTTATTTTGAGATCAGCTGGCCTGCCGTCAACAAAGCTGTGAAAGCTTGGCTAATGAGATTTCCCGCTATTTCCATTGTTGGTATGCTTTAAAACACACAAGTCAGCAAAGCCTGGGGTATTGATGAACAATTACGAGACAATGGAGAGGAGGTGCCATAGCAGCTCTGTGGTTCTTTCTGCTTAACAACATCCATGATGCGACAGTAGCTCAGGAGGTTGCGGTCGTCCAATAACTAGAAGGTTGGCGGTTCGATTCCCCCCTATACCTAGTCTGTCCGTTGTGTCCTTGGGCAAGACACTTAACCCACCTTGCTCCCGGTGTGTGTCCTCCACTGGTGTATGATTGTGAGTGTTGTGTGGTGGTGGTCAGAGAGGGCGTAGGCGCAAAATGGCAGCCACGCTTCCGTCAGTCTGCCCCAGGGCAGCTGTGACTACTGAGGTAGTTTACCATCACCAAAAGTGTGACTGTGTGAGCGAATGAATGATGTATCCAATGTAAAGCGCTTTGAGGGTCTCTGATAAAGCGCTATATGAAATCTGATGCATTATTATTAATATGTTTACAATGATAAAGGAAATACATAGCAAGATTCATCTTCAGCATCATAGCAGGACAACGTTTGCTAATCAGTACCAAACAAAAAACCCTGATCAGACGTCTCAGTTTCTCTGTTTTTCACATCAAAAATCAAAGTATCTGATGAAATATAAAATACAGAAAAGTTGGTTCCCATCTTTAGAGGTTATTTTACCAAAACCCTCCAGCTTTATGAGGGAAAACTGCCTGTTGGTGGCACTAAAGTAAAGTCATTGTCCTCTGGGGACCTGTCTTAATACCATTTGAAGATAATCTATCCAACAGTGGCTGATAAATCTTGTTCTGAGCTCAAGTGGTGGGCTAACAGGACAGGATGATAGACAGACAGGCTAACGGCCTAACACTCACCAGGTGGATCTTGCCAACAAAGTAAAAGAAAAAAAAAACAGGAATAATAAGAACTAGCAAAGTAGAAGTAAAAGAGAAAAGAAAGAATAAAACTCTGACTGCATGTTTGTCTCTTCAGTTTGAGGGGTTTTGTGTACGTTGCAATCACTCAGAATCTCTATTAGAAGAGGACAGGGTTTGTCAGCTGGGTGGGCAGGCAGTCAGAGAGATGCCGATGCTGAGGAGCCATTAGAAGGGAGAAAATGGAGAAATTCTACTGTCTGACAGCCACAGCGGTGCTCTGATCCAGACACCTCCCTGAGGGGCCAGGAGAACACTCTGACAATCTGTTTCCCTGTCAATGACATCCCATTTAAACAAATGGCTCAGCTTAGGTTACAGCACCTGGGAAATGCATGGTACTGTTTTTGGCAAAACATGCCAACTGCTGTGTGATGGATCATATGTTACAAACACAAGTGTTTGTGAAAGATTTCCTTCTCACTTTTATCCTTTGAATTATGCTGTTTTCCAGCCCAGAATTGGAGCATTGTTCTTCCATCACAGTATCTGTCTGCTAAAATTACATTCACACACACATCATACACACAAAGCCAAGATCAAGAAGGTTCATTGTCTCAACTTCATCCGTAAATTAACTGTTTATATTTTTTTGATAAGGAGTTTCATCTAAAGGGAGAATGAAGTGCCACAATCTCTTTTTGACAAAGATAATGAAGACAATTTTTGGTCCAAAATTTTGACTTAGTAAAGTTTAATGGGCGGAAAACTCTCTAAATCAGGAAGTTTGCACCAGAGAATGATAAAAAAAACATTTAGACATTTGTTAAACAAAAGCTTTTTAAGTATAAAAACTAGTGTTTGACCAGGTGATGCTGATTCTGACAATAAGAGGTTGGCTGATGACCAATTTTATAAAGCCAACATCACATTGTTGTTTTATCTTTTCACTTTTTTAATGCTAACCAATGAGAAACAAATCTGCAGAATATAAATGAACATTTCATTAATAACTGTAGATGGGAAAATATTTTGCGAAGTAAATAATGCCTCAAAGGAATCCTGGATGTCTGTCTAGTCATCATAAATTATCAAGTCATGTATAAATCCATCACTTTATGCACATTTCAATGAAACATCCATGGTTAAATAAGCTTGTGACCTGTTTTAAAAAGATTTTTTAATAGCTCTAGAAAAAGTAATAGTGATATTGGTCTTGTAAAGGCAGATGATGATTTGATACTGGTTACTAAAAAAGCCCTTAATTGACCTGATGAATCTGCCCACCAATTAATCAGGCTGTCTCGAATTAAAAACTGCAAATCCACAAGGACACAAAAGGCAAAAGTACAGGTGACCCTCATGGAAAAAAAAAGACTAGCTGGGAGTTTTTACACTTTTTTTGTCAGTAAACCAGTCAGTCTGTTGGAGATGTGAGAGGAGCCTTTCTATCAGCATCACTGATCTGCTTGCCCATAATTACATTCACAAGGATAGAAGAGATACCCTTGAAAGTATGGATGGATGGATGCAGTAGCCATGGCAACAATAGTAAAAGGGTATGCATGGTGGAAACAGACATATCTGACAAAGTGATATTACTCATTAAGGTCCTCTACACAGTTTTAGTCATGACTTGCACTACAGAGTCAACACTGTATGCAGCTGTGATGTGTTCAAATTACAGAAATTATGAAGGCAGTGTTTACTTGACTTGTGATTGTCCCTTTCATTGACTTGTCCAAAACTTGACTGAGATCTTATAGAAGATAGATATGAGTGTACAAGGAGAAAGCTTCATTTGGTATAATCCATAAAACAGAATGATGAGGAGAGGCGAAAACGGTTAAGAGATGGCTCATAATGTGTGTGGTGATGCACAGAGCCAAGAAATGTAATAAGAAGTCACACTTACAGGTGAAGCAAGACAGCTGTCTCTCCCATTACTCTCCTCTATGACTGATGTCGTGGTAAACTCCACTCTAGGGGCGATTCCCTTGAGGAAGAGTGACAATGGGAACAAACACAACACCTTTAACAGGGGGATGAAGACAAAAGAACAGATAACAGCACTGCTTGGAATACCAATTTACAACCACAAATCTCCAATCTACGCCCGGCTGGAGAAAAAACAAATTGCAGAAAAGAATAAGGCTCCAGTGATGTTTAAATAATATGGCATTTGTAGAGAGACATCTAAATTGCTATGTAGGCCTCAAACACAAACACATAAAAAGCAATGGTGAGGGGGACTGGTGTTTAAAGACATTTCAATATGCCAGTTAGAGCCTCAGAGGAGAATAGAAGGATAGAAAAGCTATCCACTGCCAAGGAGAGATGACTGAATAAAAGGAGGAGCAGGAGGCAGGGAGAAGAACGGATGATACAAGACGGGGAGGAAAAACTCAAAATGATGAAAAAGAAAAGTAGTCCTCTGTTTAGTTTTTCAGTTGGTATAGCAAAGGCTGCTGACAGCTCTAGGAGGAGAAACGCTATCCCTTCTGAAGAAATAACTTCACTTTGCCTGAGACACGACAGTGCTTTTGAACTGCTTATCTTGGTAGTGTACCCGCCTGTCATGAGAACACACGTGTGAGCCACAGTGATTTTAAGAAGATTTACTTTGAGCGAGCAACAATCTGATATCTCCAGTCGATGAATGACGCGTGTAATATCTGTGCCGATCGAGCTGGATCACATGTGAGCAGAAAGTGGGGTCACTGTGACTTCTGGATACTCAGCACTTATCATCCTATATCTCTAACACACCCACAGTGTGGAAAAACAGAGGAATTTTTTAAAACAAGATATTCATTATTCTATGGTCACATCTGGTCTTTCTTTATAAAACCTGCTGGGAGAAAATAAATCAGACCTGGTGATAGGTGCGGGTAAAAATACATTACTTTGACTACAACTTGTAAGTTTAAGAAGGAAAATTGTTGATTAAATATTTACAACTTGAAAGCATTGTTCAAGGTAGAGCTCTTGAGGTCTCTCAAGCTGATTTAAAGTGGATCTGCAGAGAAATAACAGTTTTCTGTGTGTTTGAAAATATCTTTGTTCCTGATGAATAATGCATGAGTTGAATCAGCACAATAAAGGTAAGAACATTTTTGGTCTATTATGTACTTTTAATTTGGCCATTTATTTCCTGTTTTAGCATTTATCAGAGGTGTTAACACCTAGGCTAATTCTGTCACTGATTTTGTTGACAGTGGCTGTTTATGCATTTTTACTGTCAGCACACACTGTGGCGCTGTATTCTCTTCGTCTGTCATCAGTGCTGCGGTCACCAACAGCTGCAGAAGTTTTATTACTAATATTAGCCATCACTTGTCATCACCTTGTACAGTTTTATACATGATGAATATGTATGACTAATTTCATTTCATGACGCTAAGGTTGCAAACAACTAAATAAACGTAAAAATATGATTTAATATTTGTTAAATTATTGTATGAATTTTTCCTTTAACCCTCCTCCTGTGTTAGGGTCTGCACTGACCCGTTTTTGATTTTAAATCCTTAAAACAACTTAAATTCACTTTTTTGCATCAAGACTTTTTGACTTTGTCGGGAACCTCTATTTCAACAAAATAAAAATAAGAAATATGAACTGACTAAATAAAATGCTCTTTTTGAAATTATGGCATTTGTGGTATTAGGGTCGCTGACTCTGTTAGATCAACATCTAATAATCAGAGCAAAAACTGAAATCACAAGTGCACTGCCAGGCACCACACTGACAGTCAGATCCTCTTCCATTCAAGTGAGATTTAGGAAATTCTCATTTTTTCCATGTTTTTCCCTGCACAAAAAACTCTGTCGGGTATGTCCAGACATGTTCAGTATAGATGTCTGTGTAAGGGGTGTACTGACAAAGAAAGGCCCAGAGGACCACAACAAAAACTATTATTATCAATATTTTCACAGATAACGAAGCCAAACGAGGTAACCTAGAGATGAGAACCAAATTGGATGATAGAGAATTGTTTTTAGTGTAATTTACAGCTGATTTAAGACACGGGTCAAAACCGACCCTTAACATAGTGGGTGTGTAGTAAAAGCTAACACAGGAGGAAGGTTCAGGATTCATGTAAATACATATCCTGGATAAAACCGTTGATAAAGTTGAACTCATGATTCTGGTTTGCATTTTTTTTTTCCTCTAAGCATAACTTTTATTGGCATTTTTTTATGCTCAAAGTGGTCCCTTAATAAATGTGACTCATATTTTACACTCAATAACCCTGGTGACTGATAAACACTTGCATGTTAGTATCTATTTCAAAATGCCAAGAACAGGTACCTGTAAATATAGATGAATATGGTTTCTGCTTGTCAAGTAAAGAAGACTGTAACCCTTTACATGCAGAATTGTAAACAAAAACAAAAAGCTAAAAAGGTAACATTAAGCTCTCATGTTTGAAAGAGGATTAGGAAATAAGTAAGAGACATTAAAAAGCATACAGGGAAGGAAGAGGATCTCTTCATCAGTATCTCTCTCTCTGCTGCTCCTTCTCCTGAGCTCAGACCAGGTTCAGCAGGGAACAGGAAATCTCTGCTGCTCTCTTCCATTGTGGCTAAAATCTCGCCCTCTTAAGAACAAAAACAGACAGTAAAGTGAACAGTAACATCCTGTTTTTGCAGTGTAATGACTAGATAAAGTTGGGATTTAACATGCCCATGAGGCATCATCAGAAAGCATACCTGGAGGCACCAACTGAATCAGCTCAAAAGATGTTGTGTCAGCTAAGAGGAAGCAAAGCACAAAAAGACTGTGAGCTAATGATCAGTATCACAGCTAATAGCCCATAAGCTTGCATAGCAGAGAATTCAGGACTAAAAGATGAGGAAGCAAATCCCAGACGGCCGTTTACCTTCCAGGAGGTCAGCTACATCAGCAGGGTCAACAACGCCGGGGAAAGTCTGGTAAAACAGAGAACAGACAAAGCAAATCAATACTTATAACAAGACCAGACAGAGAGCCCTGTATCTATCCCTGCTGTCTCTTGAGGCCAAAAGAAGTGCCTTTTATCAGGACTCAGTGCAGTGATGCCAAAATTGAAGGTTTGCTAGTTTGAATTCTTAAGACAATAACACCCTGCAACACAATTTTGCAAGAGAAAAAGATTTTGTCCACAAATAAAAAGAGAAGTCTTCACATGGACATGTTTGCAAATCAATCATAAATGAAAAATAAAACTACGAGATCCAAAAGTAAATATGTCAGCAGGTCATACTTTCTCTCGTCTAATCACATTTAAAGGTAGCTACACGAATCTAGTTATTCTGATTATTGAACTTTTGCAACAAACACAATATACAGCAACTTTTTTTTACCTTGTGAAATATCATTTTGTGGTCGAAGAGCAGAGGGAACACTGGTGGCAAACAGGGAGTCTTTCTGTACTGTCCCATCATACACACACTGAGGTAGATATCCTTCTTTTTAAATAGGAGCACACTTGGACATGTAATCTGCACACAGACAACTAAAATTAGTTGACTTCAATGACAAGTCAGCATGTCTATGTTTCATGTTGATTAGCATTTATTCTTTGCTCTGTTGTTTATTAGCAGATCGCTTGCAATGGCAAAAAGGGCATATCCTTGCACAGAGAAATTCAGGGAATTATTGTTCCTAGTCCAAAATAGTCCCTGTCTAAAGAGGTTGCAATTTCAACTTTCTGGCTAAATAATTCGTTCTTGTTCATCTTAAATAATTAATGATAGAGTGAGGAGAAAACAACATGGAAATGGCATATCGGCATCAACAAGACCCTGGTTTCATTTGTCCTCTACATCCTTAACAAATAAACAGGGGGATTAATGTGGTTTTAAGAAATTACAGCATCAACAATACTACTGAGACGGTTCAGGATACGTTCAGGAAATGAACGCCGATGAGCCTGTCTCATGCAGTCAGTGAACAATATCTAAAATCGATCATATTGGCAACAAGCTGACGCCGTCGTTTGGTAAACATCAGGGAAAGCGTGATAATGAAAGAGGATGTACGGTGGTTAGCCGGCTAGCGTGACAGGAACGACGGTACCAAATATCAGCTCGAGTGTTTCGAAGCAAAGAAACGACATAGTATGCCCTTACTTTATGAATGTCCAGATAAACGGTACATTTCAGACACTTCTGGTGTGCTTTCTTCCTCACTGAAGCCATTCAACCAACTTTCGAAGTACGTTGTCATAGCTGCCAAACAGAAACAGTCCCACAGCGGATGTACAGTCATGTGACTCAGACGTAACCAATCAGATACTCTCTCTGCACTGACGCGCACAGATTTGAGTTGATCTGATAATCTGAGTTGTATCTGTATGGAAGTCAATCTGTGCTATCTGATTTTGAATTTGAATTTCTATAGCTGATTTTTTTTGCATAAAAATCAGACTTTGAATTTTAAAACCATTGAATTTCAAGCATGCATTTTTATTTCTTTCTTATTTTTTTCCCACAATGATGAAATAAATTCAGTGTAAAAAAATCAGTCTGTCAAAATATTTGTGTGGAAAAAATTAAACTTAAAAAAACTGTGTTAAAAAAATTCAACATAAAAAAAATTTAAGTGTCAAATAATTCAGTGTCAAAAAATATAGAATAAAACAGACCGACATCAGAGAGAAGCAATCCATTTGTCAATCTTCCACTGGGGTCGGTACCACATGACCAATCTAACATTATTTGATTGGCTGGAGGATGGATGATTGAGCCAGAAATTGATTGCTTATCCCCGATTACCTGGATGTTGAGTCGATCTGTTTGTACACTGAATTTTTTGACACTTAATTTTTTTTGTATGTTGAATTTTTTTTTTTAACACAGGTTTCTTTTTTAGTCGAATTCTTACTAAACAAATCTGTTTTTTTTACACTGAATTTATTTCATCATTGTGAAAAAATAAGTGTCAGAAATAAAAATGCGTGTTTTAAATTCGATGGTTTTGAAATTCAAAGTTGATCTTGATGCAAAACAATTTCAGGTTTAGACATTCGAATTAAAAATCAGATGGCACAGATTGACTTCCATATATCTGCCTCTTTATTTTGACACAACCTTTAATACAAAATGTGTTTCCAAATTTCCTAAAACTGCATTTTAACATTCAAACATTAATTCAGACACTTTGTTAACTTAGCTGAAGTCAAAAAGACCACGCAGAGAGAAAGATCTAGGAATAATGTATTATTGTAGTTTGAAGGTCACATCTATATACAATCAGGTTTTCAGTGTTGCTCAACAATGCTGAAAATACTGGAAGAACAGCAACTAATCACTGTAATTAAGTGATTACTTGTAAGTGTTTTAATGACCAGTTGTCACAGAGACAACACAATCCAGTGCAGTCATAAAATTAAGTTAACACAGGAAGCATGCATTTACAGCTGTTTGAACAAAAAAAAACTACAGAATGAAGGCCTCAGATGTAAATTGTCTCTCCTTAAAATTCAATAGTTCAAATATTATGGTCACACACATTTCATAGATTATAGTCATATAACCCAGGAGAAAACTTGTTCTGATTTAGTCCTTCAAGTACGAGTCATCCCGCTGTAACAAATCTGTGAAAATGAGTCTTTATAGCCAGGGAGATGTGGAGCTTCTAAAGGCAATGAAGTGTGAAGGATCCTCCTGCTACGGTTCTCTGCGTTTTATACATGCCCAGTCTGCATCCGTTTGTCTGTCTAATGTCTGACACCCTCGATCCTCTCCCTTTCTCTGTCTGCCGCATCTCTGCAAACGTCATCCGCCCTCCTGTCACTGTCGCACATATGGGACTTCACCTCAGAACTGGACACAAAAACACATCATTATGAGCTGATGAGAAGCAATATTATAATAAAAGTTTAACGAAATTAGTATTTCACTTGTTTCAGTTGTATATTTATAACGTCATACTGCTTTACCTTTGAATATGTGTTGGTCTGTTGTCCTTGATGAGATTATTGAGTTTATAGTAATCCAAGAAGGTGCGAGCTACATTCCTCCCAAGTTTCATGTCTGAGAAAGACCAGCTTCAGGAAAACAAGTCAAAACATTGACTAAACCAGAGGCCCAAATAATGTATGGGTACCATAGACTGTCTATGATGGGTACCCATATAGAGAAGCACACTGCATTGCTCTGCAGCATTAACCTTAAAGCTACATAGTGCACTAGAACTCAGCTCTGCAGTGTGCTCTGTTCAACAGAGCATTTTTGCTCTATTCAACTTCTTGTTATGATTTATAATATCACTGTTTAGTTGAACTGTTATTTACAAACTGTTGTTTTATTGCTTCAAAAGGCTTTTCAAAAGTGTTTTATGCTACCTGCAGAGTGTAAAACAGCTGAAAGGCAAAGCTGGAGAGTTGCTGTTTGATATACATTGCAGAGAAGTTCAACAACTTTAAGAGCCAGACTTTTCCACCAGAGTTAAAGGGACCAAAAACAAGCTGAGAGAAAGAGAACATTAAACAAAGATTACTCAAGATACAATCTTTATAAATGCATATAGTCCAGAACCAGAATGAATAATCAATAAACATGAATGACATTTCTTGTTTTGGAATATATGACACATATTTACATAAAAAATCTAAGCTAAAACTCCTCTTCAATGTTAGACACAGATGAGGTAAAGTGATGCTTGGGAAGGCACCAAAACACCCCCTCATTCTTGCACTGTTATTCCTTGCGGTACACTAAATACCTGGAGACAGGCCACTGGAGGAATGAGCAGTGTAAATCCTTGAGGTATAACATGATGCGCTGTGAATCAAGGGAGACTAAATCATCTGCATTTCACCCACGTCAGCTAAATGCATGACGCTGGTATGAATCACACAAAAGCAATTACTTATACACCAAAGCCTTATTTAAATTCGGTGGTGAATGCACACATCATCCCTCTGACCATTTGTCCCTCACTACATTAGGGACACTATCAATAACTTCACTGCTTTTATAAAACAGCTGAGCGTCCATGAGTGCTGTTGCTAAGCCTGTGATCATTAGGGTAGCAGAGCAAGTAATGATGACAATCAGGTTCAGATAATGAACAAGTGGAGAACCGCAGAATGCTACAATGTTCCCAATCACTATGAGAGAGGATATAGTAAATACAGATAAATAAGAACAGGGCCCCTTCAAGCAATAGACTATATCTAGTCACTGAGGCAAGTCCACTGAATAACACCATCAATATCAGCTGCCAATCTATCTATAAAGCCTTAAAAAATATACGCCCATTATCTACAGTATTTTCCATCTTCACAGTATGCACACACATACTGTTCATATAGATCACAACAGAAAACAAACAAAAACATAAAGGTTTTCTCTGTCTGGAGGCAATGATGTTCAGCTACCTCCATTCTTCACCACACTACAGCATGATGGAGCAACACATTGACATAATCTGTCACATTCCCCTGTCATTACCTTGTTGATACTCAGATACGGTCTGTCGTCTGCTGAACTATCAATCTGTCAAACTATGTGATTGAAACAGCTGACATACCAAAAAGATTTTTTAGAAGATGGAGATTCAGTCCTTTTTTTTCTTTTTTTCTTTCTCATAATGATTAGAAAATAGCCAGGCTACATAAATCCTGTTTGCTATAAAGGTGAAAATCTATTGTCCAAAAGCTGTTTACTTGTAAACCATTCATCCTTAGTATGGATGTGATGTCTGGGCATGTACTTTAGCTGCTGTAGTTTTAACACCTTGAGCAGCACACACGTAAAATACACACACACAGGGGTTAGGTAGGTTAGGCCTGAGGATAAGAAAACAAGCCCCTCTGTAACAAGTGTTTCACCTTGGCCTTTGATGGGGTGTTTTTGCTTATGTTCGGGACTCCAAACAGGACTTCATTTATTACTCGGCAGGATGATGGCAACCCTCTCCACATGACACCGGAGTCTGTTTACTCCCCATCTGGATGTTTGTCTGTTAGTTCTGCATCAGGCCAGAAATCCTCTGAGTATGCATGCGAGTGTGTGTTTGTGTGGAGAGGCCTCACAACCTGCTTTTCAACTGCTGGATGATGGTACTTATTAACAAAGATAAAATATTTCTTCATTTTATTAAAGTCAATCTTAGTGTAATAGTTTTCAAAAGTACTCAAAGGTGCCTGGAGCCTTTCTTATAGAGTGGTTATACTTTCAATGTGACATCCTCTTAGCAACCTTTGGGACTGAGAAATTATGTGACAACATCTGCAAGTGTCCATTTGAGGCCGGTTCCCAAAAGGGAGTCAGTCCCCCCTTGGACACTGTATTATAAAACCCAACTTTATTGCAGAACAAAGCACATTTACAACCAGGTTCAAGTTTGTATTGGACTGTGCAGCTAATTTGTCATGCTGGATAACTGTGCAGGGACAGATTTTACATGACCCACCTGTTTAATGTCTATTAAAGGGATATTCCGGCGTAAAATTAAGTTAGGATCAAACACACCGTAACACTGAGTTAGACATCCTGTCGAAAGATGAATGCTACCGACCGCTTGCTCCTCTAGTTATACCAACTTTAGTGACGACCGCAGATAGCGATACAGATAGTCATGCGCTCAACCAAAAAGCCACTCTATAGCCACAAATAATGTTCAGAACAGCACTTAACTTCAACAGTACATAGAGGGTCCCAGCCATAATACTAGCCACCAAACATCTTTTTAGCTTTGCCTGATTTCTTGAGCGAAGAGACTAAACACAACTCACCTACTCTCTTCCAGCAGCCGCTTGTTTGTACGGAGACCTACGGGCGAATCCATCAGCTGCAGCGGGGGAAGCAGCCCAAGGAAGAACATTTATGATCATTTCTTTATCATTTCCTTGACAATCATTTTGCACTGCAGAGAAGGTAGTTCTTCTGCCTAAGCGTCTTGGTCTGATTGCATTCCTATGAGGAAATGCAATCATTCACTGTAAAAAAAAGCCATGGGCACAGACTGTTTAGCTTTGAAAACTCAGAATTTGCCCACCTTTTGGTACTCTCTGACAATATCTACACATTGGTCATTTGGCTCTAGATTGGGTCAACTGAAGGTTCAAGTACAATAGGTGGCATCATCTGTATGTTAGTCAGTACAATGCTTAACCTCCACATATTAGCATGTTAAAATAATAAAAATCCTAGTTAGAAATAAAAACAAAGGTCTGATTTTGTAAGTATGTGGCCAAAATATGTGTGTGCAAATATCATTGCAATCTTCATCACATATAATTTATTGTGGACCAACATATCAAATCACTAACAGACTGATTTACTAATTACTGATTACAGACAGATCATTTTTGATGTAGGTGGTTGAAAATCCATGATTAGTTGTACACAGTTGATTCTCTAATAC